GTCCTCAAGCACAGAACAAGCCAAGGGAGTATCTCCATCTTCAACTTCATCGCGGCCGCTTGAAGTGTGGGATTTGCTTCCCGCCATATCGACGCCAAAAAAGATCTATGCTGGCGTGTCTTTGGGGCCGCAGATGGTACCCTCTAACACCTTCAAGAATCAAAAATCCTTCGAACGTATCCCCTTCGCAAGCATCCTGAAGAAAAAGGAAAGCTTCCAGCACTATCACAATTATGGCAAGTTGTGGTTGATGTTTGAAGACTTGAGTTATAATATAAATATATACAAGGAATGGTCAAAAATAGACAGGAAACGCATAAAGCCACGCGCTTTGCGTAAGAGGCTGGAGCAGAGTGAAAAGGTGGGACCCTTCAAGCAGGCCAAAAGTAGACGACAGCAATCTCATAAAGCTGCGCGCTTCGGATAGGATGCCTGAGTGGCCTGAGCTGGGTCAAAAGGTGGGACCTTTCAAGCAGGTCAAAAGTGGGCAGCAATTTCCTAGAGCTGCGCTCTTTGAGTAAGGCGCCTGGCTTGACTGAGTGAAAGCGTGGGACGTTACGAGCAGGCCAAAAGTAGGCAGCAGCTTCATGTCATGAAGTAGATTGCGCTTTTTGAGCAAGGAGCTTGAGCAAAGAAAGGCAAAAGGCGGGACCTCTCAAGCAAGCCAAGCCAAAAGCAGACAGCAGCCCCATGGCGTTGCGCTTTTTGGATAGGGTGCCCGAGCTTGGTCAAAAGCCAAGGTGGGACCTTTCAAGCAGGTCAAAAGTGGGCAGCAATTCCAGAAAGCTGCGCGCTTTGAATAACCAAGCTGGCCAGATCTGGGCCAAAGAGCGAGACCGTTCCAGCAGGTCAAAAGTGGGCAGCCATTTCATAGAGTTGCGCCCTTTGATTGTGGAAGGCCTCTGAGTGAGCTGATTGAAAGGCTGGGACCTTTCAAGCAGGTCAAAAGTAGAGAGCAATATCATACAGCTGCGCTTTTTGGGTGGGAGGTTTGAGCAGAGCCAAAAGCCGAGACCTTTCAAGCAGGTCACTCAAAAGTAGGCAGCAACTTCATAAAGCTGCGCCTTTTGGGTAGGGTGCCTGCGCTGGGTCAGAGGGTGAGACCTTCCCAGCAAGTCAAAAGGGCCAGCAGCTTCACAGCGTTGCGCCGTTTGGATGAGGGTCTTGAACTGAGCCAAAGGGTGGGACCTCTTAAGCAGCTCACAAGTACGCAGCAACTTCATCGCGCTGCGCTTTTTGGATCAGAAAAGAATGGGCGCAAAGGGCAAGGCCTCTCGAGTAAGCCATAAGTAACCAGCAAGCCCATAAGCTTGGGCCTGCTTTCTGATCAGAAAGCTCAAGCGGCTCACAGATTGCATCGCCCAAGCACATGAAAGCCGCACAGCACTGCTCGCGTGGCGTTGTTCTTGTTCACTTAGATCAAAGCCTTGAGATGACGCATGCCCACACCTCTCGAGAAAGCCAGAAGCAGATAGGGAAGCTAAGCGATAGAGCGCAACTTGCCGTAAGCTTGGGAGGGTAAATGGCTCACAGAGAGCACACGCGAAGCAGCTGAAGCGTAGGCAGCAACGCGACGCCATAAAGCTGCGTGATTTGGATGGAAAACCCAAAACGGCGCAAAGAGTAAAACCCCGCAAACAGGCCGAGAGTAGAACGGGGCCGCCCCCTAGTTCTCTCCACGGAAAAGATCCACGGTAGACGTTCTCATGGTGAGCGGAGTCGGGCGTAGTGCTTCGCCCACTATGCGGAGAACCGAAAGCGACAAGCCTGGGGCCCCCCTCGTGACACTGCCATGCCAGCCGGAGACGCAACACACTCCAAGAGTAGGGGACCCACGCCCAAAACCCGGGCCAGGGGGCGCGCGAGGTTCTCATGGTGAGCGGAGTCGACTGCAGTGCTTCGCCCAGCCACTACGCTGAGAACCAAAAACAGCAGGCCTGGAGTGATCTGCTCAAGGATTTGACTCTCGGCGTATGTATTTGCTTACCCGTTTGCCTCATTCGTTCGAAGTAGTTCCTTTTGGGCGTTTCGGGTGCTGCCAGGGCGGGGGTTTATGTAGCACGTAGTAGCTTGTAGCGCGGAGCTGCTTTGCTTATTCCATAGCCCGCCACTCTTTACGTAATTCGTAGCACGCCGGTAGGCCGTGTGGGTTTTATGTAACTCGTAGCATTTGCCAGACCCTTCCGCCCTGCCCCGGCGTGTGTACACGCCGGGGGCACGTGGGCGGTATAAATATATACAAGGAATAGTGAGCATCCGAATCAGTATCCATGATTATTTAAAATACTCATAGAGTTATTTAAGTATGTGCAGCCATCTCTGACTCTGTCTCTGACTCTGGCTCTTCTACCTCTAACGTAAGGAAAATCTGATTACTCTTGAGTTAGAGAAGCTTGCTTTTGGCCAGAAAACCGGCACTGCTAGTTCTGGCACCTCGGTTACCCATACACCTTCTGCTGCAGAATTGCTGAGTTCTGCTTCCGCGACCCACGCCGCCGCAGCAGCTTCCTCGAACCAGAACAACGGCTTGGCTTTCCAGGACAACGCGGTGGAGAACACGATGCCCCTTTGTTCCCAAGAATGGGTGCGAAAACGCAGCAGCGACCTGGAATTGCAGCTGCAACCAGGAGACCCTGTCCGTGTCGTCAACACTGTAGGTTCAGAACAAGGGCTCTTCGTCGAAAGCGTCACAGTATCGGGACCAAAAGCAGGGACCCCACTTAGACGTTTGATTTTACGACTCTCAAAAGCACTAGGGTCTTTCTTCTAGACGAAGATGCTCGTGCTCATGTCGATGGCAGATCTTCCATAAAGTGCAAGCAGGCATTGGCATTCAAGAAACATATTTGAGGTACATGACTACACCAGGCGCAGGCATCGATAATTACAGAATTCATACTTTAGATTCCATGACCATGAGCTTCTGCTAATCCTTGCGTTGGTTATTGATGATGGCAGTACCAAATATTTCGACGCGACAAGTGAGTGGGACGTGTACGTGAAGCAAGACGCAGAGTGCACGAAGGAGGAAGACTTAGCGCGGTTGTGGCCCCGTTGTGTCCATCAGAACAAGTACGTGAAGTTATGGACTCAGTTTGCTTCTTTCTATCTTCCGGAAAGTGACAAAGCGCTAATCGTGAGATCAGAACTTGATCATGTACAGTTACAGGTTTAAAGTTCGCATCTCTAGCTCGCATATCTATGGCTTCCCTACTGGAGATAGCCATAGAGACGCGCATAGAGATATCAACTTTACAACTCATGGCTGTTTTAGTCCGGAAGAATCCTAGATTATCTCATTCTCATAGTCAATAGGACGTCTTCGATAGGAGTAAGTAGTTCTTGTAGAGACTTTCGCGTCTAATATCCGGCGGCGGCATTTTCCTGAATCTGGCGCATTTCGGTATTCACAAGGGTTGCTTTCAAGACGACTGCTCTCATTCCGATCACTTCGCTAGCGAGTCTGCGGGACTTTGTGCCGATGTTTGTCGGTTGATTCCGGCATGCAAATTTTGGTCTGTGACTGTGGCAGCCGAATTCACATGTTGGCTAAAGTTAAGAGCAGGAGAGTGATGAAGATGAATTTTCATACATCATTTTGTTCAATACCAAACGTCGAATGTGAAAATGAAAAAATGTTTCACTTTCTTAGCACTTGCAATGTCTTCCGTTTCGAGTCAGGTGATGCTACTAGCAGAGTGCTTACCACTGCTAGAACATTGTCACTCATGGACGATCGTTCTCTAGTACTGTTTCGTGGCTGTTGAGTAGTCCTTGTCTAATCCAGGGATCGCGTGAGTCTATGATCGACAAACCGGGAGCACTCGCAGGAGAATCCGGCTGTCACCCGCCCACGGAAGAACACGCAGTGAAGAAAAAAACGATCGCCCCAACACTTTTTGATTAGGGCAACATTATTACCTGCTTTTTAAATATGAGCAATACATTTAGATTTACTACATCGCGTTGTTGTTGTATATATAAGTACGCTATTCGGGTGTTTAAGATGTTTTCCAAGACAATTACTTACACCAGGGCCAGTAGCAGTACTAGACGTCAGCTATACTCAGTACTGCAAAATTTGGACTTGGGGTTCGCGTTCGGTTCGCACCTAAAGCTAAACAAGATAATATATCTGAATCTCTATCTCTAACATAAACGTCTGCGTGGAAAAGCAGTCCGTTTTCCGAAAGCTGCTGAAGTTCTTAGTCTTTTTGGCCACAAGACAAGGGAAGAAATTGCGCAGGGACCTAAGAGCACTCTGGCGGGAATCGCGCTACAAGGGCTGGCTTCCTTGTAATAATCGGAATGAACAACAAAAAGTTGTAGAAAGTGAAAGAATGGCAATGGCCTTTTCATGATTGTTGAGTGACGTAATGCATGGTGGTAGTTACCTAGAATGCGAAGATCCTGATGCTAGTAACATACCAATCATTATCATGGTAAGTTTAGTACTAGTTAGTTGGCCGATAAGTACCAGGAAGTCTGCTAGGTATAACTACATCGTCTTTAGGGATCGCAGTCATTTCCATTTGCATGCCAGCCTTTGATTCATTGTAAGGTTCTTGAATTACATCTGTCACAATCACTTTGATGGAGATATTACCCATTGACATTCTGCGACGCGCGCTGACTAGTTTTTCGCTCTTTGAAGTCAACAAAGCAACTGACTACTTAAGACCATTATAGACGCTTATTTTATTGATGGAAGTTGAAAGCTGCAGAGATTGTGATGGAAGTTACAAGAAATAAACAAGAACAAGAGCATGAGGATCGTTGATATTTATGCACTACTACATCTACAAGTGCCCTCGTTTCTAGGTGGACCCTTGGAGCGTGGTGTTCAGTTGAGCTATAGCTACTAGCATGCCAATCTGCCCTAGGTGGATTTTATGAACATTTTGGGGCGAAGATCAAGGAACACAGAGATAGACGTAGACCCCCTGCATGGGAGTGGAATGACGAGTTGAGTGAGGCCGCAAAAATCCTCTCAATGCGACAGTGTAGCTCTTGCTCTTGGCCTCTCAATCAAAATCTGACTCCGTCTGAACAACTCTGGAATCATCATGTCGCGAAGTGTCTCAATGCGCCGAGAGCTTTCCGCAGGGGTTTCACGACAGCGTCGGAATGGAGCTGCTAATGTTGGCTCATGTCACTGCCTCGCCGCGAAGGGGCCACAGGGCACAAGTAGAACGTCTGTAAGCCAACGAGGGTTCTCTTCAGCGAGCTCCACGTCTTCGTGCTCCTCTACTAGGCGGTCGAGGAACGCGAACGGTGCTGGCGCATTTGCACTATCGCAACCATGTCGAAGCTTTGCGCAGATCGATGCCTTAGCCAGCCAGATCCGAGAACAGCAGGCCAATCTCGCAAACTCAGTGCGTGCAGGGGAGGCTCCCAACGAAGACAATGTCATGGATTTAGATGCCGAACTTCTGCTTTACCAAGCTGATGGCAGAACTTCCAAGTCCGCTGGCAGTCGTGGTGCGAAGCAATCATTTCGTGCTTCCGCACCAGAAGAACTGCTAAATGATGCTGCGAAGATGAAGACGAGTCGGCTATTCGCGGAGGTCTTACGCTCAGAGACGATATCACCAGGAAGTTTTGGACAACGCGAAGATGACTTAGACTTTGAAGATAAATACTGTTCAAGCAAGTCCCCGGGACGAGGTAGAAGGAGTTCGAAAGCCGCTGCCCACGCTTTTGCATCCACCTCTGCTGCTGCCTCGGCGTCAACCGCAACGGCGATGAGAAGAGAGCGCGATGATGTCGAGCTGGTTGATCTGCGCGGCAGATTGATCGAGATTGAGGGTAATGGCGAGCAGGCTGAAGTAGATGTAAATGCATCGCAGGATGCAGATCAACATCGAACTGACAACGAAACAAGAACGCTGCACTTCGACGATTTGGAGCCTTTTCTCGGAGAAGGTGTTGTGGAACCCGGATTTGAAAAGTTTCCGCGCTCTTGCGGATTGAAGTCGTCAGCGGGTGCAGGTCTTAACGTGGACGACTTCACGAGAAATGTGATGTCGGAGGACGGTGATACAACAGTCGAGCAGAAACACGCAGCGGCAATGGGTCATGAACATCTTCAGATGAACGAAGCCGCTGTTCGTCGTCAAGTTCGTGAATCCGTGTCGTCGCTGGCTGACGAGTTCGAGCGCGCGGTTGATCACACCAGTGAGAAGACCCCTGCACAGCTTTTTCTGCAGGAGAATCGAGAGCGATTACTACAAAAAGCGGAAGCTTTCTACGTCGAGCGCGAGGCACGCGAACTGACAACAAAAGTTGAGGAGGACTGGGCCTACTACCATGAACCTGTCGTTCGTCCACCCAAGGGACATTTATGGTCTATGACCGACGATCGAAAAAATGACTTCGAAGCAGCTTCGTTTTCTGGGAACTCCGGAGCTACGCCCTCTACTTCGTCGTCAGCATCTGCAAGTGCGTCTTTTTATGCTGCCGACCATGAGGTTCGTCCTGAAGACTTTCAGTTTGGGGTGTTACCTAGTGTGGAGCTGCTGAAGAATCTACTACTGCAGGAGGAAGCTGTAGATGTCCGCACTGTGGATCTAGCAGCCTGCGGACGCCGAGACATTGGCACTGCTGCCATTTTAGCCACTGGTCAGACATCCGATCACAGCATTCGTATGGGTCGTCTTCTTGCCCGCACCATTCGAGCCCTCGAGGTACCGTTCGTGACCCCCTACTTTAAGAGCTCTTCTCCAATCGCACCATCCAATACTACTGAACAAGAATAGCAATAGAAGCATTACTAGCATTTTCATTGGCGGCTTTTTTATTACAGTCCCATAAATGCGTATGCCAAGGTGGACAAGGACAACGAACTAGCACTCGGATACAGTCTTTGAGCCTCTAATCGCTGTTGGCAGCAGCGAAAAGACGAGTGGATCCACTGCCGGTTGGGTCCGATCGCAGTTCACATTTTCACACCCAAATCTCGGCCTCTCTACGATCTGGAGCATTTATGGACCAGTCCTGAGACCTTCTTTCGTCCCGGTGACTTCCCGCATTTCGTACTAGATTCTATGGAGTACGCGTTGCGCAACCGACTCACGGAACCCGATGATAGGGCTAGCGAGCTCCTCGAAAAGGTCTTTGACTCGGAAAGCGACAGCACGCAAGAAATCGCTGATCTACTTGATCCGGATCAAGGCAAATAGACGAGGAGCACTTTCATTATACCAGAGCAGTTTACAGCACGCATGGAGCGCATGGAGCGCAGATCCATAAAGGACGCAAGAAGCGCCCTCTTTAGCTCCATGCAACTCCGTTCGATCCATGCAACTCCATTCGATCCACGCACTCCATGCGCATGCCGTGCGAGCTGCCGAACCTTAATATATAGAGACTATTCTGTTATTATACGGAAACGGAAGAGCATTCTTCAATACAAATTGTCCCCTCTCAGACTCAATTTCATTGCTATTGACATGGACTTCGGCTGTTGTCTATGTGAGACAAATATGCCGAAGATGAATGGTTCGTGTAAGCATGCGCGACGATCTGTTCTTGACATGATGTAGATGATGTCTTTCTTCATACAACTTCGCGCTACGCTATATTTTGGTGATACAACGGTCTACAGAGATGATGGAAGAGACTGTGGATGCATGTTGATGAGGCAAAAATATGGGGACTCGAACTAAAAGAGCATGCGCAAGCCGAAGAGCAAAATTTACATTCTTGTGCTCCGCCCAGGTTCTTCAGCCTCAGCCATGAAGAGAGTGTCAGTTTCAATGCACATACTCAAAAGTAGCGACGCAGCAGCACGGGCTACGGTCATTCCTCGCTACATCCTGGATCTAGGTTTCGACGTGATTCTTTATCGGCCATTAAAATCCATACCATCTTCTTGGCTCTTATTCTGAGAAGCGTGACTGTTCTCACAAATTCTAGAGTCTGCCATGTGGATGCGATGAGAACTATTCATATGTCATACGACTTGAACTTCACAAATAGTGACTGTGATGATCGTATCCTATCTTAATCATGCGTTTTTTGAATAGACAAAATAATAACTAGTTATCAACAACAACATATTTTCACTTTCAGAAAAGCAAAAGAAGTTGCTGTTCTAGTTGTTGATAACGATGAGCTTTGAATTGAATCAGCATTAGTTTCAGAAGCAGAAGGTGCGGCTTATTGCTCATTCTATTTCTTCACTCAACATGATCAACAGATATCACTGCCGTCATCCTTATTGTTTTTGTAATAAATACATGCAAGCTACCAAAAATATACGTGACAGATGAGATGCAACATAGCGAGAATCTACCGGATCCCTCTGGTGGCCAAGCAGAAGTGCCCAAGAGCGAGACTGACCAAGAGGAGACACCTGCTGAGCTGATCAAGCTACTTTTCCTGAGTGGGGAAAGTGCTGGAGTTGACCTTGTGCAAGGGATGACCATCCCAATTTGGTGCTCCATGCGGAAAGGCTACTAGAAACGAAAATTATAGATCACCCGTCTATTTCCTTCAACATTATAGATCACCCGTAGAATCTGCCACCGCGTGCCTTGGACGCGTTTTTCTACAATGTTGATCCACGCGATGAGGGGCGGCTGGACAACGGCGACGGCGATGCTGACGCAGTTGACGACGCTGCGCCTCCGTTCGTCTCTCACGATGTGCAGCTAAAGGAAGGCGAAGAGTTGCAATTTCTAGTCCAGGGAAACGGAAGGGGACGGTTTTCGCTGGTGATTGTGGATAGAGTCCGATCTTCAGCTGCTAGATTATGTTACGTGGGACCGGGCGAGGGAGAATTCAGTGACGCGCGGCTTGCGCAGACTTTTGCGCTTGCTAAGATCAAAAGGAACGGCACCGGTCCTTCTATTCGCTACTTCAGAATGCAAAATGCGGCCCTCGGTTTCCTATGGAAGGCGTCTGCTAATTCTGGGAGGCAGCGCAAGGTACGCATTCGAGCCCAATCCTTTCTTCTCGATTTGGTCTACCAAGGAGGATCCTGGTCTGACGGGTAGTAAGGACGAAAAGCGGGGACCACCGAGCCCGCAACTCCGCAAATTTCTCATCGATTGCGTGTTGCAGTTGGGTCCTGATTCCCTCGGACTCAATAAGGGCGAGCGCCAGAATGAACTAAGTTATCAAGTTCTCTGGACTGTGTGCGAAGCATTTTACGCTGTCTTAATTTACCCGCGTCCTACTCATCACTTGCCGCTGACATCGGCCGAGGGGGTGCAGATGATCACGGTCCTGGGCGCTCGCGAACTGCAGAAGAGAATAATGGACACGACTCGCAGGTTTATGATCCATGATGAAGGGAAGGCCATCGAGTCTCCAGAGTGTTGGCGCTGCCTCTGGGTGTGATTGAGTTGCTGGCCGAGCAGCCATCGCTTGCTGGGGTTGATTTGTCGATGGATTTCTTTTAAGAGTCGGTGGAGGCACTGCGCGGCGATACCTTCATGACAGGCAGACTCACCTTCGTCGATCGGTTTCAACCTCGTGACATCGTCAAAATCAAGTGGCCAAAAGATTACTAGACAGTCGCCGAAAATGGCTGGCAAAAAGGGCGATCTGTTCCGGCGAAGTCGTGGGATGAATGTGCACTGCATAAGTCTTTGGAGGAGATGCCCAATGCGCTCTTCGACGTCGAGCTGTTGCGCATGAAACTTTTGCCGGAGTTGTGCCATCGGAAATTTGTTGCAACAGACTCTCGCGGCAAGAGTCTCGCCACCAACTGCGCAATGCAGGAGCGGCCAATGAGATTATTACGGAGCCACGCCCATCTTTAGGCTCAGCTTCAGGAGAAGAGGCTTCGAGCTCTACCGAAGGACGCGCTTCGAATGGGTGGCAGAGCAGAACTTCGCCGTCTTTGTTTCCTCAAAATGGTCTCTGATTTGCTCAGCATGGAAGATGCTGAAGATATGGAAGGCGATGCAACAGCGACGTCTGACTCTGACGGCACTGATGTGACAGCAAAGAAGCGCCGCGTATGCGCTAACGAGGTTGCTTGTTGAAGATCTGTCACGGTACAGATTCGATTCTTACAAGTCGATGGAGATGGAAGAAAATTGCGAAATTCGCAGCTAGTAACAGTAAGTCCCTGTCCCTCGAAGGCATGGGCAAGCGCATAAGAGATTGCATCCCTGGAACAGTCGATATTCAGCGAGAAACTTTCCTCCAAAGGCAAACTACAACTCGGACTCCCCAGTCCCAGATCCAAATTTCGCCGCAAGCTCTCCCTTTCCTCCATTATTCCTGAAATTTACCAAACCTGCGAATGCGCAAAGAGTAGTCCCATCTCGGAGAACGAGGGTTCAAATGTTGTGTTGATCGAGTGTTCAAATATTGTGTGATGTGTGTCTGCGCCTGCTTTATTAAAGCTTCTTTTTTCTGCTGCTGATGATGTGTGGGTGATCCGCTCCAACGTGCATGTGGGTGCAACCGCATTGTTTGCAGCATGATAGATAAGTAGTCGTTGTGGGTTGTATCGGGATCGGCTCGTCTCACGATACATGATTGTTGAGGTCGCTTATTTCATCATCTTCTGAAAATACTAGAACGACAAGTTGAAGTATTCGTCTAGAAACTAGAAGAAACTAGTACTAGCAGCTCGTACGCGGCACTAGTCTAACTCTGGTGTCTTGTCAGGAGTCATATGACTCGTTTGCATTTTTGACTTTGTGTGAAGTATTTGCATCTTTTCTTGAAAGTTTAAGTTTTGGCTTGCAATTTCTATAGAAAGATGACCATGACGAACGTTCTTGCCTCTGCTGCAGATCGACCACCGCCCGGTAGGGTGACATTCGATAGAGTCCGAGCTTCAGCCAAATTCCGAAGGACAACATCGCTTGCCATTGCCTGTGCCTCCTTCGCGGCTAGCTTAGGCGGTCTCTCATGTTGCGAAGCGGCCTCTTCACCACAATTGCATACTGAGTTTCGCAGAGCTAGAACAGATGGCGCAGCTTATGTTGATCGACGCGGTCATCATGAACTACGGGACAACAACGGTGGTCCTGGTCGTGTGGTGGATGGTACTGGTATGGACCTGCAATTGCCAATACCACCAGCACATGCAAGAGCAAAAGAAGTGTCTGCATTTCCACCGGTCAACTCCAGCGCTATGGTCGCTATCCCGCTTCCAACACGCGTTCATCATAGTGACGATTCGAAGAGGACAAGCCATTTTCTCTTTCGCAGTGCGCCGGGAGGGTCATATTCTTCTTCATCTAGCACTTCTCCTAGTACTACAAGAGACCGCATCAATCTACTTCAAAACGATGAAGGAGATCAGGACTTTTTGTGCACGACTAAGACGAGCACGCAAAACCAGAACGAGCAAGTAGCAACGTGTAAGAACAAAGAGGAAGAAGACAGTCCATCCACCACAATTGCGCCTAATACACCCTGTACCTCGTGGTCTAGGTTTTCTCGATGCAGTTCATCCATGGGCTTTCGCACTGACAGTGATAACGCGTTATTGGACCAAAGAGAAAGTAAAGGCATCAACAAACGCAAAGCGGAAGAGGAGGCCAATCTCGCCATAAAGATCAGTGATGAGCTAGTAGAGCATGAAGAAGCTGCTGAAGTACAACAAGACGCGCCAGGAGTCTCAGCTGCGAATCCAGCTGGGACGAGGCCGATGGAAGCAAGTACGCTGCAGCATGTTGACGAAGATCGTGTGCCTCTCCGTTTCGGAGGAATCAACATGATATCTGAGCCATCGACTCGAATCTCAAATGTGCAGATATCGGAGGAAAATTTGGAGCTCGATCCGAGTTACTTTCTCGGCTGGCGGCAGCTGTCCAAGGACACATGTTTTTCTGCGTCAAGCAACCACACCATGCACACCTATTATAATGGTACTAACGATCTTGCTCTCCCTCTCGCATCGAATACAGAGACGCGCCCGGCTCGACAGCAACCTACGCTCTTTGAATCTGGTACTGGTTCATTGGGACCGCGGCATTTCCTGGCTTCTTCGCAAGATCAATCTCTGGGAGACGATGTTGAGGAGGAGGTCTTCCGGTCGAGGAACAATAATCTAGATGAAGTTGTGACTGATGGTGGACTGGAGCCACATCAAGTAGAAGTAGGGACGATTAAGAAGATGAACTTACCTTCTCTACTTATGAACACGACAAAAGACCCCGGCGGACAAGTACGAGGCCTTGAAAGTGAGCGTGGTTTAGTACTAGACGAGGAGCCGACTCCGGTGGCATTTATGCTTCCAGTATTCACTGCTCCCGCTTCAGGAGAACAACAAGATAAAGGACTAGAAGACGTACCAGAACAAATTAGTGCTGGTGATGGCGTGCCAGAGCCTTGCCCATCTTTTGACGCAGAAGCGCTCGTCTTTGCGACACGGGGAGCACATGAAGTAGAGACTCATGATTCAGGACAAGAAAAAGAACTTAAAGCTACAACAGTGACTCCACAAAGGTTATCAACAGTGTGTTGTCTACAGACATCGCCTGAGGCAAAAAACGAACAAACGGTTTGGAGGCTGAAAACGATGCCTTATCTGCGGCAACTACTTTTAAGATTGCAGTTTCATGAAGAACTTAGGCTTAGCTAGGCATGTCGATTTCCTAAAAACTCTACCTAGCCCTAAGAAATACGCTAGGTCTAGGATCTAGCATACTAACTTGAACTTCTAATTCTTGATAAGCTCAGCAGCGATTCGCGAGAAGAATTTCTTGCTACGGTGCCACAACGAGCACTGCATCTGACAGCGGATGTAGACATGAGGAGGACGCTATCAAACGCTAACGACTCATCTGTATCATCTGGTCTTCCATTCATTGGCGGACGTAGGTTGTCATCTTCATCCTCGTTGGTACAATATCAACGGCAAGACCTGCGCAGGTCGCACGAATACAAGATGCCGCCTGATCACCATGACGGCTGTAACAGTGCTTTATCCAGAAAACTGGCTGCTAGTTTTTCGGAATTGCAGCACGAAGATCCACTGCTTCAACATCCACCTCCTCACGAAGAGCAAGAACAACGCACCGGTACTGGTGGCATCAAAATCAATAAACAAGTTGATTCTGAAGAAGGAGGCGACTTGCAGAAAAAGTTGTTAGCTCCGATTCCGCGTGTAAAAATCCGCCTCACTGCGTGGGACATGAAAGGCGGTGGATTCGCAGGGCCCGTCGTTGATACCTCTGTAGACAGCGACCCCTATCGCGATTCAGGCAATCCACGCATCATGTCTTGTCCTGAATTGGAGAGTGCAGAATGCATCATGGTAGGAGATCCCAAAACAGGCGAAGTACTGTGTTACCTAGACCGCGAAGCGAAATGGAATGCACAACCATTTTTACAGGAAAGCATGCTGCGGTCTCTACTTGAAAAGCACGAAACATTTTTGTTATGAAGAGGCGCACCAGAACAAGTGATACTGGTTCTGATGCATCGTGATCACTGTGATTATACATTCATAAGTACAACATTTTTGTAAAAATAACGGTTCTTCCATATTCTTTCGATTATTTTTTCCCTTAAGGCAGTCTGCTGTACTGAACTTTGTGCGGGATTTATTGCATTGTATTGCATTGTGTCGTATTGTATCTATACTTTGAAGAGTTCTTGGGCTTGGCTACTCCTACCGTTTAGCCTTAGATATAAAAATTTCAGTATGACGAGCACGAGGAGGATAAATATACCTACGTAGAGCTGTTGTTGTTTTCTTCTAACCTCAGAGAACAATCCGAATACCTTTGTAGGTTTGGTTTTGGAAAATGACCTGTTGTTGCAGCTGGATGATGGAATTGAGACTGCCGACGAGCACAAGAAAAAGGATAAAGAGAAAAAAGATGGTGCGAAAGACGACAAAGGTGGAAAGAGGAAAAAGGACAAGCAGCCAAAGGAGACGAACGAGAAAGGCGATGGAGGTGGAACATCGGCTTCACAACAGCGAGCAACAGAGGAACCGCTGGAAACCTACTGGTCTAGAATGCTTGGGACATTTGGCTATTCGGCCGTCAACCTAGAACACGAGGACGGACACGAACAGCATGGTGGCGGGGCTCATACATCAAAACGATTATTTCCTTCGGGATCCAGGTCGGAACAGGTTGCCTCACCGTCGACAAAATCTCCACAAAAGATCATTCCACAACTGCGAGATCACCATCGTCCCTTCGCCAAGGTACGCCGCGGAGGAAACGGAGCAGGTTCTTCGGCAGAGATGGAGATATTCTCTTATGCATAGTAAGTATGATCCTCATCTTCTCTTTCCGCAACGTTTCTCTTTTTTGCTACTTAATTGTAGTTGAAAATTTGCTAGGCAGCGCAGTTATTGCACTTTGTGACTCGAGTGCGCCATCGAAATTCAATCCATCATCAAGCGAATCCCAATAGGCTGCGAATATAGAGTTTGATTTTGATTTTGTTAGTTCTTTTGGAATTTCTATTTCTAATGCTTGCGTTCCGTTTTCCGTGATCTAGTTTCACGCGGAGGCACGCAGATGCATAGCGAGATACCTTCCGGTAGGCACCTGCGCTTCGGCAAGACGATGTATGCGAAGCTCGGATCAGGTCTACGAAATTTGGGATGCGAAATTCGAAGTAACGGCGTCATCTGTAGTCACGGCAATTCTCTTTTCGGGTTCAAGGATTCCGGAAAAGATGAGAACTGATCATGCTCATAGCCATGGATTTATCAAGAATTTTCTCTTCACCGTGTCTCCTGACTGTCGATGTTGTGTGTAAGTAATTAGTGTATTAATATATAAGCTTTGAAGGGGAGAGAACAGTACTAGAATGAATAGAAAATACATCTAGAGGTAGAGTACCATAGACGCATCAGCATCAATCAATTACTATCAAAAAAACGGGGGAAAGGGTATCCACTTAAGTGAAACAAGATGAAGAAACACAGAGGCACGAGGAGGTCAGGGATAGCTGACTGAGCACCCCTTGCGCAACTATCTCCCACTACTTAGTGTAGTAATAATAGAGTGCTTGGCTTTTCGCCAAAGTCGTGAATTGCATGACATGGATGACCGCCCCCCAAAGCAACTGTATTTTTCCTGGCGCCCTTCGGGCCCCATAGTGCGCTCGAATCTCCCCTGATTCGCTTACAAATTACATGATCAGGAGCAAGAAGAAACAATACAAACAAAAACACAGCCCGCCATCCCTTCGAACCCCGCCCCCAGCAGCGGTTTCTAGCTAAAGTGAAAGAAAGCGCGGACAAGCTCCAGGCGCTCGGTTGCTCCAGCCGGACTTGGCAGGGGGGTGGCTAAGTGAGGCGGGCCTTCCCTAGACGAATACAGCTAGCAACCCATTAAAGACGCAGCCGAGCCTCAAGGGCAACAGAGGAGGACAACGCGCAGGAACCATCAATCATGCCGCCCCGCCACTCTTCACGTTCGTTCGGCTCCCTTTAAAAGGTCGCGCCCTGACTCCCTTCGTCTCATGCCAAGCATGTCCATCATCATCCATCTTCAAAAGAGCTCTATAGTAAATAAGTATGAGAATATCTTCGTTATCGTTTATTTCGTTATCCGATTGTCAATTCATCTCTAATGGTTTTTTCATAAGTTCTGCCACAATGATCCTTTGTGGTTTGTGCATCAAAATGACATCCAGAAGACGGTTTTGAGGTGTTTTCTTAAGCAATAAAAAATTAGTGGATCGATGATGTGCACCATCTTCGATATCGAACTAGAACTAGAAGAAATTTTAAGAATACAAGTAATCGGCAAACGCAAGAGTGTCCTTTCGCTTTCGCTTTAGCTGCTATCTTTTTTCATCTTGCATAGTTCGTTGCTAAACCGTTGAGTGGGGAAGTCTTGTAATTCAGCTTTTTCATCAGGGATTCGGGCTGAGGACAGCGCGGCTTTGAGATCCAAGTGTGTGGAAATGCGGGTTGTAGCTATGTATCTATATGTAAGGATACGTTTCTACGAGCAGCACAGTGGTGAAGCATCCCAATTTCTATCCGTTTTTTTTTCTCACCTGCAGGAAGTGCAAATGATCACCAAAAAACATGACTCAGAAGGGAAAGCTAGCATGGCTGCGGGGTGTAGTGGTAGGATGTTGCTAAAAAGAAAATCCGCGGCATGAGTGCTTGAGAGGTGGATGTGCTGAACTTATTGTTTGGTAAATGCTTCAAATGTTCATCCTACCTCGTTATTGTTTGGTAAATTCTTGAGAGTGTGGTCTGACTGTTTTTCGTCATTTGAAGATATATTTGGGAAGTTCTTCGCAAGAAAGATTTGTTGCGATTACAAATCTTTTTAGTTCTTCATCTTCGAAAAGAAAAACCAGCAAAAATATTGCGTTACAACCGCACTCACAGATCTTTGCACACCATTCTGGCAAAGAACACCATCCTGATTCTGTTGCTTCAGTGGGTGTCCATTGATCAACTTTTTGATTTTCAAAGATCCTCTAAACAGGGCGAAATATTTCCTCGTTGTTGTTTCTGAAAGAACTAGTTCCTTCGCAACACCACATCACATATGAAGGAAAAAATATGTTCAGTATCTATGTAGTATTCGGTCCTTAGATTTTTTGAACTAGCAACTACATAAAAGTCAAGCGTTGGAATTAGGTGTTGGACGATGTCCTCAATCAGAGCTCGCTTGTCAGCGCATTGCAAAGGTGAATCATGTGCTAGGGTTTGCAACACACACTTGTTTTTAAGAAAATGATAAATATCGAGTAGCCTATAATGAGTTTGGAGGCTTTGGCTTTCGACACGGACTAGCTGTTCTGGTTGTGTGGGTGCCTGGGGGTTAAAGTATTTCATTTAATTGCAGGAGCCAGTAGCAGTATACGTGTTCATGCTTTACGAGCCTGTAGGTCGAGCTAGGTGAAGGTGATGAGAGTACTAAGGGAGAGAGAATGAGCTGCAGCGACCACGCGCAACATGAAGGTACAGCTGCACTATGAGATCTATGTATAATTCAAAAACTCGTCCATGTCAACAAAGTCAACAACAAAATCTAATTCTAATAGCTAGGTTGTACTCTACTAGTGTTCTATCTTATTTCAGGTTCTTTCTCTACTTGATGTTGATGTACACTATCAAATGGTCGGACTCAGAGTGGCTCTCCATCAAACCTTAGCTCCCCCAAATACGTCCTTTACGTTATAATTCGCGAGTGTGTAATACGCCCGTTTAATATATTTATATATATATAGATATATAAACTTCATGAACTTGAACTTGATGAAGTTTGACGAAGATATTGATTTCCATATACTAGCTCATCACGTTGAGTTCAACATGAAGATTGGGTAAACGATCTTGTGCCAGTTTTTACTCATTTAGCGACTAACTTCTAGTTCATCTCGTCTTATTAATTTCTAGTTCTTCGCATTAGATTTTTTAGCTGCTAGACCACTCTTAACCAATACCAACGACCAGAAAAGATGGGCTTCACAGGAATCGTTCAGGAAATCGGCCGTGTGCGTGAGGTGCAGAAGGAAAAAGCGGCGAAACTGTGGGATGGCTCCGTAGGGAAGTCACACACGTTCACCATAGAAGCATCCGCTGAGATCCTCAACGAAAAGACGTATGTAGGCGAGAGCATATGCACGGAAGGCGTTTGCCTAACAGTCACCGCTTTCAACCGGCCGGCCTCTGCGACTGAAAAAGGATGGTTTCAGGTAAATATGAATAATTAATCTTCTTGGACCTCGGACTCGGTGGATACCATTACCACAAAGAATAAGTTGGTAAGTAGATTAATACAATCTCATTCTCACTCAAGAATATGAAACTCTCAAGAGCTCAAAGGGTGAATACTACGACATATGATTTAGACCTTTCAGGTACAAGCAGCGGGACACACTTTGGATATCACAATGCTTGGGGAGCTCGTCGCTGATTCCCCCGTAAACCTCGAGAAAGCAGTTTGCGTTGGGCAGGATATCTCTTACGAAAGGATCCCCTGAGCTCCTGATCTTCAGACTTACACTTGTACAACGCATATCTATGATTCATAAAATCAATTTTTCATTGTTGGAGTTCACTCTGTTACTTCATCAAGTAGTGCATTATACTGCTATGGTTCATAAAATCAACTACGTGTCTAGCTAGCTAGGCTGTTATTTCTTAGACAACGAGCACATTTTTATACACTTCTTGTTTTTACTATGTATGCGTATGGTGGTGAATGCGAATAGGTGTTGTGAATTCTATCCTTCTAAGTCACTGGGCATGAAGTCCAGGGCCACGTTGATTGTACAGTTGAGATTATCAAGAAATGGCAAGACCGGGACAACCTGAGACTTCGTTTTCGACTTCCACAACAATTGCGTTCTCTTATTGTAATGAAAGGGTACGTAGCACTCGGTGGGGCGTCCCTGACAGTATGCAACATCACACGGGATACGTTTGAGGTATTATTTTCTAGCCTAGTACGTACATGCTTACATAAAGATTTAGTATATAACAAGATTCAAGCAGGTCAAGGTTGATTAGATACTAGATGGTAGATTCTTCTACTTGTCCTTCTAGTTGTTGTTCGTCATCATCTAGGAAAGCTGGATTCACCTAAACTTGTACCCGTTCTTTTTCTGTCATTCCTGTATCTGCAACTGCAAGGATGACTACTCTGTCTGGTCCATAGTCGACTCTATTCGTTCCTACACTCTCTTGTCAACTGTCTTCGTTCTTAAGGTAATGTTGATTCCGCACACAGTCCAAAGGATTACGCTTGCGCGGAGAGCTGTCGGTGATCGGGTGAATGTGGAGGCGCACGTAATCGGCAAGTATATCCTAACACAGATGGACGTCGCTCTAGAGCGCGAACGTTTCCTCGCTAGGCTGGCGCTGGGCACTTCACTTGTCGCATTGTTGACAGCTGCGGGTGCCATGGTACTTACGGCTAATTCACGATTGAGCGGCGCAAGCAGGTAGCACGAACCGCAGCTAGGCAGAGTGACGCAGACGAAGACCTGCTGTGGCGGTCGTGACAGGAGTGGTTGCGCGCCGCTAACCATGACAGAGCGCGGGCTACAAAGGCTAAAGGACTCTGCTCCACTCAGTACTAGAGATTATCCATGCAGCCTCTCACCCTGGATTTTATTGGCCTGCTAGAGCTGAAAGTATTGTCGCACTGCAGGAAAATTGAAAAAGAAATATTTCTGGAGCCTGGAAGATATAAAATGGTGCAACACTCCTTCTCGTTCGCGGCCGGTTATGGAACAGGCACAGTATTAACTTAAGCCAATGCTAGAAAATTCTCAGCTATGCATGTTGATGTTCATGTTGTACGGAGCACACATATACAGTCTGTATCTGTTGCTGTTATTGTCAGCGTCCTGATGATCGTAGTGTCTTCCAATCGCGCGAACATGTTTACTCTGAAATCGATCTGATTGGTATTTCCTCCACTGGTCGGTGGAGGTCTTTGTGCAGCATGCCAGGAGCAGGAATTGACACTTGGATCATGAAAGAAGCCGATCTTGATAGATTGGTACGTAAATTGCGCTTCCACCTTTCGTAATCGTATTCCTAAGAAACATAACCATTCGACGTTGTAAATGATTTTTTGTAACGAGACACATGATGTTGTACATCCACAACTACAACATGCTAATCAATCCACAAAAACAATCGCCAGAAATAAGATGAATGCCCGTAAATTATGATGTGCAGTGGCGATGATGATGAAGATGCTGTCCATCATTAGAAAGTATTGATGATCTCAAAATAAATGCCGTCCTTGCCCACTAAGTCTCAAACTCAAACAATTCAGACGCTTGAAACTCCAGGAAAGTTGTTCTGGTATTAATGAACGAATTGAAACCAAATCTCTACCTTCATGCAGTGAAAGCGAAATTTTTCGTGCCCAAATCTATCATTTACCACGACGTAATTTTCTCCTGGCTGCTTCACGTTCTGCACATGCTGCTCAACGTGTATTGTAGTTGTTCTTTTTGAGGCGGTACTATTTCCATGAAATAGTTGTATGTTGTAAGGAGCAGGCTGTGGCTATGAAGATGCGCATCGTTGATGATCATAACGAATCAGATGAATTTCAATAGGAATTCGAAATCCAAGTCTAAGCTGCCAGCTATAACGAGAGTTCAAGTCATCTTTTCCTTTCATCTCCGAAATCGCAATGACTTCGCGGATTTCAACACAAATTCGCTTCACAGCGGCAATCAAACTCAAACTTCGGAACAGGCGACTCATTCATACTCACAATCGTTGTACTTGTATCCACTTTTTATCTCTATCGCTATCCTATCCTTCCTACTTTTTGTTTTTCCCGCCCTTTGCTTTTCTGACTAATTTATTCATTGTATGTTCGCATGTTTATTGCTGCAATGATTGCGATTCCCTATGAGACGTATTTATTTCCTATTAATTGCTTACTTCACGCGCTCCCCTTACAGCATATGCTAACTATGTCGCAAGCACCGATGCACAGCCACATGAGAAGCAACGGTTAGGTCCTTCAGAAAATGAAAAGGGACGTATTAAAAGAACAGAAATTGTACAGAACTAGAAGAACAAAGGTGGAGGTTCTCGTTCTTCATTGTTCGCGATAGATACACAGAGCTCGAGGAGAGTCTACAGTTCTGTATTATTCTTCAAGCTCAGAAGAGCAAGAAGCGCTAGAGGTACTTCTATCAAAAGTCTTTTTCTGTCTTTGTCAGCGTCTCCTAAAGCTGATATTGACCACCAAGATGATTGATTCTTTCCAGTAGCAATTCTTAGGCAGTCTAGGCAGTCAAATTTGATATTTTTTTATACACGCGAGCGGCTAACAAGTCTACCTTGCTTCTCCAAGAAATATTCATCTTTTCACTTATCGTTATCGATATCATTGTCATCCGCTCTTTTGCTAGAACAAGACCATCGAGCGACGTAAAGATCAACGTCAACGGCATGAGCTTCAATAGTTAAATTGTTTCTGGTCCGCGACGCGGCGTGTGTAAATTTTGATTTTTGGAAGTCAAGAAAGTAGAAGATGTCAAAAAAAGCGAAAAAGGCTGGGAACACGTCGAAGGAGGTCAAGGCTGCACCATGCTGGACTGAGGAGAACCAGGAAAGACTTGCTGAAGCTTTGTTCCAATTCCAGTGCATTGAGGACGTGAAAGAGCGTTTTGGTGCGATATCTACCTTCGTGGGGGGTAGGAAATCTGCGAAAGATTGCGCCGAATTTGCTCGAGAGAACGAAGCCTCGCTTACGGCGCTGTGGCGCAAGATTGAAAATGAAAGGAGGGTCGAGGAAGAAAAGCAACGCTGGGAGAGCGTACTGGCGGAACAGGAACGAAACAAAATGGTCTTCTACTTCTTGTTCTTGGCTCCGACAACTTTATTCTGGAACATTACACATCTTTCTACAACATGGATGCTGAAGAAGAATTAATATAATTTTTAGAGAACTATACAAGAGTTAATAAATAGAAGTAATACTGTTTTGGATTTGGAGTTCATTTATATGGGAAGGCACCTTCACGTTCCCCTACTTGCCGACCCCGATGGTATACCGTCAGATGAAAATTTTCGATTTCGAACAAAGTTCATATGCTCCCATGAAACGATTACGCATCTTCTGTTCAATCTATTACAGGCCACCGAACGAGAACGCAACGCCGTGCGTGCACAGCAAAGAGAAGAGCAGGAGCGACGGCGAGAGGAAAAGGAGCACGAGCAGCGCGAAGCTGAGGAGAAACGGCATCGCGAGGAGCGCGAAGCGTATATGAAAAAGGCCGCTGCCGACAGAGAGCGACAGAAAAGAATGCAAGAGGACAAAGCGGCTCAGGCTGTTCGCGCTGCTCGTGAGCAGCTGGAGAAGAAAGAGCAAGCAAAGCTAGAAGCGAAAGAGAAAATTCGCAAAGCAAAAGAAGACCGACTCAAGCGTCAGCAGATGGAAGTCATGGGAAATATACAAGCAGGTATTTTTCTTATCGATGGATGCATATTCTAGAAGTGGATGTAGAGCAGCTAGTTGTAGTTCCATCTTGATCAATCATCGATGAGCGTAGAAGGTGGCGAACCTCAAGATCAACATAGCAATTTTTTTGATCTTGTCTTACGAAACATGTTCATTTTGTTCATCTTATTTCTGTTACATGAAAATTCATCTCGTCTTCTTGTTCTACATCTTCAGCCAAGCGAACTGAGATAGCAGAGGAGCGCGATGCAGTTGAGAGGGCGCACTATGGTTTAGAGACGACGTCCTCTGCGTCGACAAAAAGCATGACGCAACACCTTGAGCGGTGCTCCATACAGGAATTGCGTGGTGGTGACGCCTCGTCGAGTTCAACTGCCAATATTCAAAATCTCATCCGGCAGGGCGCTGCGCCAGCAGCTTCGTCCTCATCCAGTTCAACACAAGGGGCGCATTCATCTTCGAGTAAAGCCGCGAATATAGATCATGCGGTGTCTGACAGGTTTGCGGGAAAGGTCGTGAATCCTGACGGCGGTCGCTTTATGGTCTACATGAAGGATGGGGCCGCGGCCGCTAGCAGTGGAGGTGCATCCTGCTCATCCACGGCGAGAAGTCCTAAGCAAGCGGGTGGTAAAAAGGCACCACCTCGTGGCAACGGACAGCACTTGTTCAACCCCTTGCCTCGAGCTGCAAGTAACGAACAGCAGATGAACACTGCTAGGGACCACGATGGAGACGATTTCGTCAGCTGCGGCGAGGATGAAGATACTCCTCGCGCGTCTCGGACGTCGGGGAAACAGAACCAAGCAGAGACGCTGCCAGTGACGGTGAGCAAGGCTGCAGCCAGTCGGCGAGCGGGCGCCAGGGCTGCGCTGATTGGCGCCCAAGCATCCTCTAGAGGCCCGGGAGGGCGAGCAGTGGCCAGCAGTATGTATCCTCGGAAATATTCCGCACCATCTGCGTCCGACGACAATTCCGATTCAAGCTATGTTTCAGAAGAGGAGTCGCAGATGAGTGATGCCGACAACGACCTCGCAGACCAGCGGAACGTTCTAGCCAGCCGCAAGCAAATGAAGTACAACAATGTCGCCAGCACCTCTTCATCATCTAACGGCCAGAGCAAGAAAAGTATCGACCAGAGGAAGCTGGAAGATGACAAGATGTCAGTAGAAGATGAAGCAGACGACCACGCACCACAGGCGTCGAACAGGACCATTTCAGATGACGAAGATGAGGGTCTTACATGCGGTCTGTGTGCGGACCAGCATGAGGCCAACTCGCATGGTTTCTGGGCCCAACATCGATGTGGCCACTCTTCTGTTTGCGCAGTGTGTACTCTGAAATTCCGATTCCTCATGAAAAAGGCCCAGTGTCCTCTGTGTATCACGGACCAGCCAACATTCGTGCTCACGAGGACGCCACTCTCGAGCTGGGACCAGTGCAAGATCGTACATGAGGACGGCGACGACCCCTGGAGCAGCGACGGTCGTTTTCGTTGGGTCCAGGAACTCAAATGTTTCGCGCATGTCCAAGAGGAGCAAGACCTCAAGGCCGTGGAGACGTAAGATTATTCCGTCAACAATTTCCGTATAGAAGTTTCCCTTTTTCTTTTAGTACTTTTTTTTTACTTGTTACCAGAACCAGATAAGTACACGACGGTCACGGTCTTTCATATTCATTCTATTCTTTGCTACAATAACTAGAGTTGGAACGAGCTAGTACTTCTACAGGCCCTGCTGTGATTGTGAACTGACTGTGAAAGACGCAGGATGATAATGATGCCACTGCTCTACTCTGTTCTACTTCCTCGTTAGAAGTACTTGAGGTTGTTGATGTTCTCGTCCATAATTGAGTCTTAATGACCTCCGAATGCTACTTCACTAACTTCTTTCTTGTATCAATCTAGTATTCTGTATAGAAACGAACTAGTATTTATTAAGGGTGAAGAAGTATCGTAATCGTTGATTGTAGAACGAGTATTGAGCATGATCTTTTGGTGTCAGGTTTAAACGGATGGCAACGTGGGACTCCTGTCCCATGCCCAAGTGTCGATGGCACGGGCGCGGCAACACGCGGGAAGACCTAAGCAAGCACTTGCAGAGAGACCACAAACACGCGCAACTTCAGTACTGTCACATTTGCGTTGAACACCAGAACGAGTTTCCCCTGTTGATGCCTCGCTACGACGTCACCAAAGGCGAGCTGGTCGCCCATTGCAATAGCATGCACGAAAAATGCGTGTTCTGTCCCGTGGAGAAAACGGGCTATTTTTACAATAAGCAAGAGGCGCTAAAGCATTTAAGAGACTCGCATGAAAAGTGCATCACCTGCGACAAGGCTGGGAAATCCGCGTGCTGGTTTCAAAATTTCGAGGAGTTATGGTATCACCACGAGTCAACGCACTACGTATGCCGAGAGGAGTACTGCTACAATTTGAAAGCCTGCTGCTTCGCGACCCAATACGACCTCGAGTCGCACAACCACCTGATGCACAAAGGACCGAAGGCGACTCCTACCGTGGCCAATGGGGGCCTCCCGTCCTCGGCGGCGAGCGGCACGCCGATGACTGGAGCACGGGGAGGACCAACCTTGGATGTTGACTTTCCCTCACTAGGCGCGGCTGCAGGCACGAGCGCGAGTAGCGTAGCTGAAGGGAGCACTTCTTCGACCAGTGGGCGTGGAGGAATACGTACTGGGGGTCGCGGACCTCCTTTAGGAGGTGGCGGCTCTGTGGCACCTCCGCCCCCAGCCCGAAGCGTGGGCGTGCCGAAGCCTTCTCGTTCAGTTCCCATAGAGCGCCAAGGATGGCAGACCATCCCTGGCCGAGGCGCAGCGTCAACAGCGGGTGGAGCATCCAGTAGTTCCTCTTGGGCAGTACCACCACCAGGAGGAGGAGGCGGAGTAGGCGCAGGAGGCCCGTCGCAGCAACAAACAAATAAAGCGAAGCAGAAAAAAAAGCAAGATAAGAAAGCACTGCAGAACATGGCATTCAAGAGAGCATGAAAACGAGAACGAGGACACAATCACAAAAGACACGACGAGAAAAGATTCTTCTTGCAGTTTGGGAAACCTAAATACTCTAGAAGAAGAAGAAGTAGAACTACAAGTAGACTCCTTTTGGGGGTGGTCCTTTACCCATTTGGGTGTTGGTGGCGTATTTTATGCCAGAGGGCTTTAGGAGCGTGCTCTGCGTTGTCGTTTTCCTCGGACGCCTGCTGATCCCGGATTCCCTGCAACGCGCTCAAGCACGGTGCTGTGTAGGGGAGGCAGCTGACCAGCCGGTGATATGCGTAACGGCCAGAGAGCGATAGTCTTAGTGGCCGCGACGCGCAACGACAGGAGCAAGAGTCTGTTCGGCTTCGGGATCAAGTTTAAGGCTTGTCTTTCTTTTTTTTTGACGATCGAATACGACCACTCAATGTCAGTCGAGCAGTAAAAAGACAATTTAGTTTACAAATAAACTTGACCACATCATCTTTTAGTTTCCAAAATCCAAATATACTTGACCACATCAACGTCTAAAAATTCTAAGAAAGAGAGGTGAGGAAATTAGATCGACATGCGGTACTTCTTGACGTGATGGCGCGACATCTCCAGTACTACCGTTAAACGCAGTCGCAGTCAGACGCTTCCAAGAACGCTGCATGACTAAGCAAGAGCGCGCACGGCACTGGCACTCGAACTCTTTTTTGTGGGTAATAAATGGTAGCAAAGGGTATACAACACCAGAACAATCACGACGGGATGTGTTGCAGCCTTGAAGATAAGTAGAAGTTTCTTTGTATCTTTTGTAAAAACTGGTGGTATGTTAGTATCAATTATCAAATCAGTTTCATCTTGAGTGGATATATGATACAGGGACGCACGGCCCCGCCTCTGTGGTTGGCGCTGGCGCGCTCTTGTCCGCGCTGCTTTTCGCGGATTCTCGGGGTGAAGGGCGTCGAAACCGGGAGCGGGCGCCCCCTTGCGCGTCTTTGCAGGTTCTCGACTGACGTCTCGGCCTCTGCCGACCCTCCTACGCATGAGGCCTCCGGGGTGGAAGGCCGCCGAAGGCGGCCACGGTCTCGAGGCCTGGCCTCTTTTGCTGGGTTGCCCTCCTCAAGTGCGCGGCAAGAGCCAGCAGGCCGATGACCAAGGGCCCGGAGGGCACAAGCCACACGGCTTAGGGGGTCCAGCCTTGCGCTCTTTGCTGCCTTCGGAGGCCTTCCACGCCCGGCGCCTGCTGCTGCGGCATGAGGCCAGCACCTAGGAAGTCTGTAGGGTACAGGCAGGCAGCTGGAAGGGAGAGGAGGAGGCCCCGCGGACCCCTTTGGAAGCCTTCCACCCTCGGCAGACGCCTCCGGAAGGGGTCCGGGGGTCCACGCCCTCGCCTCCTACGCTAGGGGGAGGGGACTGCTACCCTGCACCCTGGAACGTAAGTATATGAATATGTAAACTTACTCTCATCTTGACTGCAATTTCACAGAATAGCCGCGCATTGGGTCCACTCTTCGCGTCGTTCTTACAATTCGTAACCGATAATTATAAATATATAATACTGACATAGACACATATTCTCTATCATCTTCTTCGTCTAACTTGAATTAAGTAAGATTTGATTGGAACATTATTACTAGAAGTAAGTAAGGGTTGTTGTGTTGAGCCGTCAGTTCGTCACCCATGTATCGATTCTGAAATTGGAGCTTCAGCTTGACTACTTACAATTAATGAAGGAGTTTCTTGAGGTATCGCGGTTGCTCGGCGACGGATGGTTGTCGTGGAAGTTTGCGTTATTAATCGTCCTCATCTAGTTGTTTTCAGAACAGCATGTATTTAGTAAGTACGCTGTAACGCGATCGCGCTTATGTATATGTTGAAGTTGTATTACCAACACGCTGCACCAGTAGTTAGATCTAGATTCATTGTTGTGGCAAGAACTAAATCTGTCAGAAGATCCAGATGATTTAATCCTTCGTTGGATTCGGATGTCTGTCTTCATCACGTGTTTGTGCCCTAGTATCTCGCTTTTCTCTCCTGCTTGAACAGCTCCACGTATCATGTTTCTAGATTCTTAGGCTCCTCACAGTTACGCCCGGAGTCGGAACAGTTGCAAAAATTCACGGCGTTCTTTGTGTCTTCCCCTTGTGTCCATTTTCCGCTCCTTCAACCTACACCATAGTACGACGACCTCTCCATCTAGAAGACTGACTCGACGCAGCTGCATTCTAAAAAGCAAGGGTGGTAGAATATACAACAATGCAAAAACTTGTAAAAATCTAACGCAGTCGCCAGTCGGACATACCAGGCGAAAATGGCGACACCCAGTCTTTGTCAGGCTGCTGTGATGAGTGGAGGCGTGGCTCATCTACCTGACCCAGTGTTCATGTCCCTGAGCGGGTTTCTAAAATCCAAGTGTGTGGTCTTCAGATCACTCGGTTTTGGGTTCAGTGTTGAGACGACCGTGGCACGACAGCATTGATTTACTCAGATATAGATGCTATATATTATAGGATGATCGATAAAAATAGCATCCTCTAAAAGTATTAAAATCTTGTATGTCTACCCGCCCCATCCTCGTGTGGCAGCGAAGCCGAGGCAACATTCACCTATCCTATCCTATCCTCGCGGACGAGGATGTTTAATATGCCTGCTGTGCCTCTTGACAAGACTTTTTTGCCTTCGTAACGGCTGAAGTTACTTTTTTTCTATTATCTGATTACTTTACGCAGTTTGTGGTTAGTGTATTTCAAGAAAAAGGTGAAGGTCTCTTCCTCTTGTAACTGTTCATCGTATTCGTCTTCCCTCCAAGGCATCAATAAAGATGGTCGCTGCAATGTCATCATCGTCCTCAAGTCTCTTGGTTCGGTGTGGAGGTACGACCACTGCCTCGTCTAGCAGTACTGGTGCACGACGATGTTTTTCACAACATGCTGGAGGAGCTCTGTCCCGTGGTATTAGTGCAGCCAATATTGGTTTGTCTAGAGGCGAACCCTTCTCAAAAAGGGGGACTAAGACTATTTTCTCCTCAACAAGAGCAGCGACATCGTCCACATCATCTTCACGTACTTTCTCTACTCAGCCGTTGAAAATTGGATATTACATCGATGGTATGGAAAGGTTTGGAGATGGAGAAACGATCGTGTCAAAAAATCCCGCTACCGATGAAGAGATTGCGATTGTGCATGGTATCATTTACTAGCATCATGTTGAAGATGAGCTTTCGGTTTCGGGATCGGAGAAGGACAAATTATACGGTAGTGGATGAAGAACAAGAAGAGCACCAAACGCGAATTATTATTAGGTGATCCTCATGCTCGTCTGGATGCGCAACTCAAAAAACAGTAGTTTGATATCATCAAATTCAAAGGTCTCATCTTTTCGTTCAATGAGAGTCGGTGACTTCGAGTTTGAGGCTGCGTCGGAGATTGATTGCTACACACCCACACGCACATACTAAAAAAACAGGAAACACGGTATCAGAAACCTGCGAGGCCGTTGAGTCGGCGAAAGAAGGCTTTCGGGAATGGTCTGGCATGACCGGGGTAGAGAGGTCACGCATTATGCATCGAGCCGCACATATTTTGAAGGAGAACCGTGTCGATTTATGGGAGTTGCAAAAATAACGGATGCCGGATAGTGATAGTCACAAGTAGAGTAGAGTAAGACGGTTCCTGTTCCTCGTGGAATGGAAGCTGTGGCGCCGGCGCGCGATTTCTAGTGCCATTGGTACATCAACATAAAGGTAATTTCGTGTCGTGAAGACCACGATTTATTTGATCTGAAAAAGACTGGCGTCACTCACACCTCCTAGGTCAGCATTCCCCCTCATCTTTCTTGTTCTAATGCGTATAGCCAACATGGAGACGAAAGATAGCGGCCATTGCATAGCGGAAACTACCGCAGCCCACGTAGACGCGGGTGTGGAGACGTTAGTTAAGACTGCCCCGTCATCGTGGTCGCCCTCTCAACTAGATCTAGATCAAAGTAGTCAAATAACGGAATACTTGAAGATCCGGACGAGACAAAGAAAAACCTTTTGGGTCTTCCGACTTTTTTTACACAGCCCGCCTAAACTTTCGCTCTAGTAGGCAGAAGAGTAATCCCAATTCATAAGGGAGTACTACGCGAACCTAGCAGTTTCGGCGCATGAAGGAAAGACGATACCATTAGCAGATGGCAGCTTCGCACAATGCGTGCGAGAGCCGTACGGACCCTGTGCCGCTATCGTCGCATGGAACTATCCTTTCAATATGGCTCTCTACAAGTCAGCAATTCTATTAGCAGCAGGTATTCTTTGTGACACATCATACTGTGGTTGACATTACCATGAATGAGCCTTGTTGAACTTGAACTTGATGTGCTAAACGAAAAGTATCGACGAGCTTTTGTTGGTGACTCTTCAACACCATTCAACAGAGACAGCTAGTTAGAATTTGTAGCTGTAGGTTTCTGAGACATTACTTTCTAGTTCCGTTTATCGCATCATCGACACTGAAGTTGAACTTGAACGATCACCGCTACAGCAATTTCGATCCCAACTTCCTCTTCCATAGGTAACTCGATCGTGATGAAGCCTTCATCCAAGACACCGATAAATACTATGGGCCTAGCATCCTTATTTTCAGAAGCGGGCTTACCACCTGGTGTCTTTAATGTGGTGCAGGGCGGCGCGGACGTAGGAAGCGCGCTGTGCGAGCACCCAGATGTAGCCAAAGTTTCCTTCACGGGAAGTACTCCAGTAGGAAAAAATTAAGCGCGGCTCTTTGGTTCTTGTTGCAGGAACGCTAACTTTACCCAAGAGCAGGAATGAAAAACCAAAAACACGTGACGAAGATTGGGGCGATGAAGCCTAATGCCTCTTATTCAATATTCCACTTCTAGTTCTACATAAGATGGTACTGTTAAGCTACAAACCTCCCAGACTCATGATCCACTCCGCAGTACAACGTTGCTTCTCTTCTAAACTAAGATCCTCACTATGGCAGCGCACACTATCAAACCGACAACGCTAGAGCTCGGAGGAAAGTCACCGCTCATCATATTCGATGACGCTGACATTCTTCCCGCTGTCAAGGCCGCACTAATCGCAAACTTCTATAGTGCAGGTATAATTTATCTATAGAATCATGAATGCTCGCAAAAATTATTATCTATAGATCATGAATGATATGATCGACTCCTATTCTATGTAGCAGCTAGTTGAATTTCAATTTATTTTAGAAGTTTGTGTTAGTGTTATTGAGTCGTGTTAATACACTTACAACACTATGTGTACGTCTACTGATATTTTTGGCTAGAAAGAAGTTAGTTTCGGATGTTGGACATGGACCTGAGCCTGAGACGAAGATACCCATCACACCGCTTAAAAGGTGAGATCTGCACGAATGGGACTCGCGTTTTCGTGCATGAGAAAGTGTATGACCAGTTCCTCAGCACGTTTGCCGAGCAAGCCGAGGCCCTGCGGGTAGGCGACCCGCTGGATCCTGAGACGCAGATCGGAGCGCTAGTAGACGTGGGTCACGCGGACTCAGTGCGAGACTATATCACGAAGGGGCAAAGCGAGTTATGAAAGAAAAAGATCGGGCTCGGGATAGTATTACTCAAGCAGGTGAGTTTGTTGACATGATTGAACTTTGAAGACAGACAATCGCGAGCAGAATCAATGCCTGAAGGTCCTGAAAGTTGAAGGCGTAGATGGATGTATGTACATGTAGTGAGAAGATGTAGTAGGAGTAGCTTTCAACATCTTCTTCAAAATTAAAATAACAACAACAACATCCGAATCCTTTCTAAGAAATGGCGCGACCCTCGTCTCTGGAGGTATTGAGGTTCCAAAAGACTTGCCACGACACTTGAATCCAATCGCATTCATTCGACCTACCATCTTCGCAGACGTCGGTGACGAGATGGTTCTAGCAAAAGAAGAAATTTTCGGTCCGGTAGCGAGTGTGCTGAAATTTTCCGATACCGAGGAAGTCTTGCATCGCGCGAATGCGACGGAGTTCGGTCTCGCGAGTGGATTCTTCACAAAGGTACATCAATAAGCAAGCAGTCGCAGTCCAATGATGTGAAGTGATTATAAAATTGCTATTCCGAAGTGCGAACACTGGAGTTCATCTCCAACTGCAGGAATGTTTGGTTGCTATGATTTAGATTTACTAAATTTATTGTAGAGTAAGGTAAATAACGGGTTTCGGGTTGCTCGAGTTGCAACGGGTTGCTCGGGTTGCCGAAGCGCAGGGGTTCCAAATCTGGAACGGGTTGCCATGGGTTGCCAGGAGAATCCTGACCCAGCAAAATGGGGCGAAGCCGGGCGGTATGGAGGGGCATTCGTGCGCTCGAAGTGAAGAAATGGAGAAGAGCAGTTTCTTTTTTGTTGTTGTTGCTCATGAAAGGGGCAGCCACGTTTGAAGGGCTCTGCAGGCTTTCGGGCTCTTCTTTTGTAGCGTGCGGGCGCGTGTTTGAAGCGAAAACAAGGAGTGCAGGCCCCTGCTCTCTGTTGTTTTTCTTTGAGGTGAGTGGCGCTGTTGTTTGTCGTCTCCGAGTCGTTGGCGATCTCTCCCATTTTTCTTCGGGTGCGAGCGTGGCCAATCTACTTGGGGGCTGAGGGCGAGTCTCCGCCTGCTGGCTTCAGCGGGCGACGTGTCCAGTCTTGGGTATAGCAGTAAGTATACTGGAGGAGGTTGCTAAATTGGTATTGGAATAGATTGACGCGCTAGATATTTATACACGAGCGCGCCGCCATCAGTATGCAACTACGGCGCGGCGCGTGGTCGTGTCGTGCGCTCCTGTTCAGGTCTCTCGTAGGGTCATAAATCTGCGCCCGAAGGGCGCCGCGCAAAAAATTTGGGTTGGCAACTCGAGCAACTCGAGCAACCCGAGCAACCCGACCCGATATGGGTCAAAAAAAACCTAACTCTATTATTGAAGTACTCCGAAAAAACTTATGTGGGAACTGTAGGAGGCATGCATACAACAAAAGAATCTAGCAAACACATCTCCACTTTATCACAACGTTAATTTCAGGATTTGAAGCGAGCTCACTATGTTGCTAGCAAACTCCAGAGTGGGATAGTGTGGTGTAACACCTACAACATCTATGCGCCAAACGTGCCTGTCGGAGGCTACAAGCAGAGTGGGTTTGGTCGCGAGTTCGGAGAAGAGGCGCTCGAACACGCGACGCACACAAAGAGCATCTACTTCGAGATGAATCCAGACGCAGGCGGAACTGACTTCTGACGAGGCGAGAGAATGCTAGTACTAGCAGTGACTTCTGAAAGGTCAGGAGGAGACTCTCAGAAGTGACTTCTGAAGAGTCAGGAGACGGACCAAAGTAGAAGTCGAGTCGCACTCACGCCTAAGACCGACGGCAGATTTTTTCTGGAGGAGCGTGCATGGGAGTCAACTCCGCGTGAAACACGATCAACTGTGTAAGTATATTTATTTTTGTCACTCCTGCGCAACCGCAATGCGCATCCCTAAGTACTTAATGAACGTCCTCAAGCTGCTGGCGCACCATATACGTATACCCCGCGTCAGTCGTTCTAAATGATAGAAGCCAAAGCGGTGCGGCTAAGCCCTTCTATTGAACAGAAAGCGACTGCGAAAGAGCCTGGCGCTTCATCGTGTTCCCGGGCGCGAGTTCCATGAAAAAATGTGCACCAAGAACCCTGAGTTACTACAAGAGATTCATTGTGAAGGAAGATCAGACCGATCCTTCCTGCAGTGTGCCCAAGAGATCATACATGGATGTGTCTGGTTCTAGGAAGTGTGTTAAGTAGAGAAGGGGTGATGCGCTGTGAGGATTACTCTACACCTCCTTTGGGCGACCATGCTGGTAAAAACTGTAAGTATAAATATTTATGCCTCCCCTTACAGAATGTACGTCAAGCCACACCAGACAATGGCGTCCGTTTTGTTGTTGAACAGCAATTTTTACAACATCGATTTGTGTTGATGACAGCTTTGCTCGTAAGTATAAGCTTTTACTTTCGCGTGCTGAGTCACCTTCTTATATATGTGTAGTAACATATTGATTTTATTAGGCTTATTTTTGTTTTTCCTCCAGGGTCTGAGATTGAGTCTGGTCACGACTGCCGCACACCCTCTCTTTCATTACTTTTCTTACTGAGCACGCAGGCCAACGCTATCCGGCCTCTTGTCAAGAAAAAAAATGGATCGCGCTTACGCTATTGGTGTTACTCAGTCTAGGTTACGGGTCGCAAAGCAATTACGTTGGAGGAATAGTTCATCTACTCTTGTTCAACCACCTCGTCTCCCTTGTGTTGGAACAGCAGTTGTTCCGAATACATTGTCTGTCCCCGTTGTATGTTGGGATAAGCAGAAGTATGTGCAAGGATTTTGTGCTGCCACATCAAGTGCTAGACTTCGAGCAAGTAGTACTAGTCTTCCCGGATCAAGTTCAAGGTCTATTTCATCAACCTCCAGGTCCAGTTACGGTTGTGGTAGACCATGTAGGCTTAACGTTACAGGCGTCGGGCCAGCTGACACTGCGTCTAGGCAGATTAATCGTCCCCCTGAAGAAGGCAATTTACCGACCTCACCATGCAGACTGAGCCTGAGCGGTCAGAGTTTTATTCAACGCCGAGGCGACGACAAAAGGATATTGTCATTACGGGCTCATGATGCAGCCGCAATAGGGCTGCGGACCCGCAGTCGTGTCCATGAGCGCTATTTTGCAACATCCAACGGCGAGAAGGTCGACGCTAAATCAAGCCCGCCACCAGAAGAGCGAGAAGAAGAGGGGACTACAAAAAAGTCATCAGCGACAAAGGCCTCATTTTCTTCAGCAGACGGCAAGAAAGAGGGAGAGAATGCGGAAAATGAAGAGGAAGACGAGCGAGCGAAAAAAGAGGAAGCGTTCGAGAAAGAATTGCAGACGCTGAGCAACCAAATCCTGCTAGCGGTTGGCTCTCTTTCATTGGGTTTTATGACACTGCGTTTCTTCGTGCCACGGTTTGGGCCAGGAGCACTCATTGCAGCAGCGACTTTCGTGGGCATCGTGGCGAGTGTGCTTCAAGGAGCGCTTCTGTGGCCAGCATATGTCCCACTTGGTCTACTCGCAGCATACCAGTACGGGTATTTTTCACCCAGTCTCAGTTTTTAGAATAAGCTGACATACTGGTCGGACTTTTGCAATGCGATGGTGATTATTTTAGTGAGGGAGACCACATTGCTTTTATTTTTATTTACTTTTACTAACTATTACTTACAAGAACATCACCTTCTACTAATCTACTAATCCACACAATCAAACGATCATTCTTGTTCTACACATTGTACTACAGGTGGTTGCAGTTCGAGGCCTGGCGCCTGAAGAGTTTCGAACAGGCGGCGCTCGTTGAAGCAGGCCACACCTCTTCCAACGCAGACAACAGCAATCCGGGCTCTGTTGACTTAACTCCGTATGAGACAAACAAAGTCCGGTTATCAGTCTTCCAAGCCGTAGTTGGAGAGCCTCTTCAGGGTGATGAAAATGCAGGCAAAGATGAGCCTTCTAAGCCGCGTTTGGTGATACGCGGCAGTCGTAAGAGTATTTTTCATGCCTGGGCTGTGGACTCCATCGAACATTTTGATGCTGAAACAACGCAAAATAGAACAAGCAACATCTTTGCAGGCCGCCGTCGCTGATGATCAAATTGAAAACCCGAAGATGATCATGATGGTGATGGTGATGCCTGGTGTGGATATAAAAGTGCAGGATGACTCACATTCAGATCGAGGCACAGCGACGCGCAGTGCATTACATATTGCATTTCTAAGATGAAGTCTACCCGTAGTCATCTGTGTGTTCTATTGGCACCGCATACCCGATTAGTTTTGACAAAGAATCGCGGCAGCGTGAGTGTCTGTGTGTGTGATGTGAACTGGTCTTCTTGATCTTGCCCCACATATTTATGATCTGGTATGTTTCGATGAGAGCTCATTCGTGGGCGTAGAGCACTATCTCGGTGAGAGGCTGTCCTAAGGAGACAAGGGCATGAACATTGCGACAGACATTTTTCTGTAGCACCGCCCATGTGCTATATCGATGTAGGAAGATGCATGCCTGCTACTGCAATCGTTTGAATGAGGAGTCGCTGACTGAAGTATGAGTAGCATGGTTGTGGAGACAGTTCATGAACATGTATGCGGCCATCTGTGTATGTGAGCAAGAGCATGTACAAAAGCACCCGGCCTCGTGGGAGATCATACTTTGGAGTACTCTCACAAAATAACAATAGCATGCCTGTACACGACACTACAATTCCCGCGTCGTCCCAGATATGATTCCCCTAATCAAAATCCAGTTGTGTGTGTAGAACAAGACTTGTGAGGCCTCGAAGGATTCTTTTAATGTTGGTAAAACCTACTCCTCGGCATAATGCTGCTGTTTTCACACTGTAAGGGAAGGTAAATACTTCGAAGAATAATCTTCATCTGCGTTCTTGTTCATTCATCTTCAGAGATTTTGAATTTCATCGACTGGAGTTATGTCTATTCTCATGTTCATCGACTTCCACCTTCTAATTCCCTGCATAGATATAGAAGTAGATAAAGATATCTGTACATTGCATGCACCCAACATACAGCGCATAACAAAGAAAATGAGAAGACCAAGGTTCTTTATGTGTGAAAGAATGAAATACAAGAGATGGGCGAAAAGAGGGAGGTCGACGTCGGTTTTGTTACCTCTGGTAGCACATCAAACCTTCAACCTACCCTTTCCGTTCCGGATTTGTTCCATTTCTAACAAGACATCCAATATGAATAACGTCATCAAGAAGAAGGTAAAACCATAATTACTTAATTCAACAGGTGATGCAACAACAACAAGTAGTAGTGGGCATCGATTGATCAACCCGATTCCGATATCGCGTATCACGACGTTCTCGCAAATAAAGGCAGTCGACTAAAAAGTTCAAAAAATGGAGTTTAGTACACCTGTGCCTGTTGGCATGTAGACCTTTCTTTCCCCTAGCGCCAGTACACCTGTCGACATCGAGGTCTTTCTTCTTCCGAAGGCCTCCTGCGCAAAGAAATTGAAATAATTACCTAGAAAAAAGACAAAAGGACTAGTAAACGAACATTCCTATCATATTCAACCTGCTCATCGTCATCGTCAACTCAACATGAGAAACGACTTTTGTCATGCTAAAGGTTCGTACTTACGGAGATACTAGCATTAGCAGGTAAGAAGTATTGTTATATTGATGTTATCCTTGATATTGATTACGATGGTACTCAGACTATTTAGCTTAGTAGATTGTTGAAGTTGTCCTTGGAGCGTTACTTGTGGTTGTGTCTATTCATTCTTGTGTACTTAATTTAGTCGAGTAAGTTTGGGATTTTTTCTACGGAGGAAAGATATAGCCAGGCAGCCCGACCCCGGCCGCGCGACACCGCTACCCACGTTAGCCGCTACCCACAAACGCCGCCGGCTGCAACTGCATAGCCAGACACACCAGAGCCGGCGGCGACGAGAAGGCTACGCGTGACCAACAAGTCTAGCCGTAGCATTAACATAGTCGCAACGGCGACCATAGCACAAAAGAAACACACGATGCGAGATCGTATTCGTACGAACAAATAAAGATGTACTCACTAATTGCTTGCGCCTTTCCGTCGCGACGTTGTGGAGGCCGCTCGCCTATGAAATCCACCGCCACGGAATTTGTCACGCGATTGGCCCTGAATCTGGCGAGTGTTGTCAGTTCAACTGACGCACCTGAGTTGCGTCCTGAGTTGTGTCAGCTCTGTCCTGGGTTGCGTCAGTTGTGTCGTAACTTGTGGAGTTGTGGCCTAAGATCAAGCTGTGGCGAGTTGTGGAAGTTGCGGCGAGTTGTGCGGCGACGGAAGTCGTATAAAAAAAGGCCGCGCTCTACCCTTTGACCGTTCGAATTTGAACACCATGAGACTCCGAAGAAGCGCGTTTGTCTTAAATTATGGCGCCCAAATTCGAGCTGCCAGATATTGAAGCGCGGCGTTTTCATAATATGGCTCCCGCTCCCGCTTACGCGCAGCACTTCCACAACTTAGGCAACAACCCCCAAAACCCAGGACACACCTTCGAAATAGTATGGCGTTAGGGACTTGGTCTTTTTAGCGACGCGTTCTATGTATTGTATTGAATCGCAATGGAAAGAAAGCAGGCTGTTGAAAATGGGAAAAAAAACTCAAAGTCAAAGCAGTAGCAGAATGCTGTGGTTTTTAATTTCGTTCATATTCTTCATAAGTAAATTTCAAGAGAAAGATCTAAAACTAAAAAATTCCGCCACGAGCGACACCTGTGAAACTTACCGTTATCGCTTCTCCTTTCCGATCAGCCTTCTTCTTCAGGGAAATGCGTTTTCACAGTGATAGTTCGTGAAGTTTTGTTACAATGCCACGACATAGCTCATACTGTCTCGCATCTTCTGGCTTCTCCTACTTTCGGCTACAAGTTGCGCTCCTCCTCCACCCAGCACTACCACGCCATGGTGAAGATTGCGTGCTCGTTCAAGCTGTTACATCAGTGAGAAGCAGCTCCGAGAGGCTCTCGCTATTTTCCAACTGGTTGAGGAATATACTGCAGTGATTGCACAAAAGCCACATCAGTCGCTCCTGTGAGAGCGGAGTTTTTTTTAGAGATGAGCAGACGCATGATGTAGCTTCTTTGGTAGTACAATCAACTTACTCCTATTCCTGTTTTGACTGGAAATACTAAACGGAATCGCGTGAAATAGTCCAGGAGGAAGAAAAGATGGAGATGCACACACAAACACACATGCACCTTAGATGTAATACTAGGGCGTAGTACGTCATTTTTCGTGAACGGCACACAGCTTCCGCGTAAGTCTGGCTCGGATTTTTTGTTGATCATTTCGATACAACCGACAATTTTGCCGTCTCGCAACACGGGGCCGATCAGTACACTGTGGGCGCGCCAAGCCTGTTTTTGGAGTGAGCATGAGCATTTTCAGTAAATTCCAGGAACTGCTATTAAATGTGGTGAGCTCCCTCTTAAGAAGTCCAAGCAACCAATTTATAATCATCATCATGTGCTATCTGCGCTTACGCCCGCTTCTCGTGAACTCACTGGGTATCTCTCATCCCACTGTGGGCGTATGCGTAAGTAGTTCTTACTGAAGCTACTGCACCCATCCCGCTACAACTCGTGCTGGAGTAGCGGCAGCTTCGCAAAGAAAAAGTCAACAAATCACTGGAGATGCTTCCTTTACCCCTATCCTTCCATCATTCAATTATAATCCTATCGAAGTACATTTTCAGAGGTCGTGCGTGTCCTTGCGTTCGTATCGTATTTCCGCGATGCCCGAAACCTTTGGTCTGCGTAGACGTCCGCCAAGTTCAACATGGCATTATCCGGGTCTAGAGACTTCAGTACAATGTACTTTGTCCCATTTTTCCGAATGCGCTTTTTCTCCAGCTTATCATGTTTTGCGCTGCTCTGGAGCATTTGTTTCAGCAGCAAAGGCAGTTCCTCTTTCTTGATGTACTCCAAGAATTAGAGATACATCGTCAACATCAATCATCAATGGGAGTGCTGGCTCATCGTTATCGATCAACAGGTTATCACAACTCGAAGGCGAGAACTAGTAGGACACTACAAGGCACTGTGTCCTCTGTGCATTTAGGTAGTCTGCGTTCGTGCGAAGCGCAACACAAGTCGTGTTTTCGGAGAATGAATTTCAGTTCCCTCCTTGACGAAGTCGAGGATCGGGATGCAATTTTCTCCAATATCGAATTAATAAATCGTCCTGCTTCTTGAAGTTGAAGGTCTTGGTTCATAATTTTCCGTAGGCAGTTCCGTGTAGCGAAATTTCATGGCTTTGAAAACGTTGTTCAATCGCGTGATTGACAGAGTATCAGAGTTTTCTTGCCCATGCGCAGCCCGCCGAATGCAGTCGTCGAGCTGCTCTTGACTCGGGGACCATTTTCTTGCCAGAGCCCACATAGAGCTCGCATCCCCATCCTCGTCAATATAGAGCGCACATCGTTCCACATTCAGGCTCCTCTGCCCTTCCTCCGCAACCGACATAAACAAGGACCTGACAAAATACACTTATATCAACGTCGCAAGTACCTACGTCGACCTGTGACATTATAGTAAGACATAGCGAACAGTCTAACGCCGTCGTTCTGCGTTCCCAAGAGAGTAAGCACAAGAGAGTATTAAGCAACAAGAGAGTAAGCCTAAGCACATGATCAGTTTGCCTCGAGCTTAATAGAGCTACCCTTCAGAGGTCGTGGTAAACAAGGTGCGGCGCACCAGAAGAAGACTCCCATTATCAATCTAGTACATCTGGATCTAGTAAACTGCATAACGACTTACTTGCTTGTTAGAAAAAACAAATGCAGCACCCAATGCATGGTGTCGTTTTCTATCTTCTATGTGTATCGTGAATACCGCAACTCCTTTGCTTTCTTCCTTCTTTCGTTCCGCTTTGTGTCTATAAACAATAGCGGGAACATTCCTAGCAAGCATCCGCAAATTACGCCAATAACCATCGATCCTGTTCGAACGATCCGCACGGGAGTTAGGTCCGCCTAGTGGAGGTTGGAGCATTTTTCCAAAAACCTCAACTAGCTACCACTTCTTCTTGTTGTTGGTGTACTTGTATGATAGAAAGGTAAATGCTCTACTTGCTATGTATCTATAACGTATTCACCTCTACGAACATACTCACGAGGTAGTATGCCTGCCTGGTTGAAGGAAAAAGAAGAGGAGTAGGAACAAGTGCTAAGTAATCGATCCTACACTGAATGTCAATCAATGTGATGAATAAACAGAAACACCTGTGCTGCCGTCACCCTTGCGTCAGGTAGACCTAGTTTTGCAGCCGCTGCATCAACGAAACCACTGAAGCTGGTACCACATACATCGGAGCAGCACTGACCGAAGGCTGCAGCTGTCAGCGTCGATACAATCGCAGAAAAATGACTATCGATCAAATCTCCAACCGTAATCATGATCATCTGTGATCATTGGAAGATGATTTTTCTAGCATTTAAGCGAAGAAAGCACGCCCGTTGGTCCTCAACGCTGCTTGACGATATGGCTATATTCCAAACGATGATCATGGTGCACAACAAGTTGATGATCTAGCTGAAAACAGTACGTGACTACAACTACGCTCCAAACTAAGACTGTGAACAGACAGAGTAGTACATTATCCATAAAGCCGAAACCAATCATAGGCACTGCACATTGCAACGCGTATTGTTCGTACTGTTTGCGCGTCGGAGCTTTGACATTCCCATCAGCAGTCAGTCCATCGGCGGCGATTCGCAAGTCGGCTGATTCGCTTCGCGCCGTGCTTACTGCAAAAAAAAGACTTAGAAGTAGGTCTGGGTCTGGGATAGTAGAAATAGAATGATAATGGAAAACTGCATTTATAAAACGGATCGATAGTCATCTTGATTTTCGAGATCGACAAGGAAATTATATGTGGAGACAATAAACTGACCACGTAGACTCAGCACTAGATATATTTAGATTTAGAAATTCCGAACCCGAATATCTACATGAATAAAGTTTATGCATCCCCACGCAGGCGAGGCGCTCCTAATGTAGATACGCCGTAAAAAATATTCAACTTCTTCTTTTGCGTCAATTCCACCTGGTGGCTAAATGGCCACCAGGGTGTTAACGTTTTCTGTGTGACGTAGAAACAAGTCCCGTTTATCTGTTGGCACTCGGTTGACGTATCGCCTGTTCCGCAAGACGTTTTCCATCACGCACGAGGTACACCGCGAAAAAGGATCAACTGGGGGTCCAGGATACCCCGTCGCGAAGCCTCGCGTGCCTGCACGCTGCTGTCGTAGTCGGTGGTTCAGCTCGACGCGACGGAGAGGTCGTTGCCAAGGTTGGGTTGAGGTTGTATCCACTACAGCATTGGCCCGGTTGGGGACGATCATCCTGACTTCTTTTGCTTGTCTTTCTGCGAAAAGAAGTACCTGTTCTAGACTACTAGTAGTTCGAGTTGGTGGAGTTTGAGTTCCTCCTTCAAGGCGCGTGCTCATTTCCACATCTTCGGGGAAGGCTTCGGGAGGAGGTATGAGATTCGTGCAGCCCCCTCCCGTTCTTGTGGTTGAAAAGTTTGTATCTTGCTCTTTAGACGGAATCGCTGTGGTACTCTTACGCCGGAACCTGAAGGAAATATCTTCTCTTGTTTCGTACGCAGATCTTGATCCTCTTCTTCTAACAGCTGCGCCAGCCGTTGTGCAAGAAGCGTTGCTGAACCTACGAATCATTATTCTCGAGTCCCCTCCACGACCGCCTCCAACCATGCTGCTCGTTTTTGTTAAAAAATTGCGATATCTGAACTGAAAAGAACCTCTGTGGACTGAAACGTCCGTTGTGTATCTGAGGTTCTTCGGAAAGCAGTACCGCCTATTTCTTGAAGAGAAGCCTGCGAGTGCCGTTGATGAGGACGCAGCGACGGTCGGACCCGAAATTTGCCTTACGAAAGCTTTCATTGACTCGCTCCCCGCCGTCATTTTGAATTTGAGTCACATCAAGAACTTCTTCATTTTTCCAAGGATGCTTAATACATAGAGCTTTTGATTATTTATCGATTACGCAACAACTTGAACTTCGAAAGTTAAAAGTTAAAATTTTGAATCACCATGAGTTTAATTTATGGGTACACCACAGTCACAATTATAACTCACCAATTGTGCTCGCCGTGATTTGACACTGTGCGTGCCGTAATTGTTTTCCATTTGACATTGTCATTGACGTTGAACCGCATCTGCCGTGGCATCAGAAAATACAAATTGATCAAGGTGCAGTACATTTTTGCAGGAGACGTGACTGAAAATATTGACAATTCTACATAACCTCTTCTCGTCTCCTCCTCTGTCGAAATTCTCTCGTCTCCTCGTTTCTCATTATTCGTATTCTTTGCGTGTTACGTGTGCCTGACTTTTTTGAAGTCAGCAACAGAAAGATCGAAGTAGAAGTCTTCCATCGCTCAAAACCGATTCCTAAAGAACAAGAAAAAGCTAATGAAGTATGAAAATAAACGAGCCTTTTTCTGAGACCCTGCTTCTGTATGTGATATCTTCTGAAAGCAAATTCATCTGGAAGCTTTCCTCCTGCCCATCCTTTGTTGAAGACGAAAAGGCTTCAAGATGGGAAAATCAGGCTGTACACGCATGACCACTACAGGTTTTATTTTTTTCGCAAATATGTTCAAGAAACCCATGTTGAGAATCAAAAAGTCCGCTGAAAAAAACCATGTAATATACATCTTTCTTGGAGGTAGAAGCACAAGCAAGTTTAGAATTTTCCAAATGTTCCGGAATCGCTTATACCAGAGTCAAAGTGTTTAGAAACCTACGAATGATAATATGGAGGGTGTTCAATGATTCATATTTCAGATCTCAAAAAAAAACATGATTGATTGGTGTTGGTGTTGGTCTCTTGAATCAATATGATACAGGTTTGCTGCTTCGCGATCATCCTCAAAGCTCCATCATCATGCAACAAGAAACGCAGAAAGCTTTGTTTCGTCGTTTTGAGCCTCCAAAATGGAATTTCATCGAAAACGTCAAGGACTATTAAGACCTGCTACAACCTGAAATGCGAGGAAAGAGATGAAATCTTGTACAGGTCATTATCATTTTGAAGCTGAGGAGCGATTTGGATGTTGCTATAATTTTAATTGTTGAGGAAGAAACATAATCAGAATTCTGGCTGCTGGGTGGAAAGTGTAGGTTGAGGGCCTTCATCTATGCAGAACAAGCAATCAGCTTCTTGCTCAGCCACTTGTTCATACTATGCTCGCACCACGGAGTAAGAAAGCTGACCTTCACCTAGCGCTAGCATGACTGTGCAAAAATGAACAAAATGCTCATAAACGCTAGACTCCGTAGTTGTGGCTGGCGTTCTCGGTTTTAGCGGTGCAGAGAGCGCCCATCAAATAATAAATTCCGTTCCACTACTTATAATGCATAAACAAAGCTCACCATCTTCGGATTAGTACCCAAGCTTGAAATTGAAACTACCACTACGTTCGCAGTTCGACTATGATTTTGCGTGTACTGGTTCTTCTCTTCCACAACACTTTCTCGCAGGAATAATGTCAATGGTGATTTCGTGACAAAAGTGCTTCGATCAGATAAACGTCGGACGCATGAAGATACCTGTAATGCGGGTGAAGGCTAGAACATCAATGCGTTTCGCGTGTCAACATGAGATGGATAGAAATAGAAGTAAGGAGTCGGTTTGAATTGTATCGACGGAAACGTCTAATTGCATGCCGAAGCGGTGCCGATGGCCGAGGCCACAGGCTGAGGAAAATATCGGCACTTGGCCGACGTCCTATGATCCGCCGATGAAGCTAAACATACAACTCGGCTTTTTTTCATTTTGTGCGTCGTTCAACTCCTCTTTGAGTCTTCTGATCTTTTGTGCCGTTTCCGCGCCTTTGGACTCTGCTGTTTGTCTTTATTTGGCATGTTCCTCTTGCAGCTCCTTTTCGAGATGTTGCATGTCTTGCGTCATTTCCTTAGAGGTCACGGAATCACATTCCTTAGAACATCCCTGGCTTCTTGGCACCGAGCTCATTTTTCCCAGAACACCTTCGATCGACAACTCAACTTCAATTAATTTGACATCAGCACGCGGCACGAGCATCATCAACGCAGAACAGGGAATATGCTCTGCTATGATCTGAAGCATCATCATTGCGGCAAATGCTGGAAATGTTGGATATTAATGCCACTGTTTAAATTGAGAATAGATTGCTGTTTTGTTTGAGAATAACATACACATTCATACACAAACCTCCTTGAAAGCAAACTTCAAACTCCTTTTCCGATATCAAGTCAAACACAAAATGAAATCAAAACCTGAGAAGCTACCCATGATACAATAACAACATTGACGAAAGCTCTTGCCACTGAAAATTAAACGAAAACAAAGGAAATCAACCACGAACATCCAGAAGAATGACTGAAGAACGAATTTGTATAATACACGGCCATTTTCGGTGTCGGTTGCGGGGAAGAGGGCGTGGAGAAGTACGCGAGGAGGAAAAGTAAAAGAGCTGTATGGTGTTCTGACTAGAATAATCAAGTTACTTTGCAACAACTAGAAGTAGGTTCAATTTCATGCAAGTAGAACATGATAATCATAAAACAGAGAAACGCTGAAGCTGATGACCTAAAGATTCATCTTCGCATAAAGTGAAAGTTCCAGATAATAGGTCTAAGGAGACGAGTTAAGATATCAGTTTCCTACTGGACTCGTACACTGGCGTTCGCTTAGGTGAAAACGTAAATTTTATAATTTGATACTTTCGAAGAGAAATCTTGGGTATAGCTGTAAGCATACTGGTACTGAGCATCAATTTCAATGCCCTCTCCTCACGTTCGCGTCCTAAATTCTTCTATGCGTTGGGTTCCTCTACGTCCATCTCTATCGTGTCGCTTCCCAGGAGCTCCATACGTGATGTTCGCAGTATGTGACACTGTCTCAAGCCTGTAACTGGACAAGACCAGCAGAGAGCGCGCGGCGAACTGCGAAAAGTGTCTTTTTCGAAAAAAATTGGAAAACGGTGAGGACCATCCACGACCAGGTTCGCCAGATGATCCACCTAAGAATGTGCCCAGCACGCCACTGGCACTACAGTACGAATTTGGCGTGTCAGATTTTTTTGCTAATATCGACTTGTTGATCTGCAAATATCGTCGTAGAAGCGACCGCGTAGAATCTATACTGAGCCAGGATCCGCCCGAGGGAGGCAGGTCAGCTTCGGATCGTGATATTGGCCTCCCAACACTAGTGGAAAATTTCCGGTCACTGCCTGCGGGCGGGAATTATTAGAAAAGTGGAGGTCGTATCTAAATCTATCAGAGAAAAAAATTGAAAACAAATTCGCGAAAGAAATTAAAATAGAACAAGACGCAAGAGCAAGTCCTCTTTCACGAGCAGTCGCCTTGGTAGAACTTAAGTAAGCATGATGGAGAAAATTCGAATCACATTCTCATTCATAAGATGAAGAAGCTGGTGTGCTTGGGCTCGCTTTGGGAAGATCGGGACTGCCTCCTCGTCTTCTTGGGAGATCGGTGCTGCCGCATCTCTTAGAGGTCTAGGAAATCGAAACGCTATTCACGTATCACCTGGAAGCACCCTTGATTTATTGTACCCCTTTGCTTTCCCTCTCACTTTCTTCTTCTCCCAGATCAATGAAGACCTTCAAGATGCATATCCCCGACTCAACACCTGCCGGAACGGGCGGGGAGAGGTATTTACCCACAAGGGACAGGTTAGCTTGATGCTTACGGCTCTTAAGTCTAGGAAGATCTACGCTACGGCGTGGCAAGTCCACGCTTCGCATGAATGGCTTGTCTGTGTACACGATTTCCACAAGAACCGCAGAAATATCGTCGGGTTTTCCTCCGGTTCCTTAGAGGTTAAAGTAGCCAAAAAATCATATCTGATGTGCTAGCTCGTCGTGCCAGTGCCGGTGAGCTCGGCACTTCAAAAAAAGTTTATCCTTATTGTACTTATTCTATTCCTCGTGATAGAGTTTCCTGTGCTCCTTCGAGTTATCGTTTCACAAGCAGCACAGCAATCCTGTCAAATATCTTCGTCCTCTGGTACAATTGGGTGCTTCTTCATAAAATTTTGATACCTTCTTAAAAACAATAATAAGATGAGCCTAGGACTTTCTAAGATCAGTATTTCGGTGGAGTAAGAGTGTAGAAAGGACATCAGTCTAGTCTCTGAGGAAGTAGGCAATAAATTTTATTAGTAGAAGATTGAAGCTATGTTATTGTGGCCATGATAACCACGTGCGACTGTGCCTTAGTTATAGGGCGGTCTTGTACCGTCTTGCTTCGTCTGAATTGCATGTTCCCGTTCCCGGACTGCGAAAGGGCTCTTGTAATGCGGATCGAGGGACAGGATAAACGCGCTTTTTACAAGCTCGGTATTCCTCTCGTCTATTGTCAGATTCGAATTCGAAATTTTCTGGACGATATCCTCATCAAATAGATTGTCGAAAACCCCATCCGTTGCCACTAAAATGATGTCGCCGAGCTCAACCTTCACACTATGAACATCGCAGTGCTCAGGCATCTGAAAACAAAGTTGATGGGCAAGGACTGCATCTTGTTTTTAGGAGAAATCAATCGGCTAGATAGCATTATGAACATGCAGCGCAGTGCTCTCCCACCTTGATCTCAACACTGTCATCTTCATCAAAAAAAGAAAGAGGAGCTGCTAGTAGAAACAAAGCAATTTCATCTATAAAATACGTCGTCAGAATTTGTGCCTAGCTGCTTCGGGAAGTTGAAGTCATGGCACTGCTCTTCGCTTTTGAATATGATTCTGTTCTCTGAGGGCCTATATATCAAAGCTCCGCTGTCGCCAAGATTTGAGACAATCAACGAATTGTCTTTCTCCAATGTCACGAGGCAGCATGTGGCTGTTGCGTTTTATATAGTTTTATTCGCTAGAAGTCGTAGTCCTAGTGTAGCTCGAGTTGTATGTAAGTGTGCATGTACAACAACTACAAAAACTCCGGATACGTACCACCTCAATCTATCACACTTCTACTCTCTTAGTAATATGAGTCTTTCTCATACACATTCTCATCCGTCCGTCGAGAATAATTACCGCTTCCCGTGATTGGTTTGCACTTATCGTAGGCTTTCCGGAGAATGCGAGTCGGTTGCCTCAAATTTCCTCTTTGTTTTATGCACTCACCCTCTACATTTTTCAAAAGTGCTCGACTGTACTCACCAGGATCAACTCCTCGTCTGCTCCAACCTCCAACGCCATCCGCAACCTGTAATGTATTCCTGTCCTGCGTGCTACACCCACTGCTATACTTGTACTACATCTCTACCTACTGTTTGAGGTGCTTTACCTTTAGTCTGTTGTCTTATAATTTGGTGTGGAAGTAGTACAAGTAACAAATATTGATATGATCTATGGTATACATCCTTCTTCGTGTACCCCAGCCATTCGCTCCAGGAGCATCATAGCGTCCTCTCCGCCTTTGTGCGCTTTATCAGGGTGTGGCATCCCGAATTTCGAGCCTTGGAACATGTGCGGAAAGAGCCTCCGCAGAGACCGCTGCATCAAAGCTGGCGGCGACATGTTGGTGAAGCAGAAGGGCTACTCTTTCGAGAGGTAGCTGGTGACGCTGCTGACGCGGCTGGCGGTGCTGCTGCTGCTGCAGATGCTGCTGCTAATGCCGCTGCTGACGCTGACGCGTTGTATGATGACGCGTTCTAGGTCGCACTCTTCCACGTCGGAAAATTCATTTGCTTATAAAACGGATTCTTGCTCGTACCCTGTCAACGCGTAGGTTGTGATGTAGCACTTTTACTTCTGCTCAGTGTAGTATGCCCTAGCACGTTCTTGTTGGTGACGTTCCTGTTCGTCTCCTTAGGAGAGTTTTAGTTTCGAGGGAACTTACTGGACGTAGAAATACTTTGATTCACTTTGTGCTTCCCGTCGTGCTCGATTGGCATCTCTTACCTCCAGGTCCACTCAGCTCCTTCTGGGTCATGGTCATCAAAGTAGGACTACAAGAACTATGTTAGCGGTCCCCATGAAGAACTGCTAATACTGAACCGCAAGTACTAGGCGTTGATCCGGTGGAGATATTTGTCGTGTAGCCGTTTGATGAAATCGCCGTTTAGTGTTGCGTAAGATCCGAAGCTGAATGTTTTTATTATGGACTTCCCCGTTAGTACATCTTCAACTTCATGCACATGACGCCTGCTCACCACATGAATTTCCCGTGTTTTGCATTACCCGGACACGGAGGAAAGCCACTTGTAGAAGTTGGTTGAGGTGGGCAGGACATCAATACTGGAAGCCCGTCGCTCGTCGTCCAAGGCGTTGCGCGGCGGAGGTCTTGTTCTGTGTACAAGCGTACCGGTCTAGTTTGCATCTTTCTGCTCGACGCGAGTACTACCAAGGACCACCAGCACCAGTGAAAGTGATGTGCAGAAGGCTGGAGGACAACATATTCTCGGGGTTCCAAGTCGAACAAAGGCTTAGATCCTGTTGTAAGTCATTACGACGCACCCACAATAACTTTAATTATATATAGGATAGGATAGGAATTAGCCCATTTTTTTCTCAAGTAGCATTCAAGTACTCTACTACGTTGGCCCTCGGCCGCTAACGATTACAGACACAAGCAACAACAGCGCGAACTCTTACCCAGACCTATGATACCGGTAGAGACCATGTCAACCTTCACCGGTTGATGTTCAAGATCAAGTAGATGTAGTTGTAGTAGATGTAGAACGGACAAGTTGCTTCGTTGTAACTCGAGCACCACCCACCAGCGCCAAAATACTAGAATATCAACGTTGTTGGGAACTCGTCAGATCATCATGTTGAGCGCTCCACTAGTAGTGTCAGCACTGTCACTGGAGTGCGGAATCATAACAAGACACGAGTAGGAGAAGTCCTTGACCACTCGCTCTACAACACGGGTTCTTGCTTATGATGCAGAAGCAGGCTGAGTCTCTTGCTTGTTACGTAATATGCGTCAAGTTCAGTCGTTGATCCACTCAATTAGGTTCTGTTTCAGAGTCCGCTAATGCCAGATAGCATGCCACTGCCCCCTCTACCTTATTTTTGCCTTTGTCTATAGACACGTACTGGTACGACAACACACAGGCTTCGCCCATATCATCTTGATGTTCGGATGATAGTGGTGATAAGATCTTGCTTTATGCGCACTAAGTCGCTGGCAATATTGGAAATTGATACAAAACCACATAGTAACCCCGCCAAAGATGCATTTAGACATGCTGAACGATGTAGTAGTTCATTGTTGAAAACCATGACCAACGGTATGCTGATTCGTCCTCGTTCTTTATATTCTTATCCAGAGAAAAGCAAATAAAAAGACTATGTTGGCTATCTCAGCATTTTTTTCAACAGACCAGGATAGGCTGGCGATAGGAGTTGATTCGCCGTCCACAGTTTGACCTGTATCCTCGGGCGACTATGTGTAGCCTCACCGAGACTACAAACCACAAACCAGACCACCTACGTACAAACAATCATCTCAAATCATAATGCTTGCTTTCTCAGCCAAGAATATTCGAAAGCACGACATCTGACTCCTGCTACTATGCACAAAGCGTCGTGGTTACGACGAGCCATACAACGATGCTGTAGCAGGAGAAATTCGATTATAATATTTTATAAAAATATAAGATGACCACATCAAGAACTACAACTACATGTTTAAGTTTATGAGTACATATTTCCGAAGTAGTTAGAACAAGTAGTATGAAGAAATCTACTCCTGTACCTGATTCACGGTAGCACCTTTCTTGTTCTTTGTCAACATGATGAGGAGACGTGACTAACAAACCTGTGGTAGAAATTCCTCAGTATGTTGTTCATGCCATAGAAGCCAGGATCAGGAAATATAAATACAACTAAAACAAAAAGTAGACACCTGATAATAAATGGGACTTTGCTGGTCGGTCCTTGTTTACCTTGCTTTTTTACTAAAAAAAGCAAAAATAAAATGTTAAGTGGATGAACATGCATTCAAGCTGTGGAGTTTGTTTTCGTTAACTATCTTCAATATCAATGTAGTTCGTCATTGAGTGATGTGACTGTGACAACTCTAATTCGACTCACCAATTTCTCGATCAGTTAAACTACTCCAATAAACACTGTCCTAAGAGGACTTGTTAAGGCCTAAGATTTACACCGAAACTTCTACGTGTACTTGGGCACATTTATGCTTTAACCGCACTAACCGCTACCCCCGGAATTCATTATTCAATGGATTAGGATTTTCTTGGTCACATCGATTTTTTTACGACAATGATTTTTACTACTGGTACTACCAGTTGTCTGCATTCGTAGATATCTCACTACAAGCATTTCGATGTTGCTCTACATACTATTTCAGCATAATTCATGACAGCGAAAGGAACCATCACCAGGTATCCTCCGGAAAAGGCCCTCGGCCACACAGTCTATTCGTTTCTCCCGCAGCTTTCGTTTTTCCACTTACGGTACAGCTAGAGCTAGTAGGCAGAAGTAGTTTTAAATATCTTTATTCATCGTTTATAATTATGATATGTCGTCGTGGTGCAGCTGGTGGATAGGCGGACGACCTCGTCGGAGAGAATGTCATTTCCAAGCTACACATAGATCCACATTTCAATTTACGTTTTGGTCGATCCGATCTGCGATGGTATTTTTTCTTAAAGCGATCATTTATTAGATTTACTTTTTTCGGATATCATGTACATGTAGAATACCAACTTCTTCAAGAATCGAGGAGACTGTCGAGCACCTATGTAATCAATTGGCACTTAAATGAAGGTAGAGTCCCCGCTTCTGGTTGTTCATCTGTAGTATTGTACGCTACAAGCACAACACTTCGTCGACGCAACTCCAGGTGGCTTTTGCACCTGCTTCTACACGGGTAGTCCCATGTATGCTGCGTTGACAGTGTTTTTTGACTTTTGCAACTGGCCGATCAGAGACTGTAAAGTATTGTGAACGCCTTGAGCATTCGGGGACGCGTCTTGTGCTGCAGCGAGGGATTTCCTACGAGAAGCTGCTTTTACTTGCAATTCCTCATCGCGCTGTCGTTCTTTTGCGTCCATTTCTTCCATCACCTGCTCAATCGAGTTTCGCCGTTTCAGGATCGGCAAGGGGATGGCATCTGAGGAGGCCGAGGATTTTGATTTCTTACTGTATGCTTAGCCTTAGTCATGTTATGGACGTAGTTCAATTTATTTAGAAAGGCGAGGAAACAACAAAAATACTGCTAGCAATACTGAACAATGCCGACAGGACTGCTTGAAGATACATCAAGCGGTCGCATCAATGACTTGTACGTGCTGTTATTTCAAAGTAAAGCTGCTAAGTACCAAGTGCGAGGTCTAAGTGATTCATCTAAGTCATTCATCGCCCACAGAAAGAGTCCTTCATAGGCATAGCGAAATTCTAAAATAGTACCTTCCACAAGCTTCAGATCGATCGATTGCCGTCGTTTGGACGCGAATCCAAAGCCGCCTTCAACACTACTCTTTCGGCGACTCAGCGCTGCTTCTTCATGAAACTCTTGAAAAACGGCCTTGCTCTTCTTACTTGGTGACTTCGACGTTCCGGTTGTTAGAAGCGGACTATGATCAATGAAAGAAAAATATAGATGATCATACTAGGGTACGTCGATGTTTAGATGATCATCCTATGTTCAAATAAAGTGTTTGAGGGACGAAGAGCAGGAGGAACAACGACCAGTACATCTTCGATAATATCTTGTTATTCATTGGCGCTTATGTTGCATACCTGTGATTGCGTCACTTCCATTCCGGTTGTTGGCGGCATCAGATGTTTCGAAGACGAGGAGTGCGGAGCGGAAGCTAGAGAAGCCATAGATTGGTCTTCAGCATGCATGTTGTTAACTTCGATGACGCGAACTGCACTACTTCCTGGAGGGGTTGGAGGTCTAGTTTTCTGACCAATTTAGACGGGGAGTGAAACTATCCTTGCAAGAGTTGTATCCCAATTCATCCTGGAAATGGCCTGGTGGCTATTTATCTAGACGAGTACCTATCTGTTTCGGAAATTGTAGGTGATTCACCTAACCGTTCCCGTTGGGATTACTCCGTCTTGCTCGAGGAAAGCGAAGGCTAGAAATACATAGCTGCGAAATTGACCAATTGAAGATTCTCGTTGTCATTCGGACGGTAGATACTAGTAAGTATTCTCTTCCCGTCCTCGTGGTACAACTACAACTATCTGTACAATCATGATGAAAAACTGCCTCTTAAGCACTGTCAGCCGATCCGCCTCTCGAAGATGCTCCGAGAGAAGCGGAGTTTGCACTATGGCCGCGAGAAAACTGTTGCGCATGATGACCATGGTGATGAGGCTGAGCATGAGCATGACCATGGTGACGAGGCTGTTGGTGCGAATGAGAATGCGACCCATGTTGATGTTGATGCGAGCTAGAATGACCATCTTGATGATGATGCGCGGCATCATGCGAGTGCGAGTGGTGATGACCATGGTGCTGAGGATGTTGATTACTGTTCCCACGGAAAGGTCGTAAAATACGTGATTGCTGGCCGTCGCCGTGTGTGGGAAGCACTGACCTGGACGACAAAAGCGGAAAGAAAATCTCCAGAAAGAAAGTAGGACCATAGATGAAAAACAACGAACAACTTCATCTAGTACTAGGGGTCAAATACTGATCCTACAATATCAATATCAACGTCTAAAAATAAGACTGCTCTACTTGTAATTCTTTTTTTTACCAGGAACTAGAACTTGAGAAAAGTTGTTAGTACTTACTTTGATTTGCGTGCGCGAACGTCATTGACCTTGTTCTTGATGCGAGAAGCTAAAGAGTCCTCGTGTGGCGTCATTCGGGAGCTGGATTTCGAATGGGATTCTTCTCGTGAGTGCGAAATTCCAAGTAGATGACCATGGTGGGAATGATGATCAAATCCGTGCGAAGCATGAGCATGACTCTCATGGTGGCCTGGCTTAGAATCTCTTAGTCTTGCTTAATATTGCCTAACATTGCTTGATGTTAATGTTGCCTAGTATTTGTCATCTTGCTTGATGCTGTAGCCCTATTTAGTGCCAGGCTAGGAAGTCGGTGTGTTGTGTGGATAGAATCTGTAGTCGTGGCCGTGGTGGTATCTATGAACAAATAGATACGCTCGATAATGATGACGCTAATCTCCTCGGCAATCTGCCTAAGATTTCCCCGACGACTTCTACCCGCTAAATATGTTGGATAATAATTTAGTTTTCCTTGCCTGAAAATGCGATATGAAATCCAATACCAACACTTCTCGTTCCCTCTTCTATCTTTACCAAGAGTAGTTGCTTCGATCATGCTAACTATGTTTGGATGATGCTCATCCATACCCATCATGCCATAATATTCAGGGCATGCCCATGTCCATGACGCTTCCATAATTTTTTGGCATACTGGCTGTGCAATTTTGAGTCCTCGTACAAGTAGTCGGCATACCTGTGAAACTTTACGTTTACGAGACGATGAAAAGGATTACAAAGGATAACGATGGATGCATGACGCATGCTTTGTTCAAGAAGAACAAGTACTTCTCATATTGAAGTATTGGATCCCCTCATAAGAACAACGAATACAACTTACTAAAGGTCGAAGAGTTATTCCGAATGAAGCCCTTAGTTACTGTTACTCCAAGACGAGCTTCTTCAAACAGCGGTCCTCGTTGTGGTTGTGCCTAGGTCAAATATAATTGATAGAAGTAGGTCTAGATACATCGTAGTGTTAGTTTTTACCATACAATCCATCGTATCAATACGTGTTGATAAACCACTTTAGATTAGTGGTTTTTTCCAGTCGGATTTTCTTGAAACAGTCCTGCAAATGGCGCTCATCCTCTTCGAGACGCATAAGGTTCTGACGTCGAGTGAAACTTCTCTGTTGCTTCAACTTCTCCCGGACCCCTTGCGAAACTGCGTGCTCGCGAACGGAGATGATGAAGAGAACCACAGTTTCATTACGAAGACGCATAGCAATAAATGAAGTAGTTCACGACCATGATATTGATAGTTGCGACGTAGGGTATTTATACAGTTCAAATTTTTAACAAAACCATTGCACTAGGGCAACGGACAGAAACTAAAATCAATCCGTTAATATCAAGAACGCATAAAGCTTGGCATTGTCGGAATGAATTTGTCAGGGCGCCCGCCCAACGTCGTGGGATCCGGAGGAAGGGGTCGGGTAGTCTTTTGGTTGAAAATGTTCCTTCCGCGAAGTAGCGAAGCGTCCACTTTTAGAAGAAGTGACTTGTGGCTGTTACTGTCCCATGGCTATTCTTCCCTCCTGAAATTCAAGCATCTCCAACAAGTCCTCTAAAAACAACTAGTAAGTTTACTCAGAATTTACTCGGCAACGGGATACAACTGGACGAAAGTAGATCACACCAGTAGACGAGAACAGCCAAAATAAGGCTACACTGCTTAACATTTGTCTACGCCGATCGCCTGGAGACATCGAACGCGGGGACGGAGAATGGTCCTCAAGGCTGTTCGTAAACGGATCGTAGAAAAACAGACTGTCCTGCACCTCATGCTCACGGATCTGCACCTGAGAGTGAGAGAATTCACAATTGTGATAGACCACATAGAGGGATCAAAATGCAAAAAGAGGATGAACTCACTAAATCGAAATTATTTGATGTTGCTCTTCTTGCTCTTTTGTGTACTTCTAAGAGAAGGTGACGGTGGTCTAGTTTCGCATTCGTATTGCCAAGGTGAAAAAATAAGGAAATATTAGTCTACATCAACAGCATCGGCAACAAACTCCTCAAGATACCAGAAGTTCTTCATCGTTGCTCCGTTGCGCCCAATAGACAGCCTGCCGCCAGTACCGTTTGCGAGTTAAATCGTCACTCTGGGTGTCGACCTGCGCAAGAAGATAGTACATTTGTGCTGCCAGCTGGTACGAGTACACATGTACATTAGACGGAGATCACCCTCAAGTACAAGTTCATGATCATACGAAGCATCAGCTATGTTCTTGTCCTGGTGTGACTCTAGATAAAAGCCAAGCAACACGCTCCTGCTCATCTTGAGAATGGTCGATACTCATCTATTCCTGCTAGACAATGACGACTATCACTATCACGAACGTATTTCTAAGTACGTATCTCTGACTATGTATACTAAATCACAATTTCCAGAACCGGAAGCCTTAAGTGTGCCATCAAGAAGCTTTTTCTCGTTTAAGTCAGTCGATTTTACACGTTCCGTGAAAACAAACGAGGTCTCCAAACTGTTGTCGCTGAAGAGCGATGACGTGCTCATATTGAACTTGCCCGTTGACGTGCTCGCTTTCAGGTCACAGCGGTTAGAAGTTTTTTTTCGTTGGGCTGATGATGATGTGCTAACTTGCTTTTGCAAGTGAGTTGTTGTGGAAAGTGCTTATCATGTCATCAGTGGTTCTTGGGGCATAATTCACAGAGCAACTTGTAAGGTTTCACAGCTCGCATGGCATGGAGTGCATGGATCACATGGAGTAGCATGGAGCTAAAGGGGGAGCTTCTTGCGCCCCTTAAAGCTCTGCGCTCCATGCACTCCATGCTACTCCACGCGTGCTATAAACTACTCTGTAATTACCATGGCAATATGAAAATCGCTATCCTCGCGATGGATGATGAATTTGATGGCGTGGCTAACGATAGTGATAGAGAGAAGGATGTCAACTCGTGCTCGTCTGACATGATCTGATCTTAAACAATAGTTGTACAAACATGGTTCCTGATCATCGACCATAACGCTTTTCTTACAACCCTTGTGCTTTTTCGCCTTCTTTTTGTGGAAACCATCAGCAGAAGACGTCAATACGGTACTCTTTTGACCCTCGCGATTCACCGCAAAGATGTCGTCAAATTTGCGATTCTCGGCTTTCATTGACTGCTTACTTCCACTGCACTGTATGAAAGTGATGCTGAGGGCTAATTACGAGCCTATTGCTTTTCCTCTGCCTTTGGCTGTACTTCTCCGACTGCAACATTACAGAAGCACGTTGAAAAAACTATAGTGTCTACGATACTAGTATGAAAGCACGACAAACTTGCTTTTATCAAAAGCGGCTTACGTGAAAATTTTCATTTTTGTTTCAATTACATAAGTAGTTGCACCTGTAAGTGCACTTATACCCAAACCCAATTACTGTTATTCAACAAACATAACTAAAGGATGCTTTTTCTGTGGGCTGGTTGGTCCTCCTACTTGCGTTTCCTTGTTCACCTTCATTGGATTCTTCAGACGCGGAACCGTGACTGTATCTTCCACGTTGCGACCAATTTGCTTGATATCTACCTCCAGACGTCCAAGTTGTTCGTGTACCTCTCGCAGAGGATTTGTCAGTTCTCCACGCGCACGTGCAGCATCCGTGGACGGTCTGGGAGGGTACTCGAAGAATGAATCAGGGTCAGGGAAACTCAAAATATCGATGGCTTAAAGTAGATGAAAAAGATGAAGATTTGTTTCCGGAAATGAACCTCTGCTTGGCGGTGTTGAAGATAGTAATGTAGTTGGTACTCTTGTTACACGGCGAGAAAGAACTAGAACACTACACTACAACCCGATCAAGATCAATGGAGAATTGATTCCCATAAGAATGTACTATCTCTAACTTTACTAGCCTCTCTCACTTTTTTCTTCTTCGATCATCTTCAAGCCTTGGCATAACCCATGCATGACGGCATCTACCCAACGATCGTCGTCTGTACGTCGATGTTCCGCCGCAAAGGTAGGACTTAGTGCTTCACGGTCAACCTGAGCTGGGTGAACTTCCCGTTCAGGCAGTTTCGGATGCAAAATTGTCTTGACTGGATTGCTCTCATAAGGTGGTTTTGTACTTTCTTCCGCATCAGCGCCATCAAATTGTTCAGCACTAACAACATTTTTGGCTTCTTGCGCGACATTTGTATTCTCTTTCTCACCTTTATTTCCAACAGCTCCAACAGTCGTCTCCGTTTGATGTTGTTTCCGTTGTTCCGAGGACTCTTCAGCTAGTGCTGGTTTTTTCAGATTGGCAACATCGCTGGAACCGTGTGGTTGTTTTTGATCTGCTTCATCTTGATCGGCTTGTAAAAGAGTTGCGGCATACTGTTCTTCATCTTTTGAAATGCCAGGCACCGGATGAATAGTACTAGCAGGAAGGGCACCTCCCGCTTCAAGTGTCGCAGTTGTCGCTTTTGCAACAATGGGCTTGCTTTGTCCTAGGATAGCGCGATTTTTACGCGTGAGGCCCGGGCCGTCAGTGTTGTTGCTGCGCACCACCGCGCCTCTACCTGCAGTCTTTGACTTGCTGCCAGCAGCAATGCTTCCTTTACTCCCATTCCGTGGAGGCTAGGGCATGAAAGAAAGTGATAGTGTTTCGGAGCAGCCATGATGTGATATATTGCATCTTTTCGGAAAGCAAGGTCGTGACACAACAAAAGATTATCATTACTGTACAAGAAGATACAGCAACTACTCTTATCGAGATCGCAAACAGTGAGACTGAGGATAAGGAAGATAAAGTCTCAGTCTTCAGGACCAGGTGTGCTCTTTGTCATAAGTTTAGATCCTCCGTTACGCATAGCGCCTGTGGTTTGCCTCGACAAAATGCTAGGTTTCTCGGCAACGTTCTGTTGATCAGTAATACCCGCACCAGCATTATCAAGAGCCTTATTAGTTGCTTCTTTACTTCCAATTCCATTAAGAGATGCCGTCCCACCAGGCTGCTGCCGGAGATAAGCGGTAAAATCTTGAGAAAGAGACTGACTGCGACTCAGTGTAGCTGTAACGTCTCGACGCAATGACTCCAACTCTTTTGAGACCTGTGGGGATTCGCATCTGCTTGCTGAGAGCACGTGTGCGTCTCGCACGTGCTCTTTCGATTTGCTGCGTCTCTGAGTGCGATTTTTGCTAGCGCCTAACATCATCCGCATCTCCTCCAGTGACCCGTCAAAATCTTCGTCCTCTTGCATTCCGCTATTGAGGCTTTAGACGAAGTGCTCACGGAAGATATAGTATGCCTCCGTCCTCGTGTCGTGCCTGCACTCGTGCCTTGCTGTACTAAGCGTTTCATGCATATGATACTTCCCTTTCCCATATTAACAATCCCCCCTACCACAACGATCCTCGATCCCCTGCCATGCTCCTCGAATCTAAGGAATTCACATCATCATGTGTACCCGAACGAGTCTATCTGTAACTATAAATATGTAGATTTCCAATTGCTTACCCTCACAGCATAAGTGAACATGTACTCGCCGATTAGGTCGGTCTCGTCTGCGCCTTCTGCTTGCGCCTCTGATCCTTTGCTTGACTTGGACGCCTTTCGAACTGGAAAGTCAGAGAGGTTGAGATTGTTGCGACGGACTAATGTGTTGTACAGGAAGCAAAAACAACTACTTCACGGCTTGCAGGAGAGCACTTGCAGCTACATGATATTTAGTTGTACACGACTACGATAGCTTTTGTATAATGGCTATGCAAATACCGTTTTTTCGAGTTGCCGGCGGATATTGGTTCAGAAACTCTGACGAAGCGGAATTGTCCTCAGCTTCGTCGATCCCTCTAACCACGCTTTTCCACGCAACTGGTTCTTTCCCCTTGTCAGTCCTTAGTAGAGAGCATACTGTGGTCTTCATTCTGTTTTATCTCCTAGACAACGAGATCGAGGATAAGAACCACTTATTTGGTTCATGATGGATTGGGGATAGAAGGAAAAAAACTGTTCAACCAGAACCACGCACTTCTTAAAGTAGGTCCGTCTTCAGCGAATGATGACGCGGCGACGGCTGAAGAGATATTAAATTCCCCGTCTCCTGTCGCTTCTTCGAGTCCGCTGTCCACCTGATCGTCTTGTTCAGCACTTTTGGTTTTCGATTCTAGTACTTGCGCGCTTGACAAACTTCCCTGTTCGACAACGGCTGCTTTGTCCGCCACATTAGGAGTACAGTTGGCAGTCTCGGCTGCTTTCCCCGCCTCTCCTAGTTCCTCATGAACCTCAGCAGCGTCTTTATTCGGTCCTGCCACCTCCTCATTCTTAATGTTCTGATTCTCGGCACTGCAGGCGACAGCGTCATCTAGAACGTGCGTATCTTGTTCAGCCGTCTCCTGTTCTGTAGGTGAAAGCATCGGCTCGTCTTCTTCTAGAGGAGGCTGGAGTCGCAGCAAGGAATTCGAAGCTTCCATCAGCAATTCCTTCGAGTAGGAGCGTGCTACAAGCACAGCCGCGGACCCCGAAGAGACTATGCTTTGATTAGAGTGGTCCTTCTCGTCGCCGTAAGCATTTCGAGAAACCTTAGTAACAAGACTCCCTTTCTCTCCCTCGCTAGATCTATTGCCAGGTAGTTGTGGTAAGCGAGAGGCATTATTTTTGTTGTCATAACATTTCCACCTCCCACGCAGCTGTTTTTCGAAGCGGTTCGGCTGTTGAGTGCCGAGCGATCTTTCGCCTTGGATCTTTGCCGTAGCGGTTCACCTCCTAAAAATCCACCATTCTGCTCTATCTCTCCTGACAGAGTACGCTTTCGCACCTTGTTTGGGTGAATGAAAACAGTTTTCAGGAGTTTACAATTATGCCTACGTATGCGAAGGAGTACAATGATCTAACTTTGAGATGGACTATGCTCATTAGCGCGTTCTGAGCCTGAGGTGTCATAACTTTCCCATGAAGTGCCATTGCGGCAGATATCGTGGAAGCAGCTGGTTGTAGAAGTTAGTTATATATAAATATACATAGCTGTACCTCTTCTTTCTGAATTCGTTCGAGTTCCTTTAGGGTTTCAAGGTCCTCCGGTGACAGGTCGTCGTCCTCGTCAGTTGCTTCACCCGATTTCTCACGTTGCTGAACCTCAGAAGCCTCTCCAGGCAAATCAAGACCTATGTACGATACAATGAACAAGAAAGATGACATGATCTACGACGAGGTGTACTAAAACACTCACCGAACCACGAGGACGAGCATCTTGACAAAATTTCAAATCAAAGTCAACTTTTTTCAGTCGGTACTAACAGAGCAGTCTATAAGGCTTCTCCAGGCGCATGGCATGGAGTGCATGGAACACATGGAGTAGCATGGAGCAGGTGCTCCATGCACTCCATGCGTGAAAATTTTGCGAGGCGTCCTTCGGGCGCCTCTCTGTCAGAGTGTACACGCCTCCCGCTCGGTATTCCGTGGAGGCACCTCAGGCGCCGAACCTGCCAAACCTCGCTCCGACTACTACGCAGAGCCCCCGGGCCGACACGCTCTCTCGCGGCCCAGGCCCGGCGCCCTCAGGGCGCCCAAGCAGCAAGGCAGCTGCAGCGCCGCCAGCGACGTCGCGACGCCTGAGCATCTTGCGTCCAAGACAGTGCCCCCAGTGCGTCTGGCCTATCAGCCAACCCTGACTGCGAAGACTCCCCGGCCAGTCACCCGCGGGCGGGGGCCCTGAAGGCAGCCAAAGCATCAGCCTCAGCGTCGCCGGCTGCGCCCATGGTTGGGGCTACAACTCCCCGCCCATGCTACAAACCCCCCGACGGCTACAACTCCCCGCCCACCCACTCGCAAGCTGGTTCCATTAGCGGAGGGCCCGCCCACAAACTAGCTGCAGCGCCGCCGGTAACGTCATCCCCCGACACATCACCAAGCGCCCCCCCCGGGCGTCTTGCACATCAGACCCAACTCCGGCGGGGCATGCTCCACGCGTGCCCGTCCGTTACGACACGCCTGCGATGCACTCCATGCATGGGCAGGCTGCAGGTGCTCCTTGCACTCCATGCGCCATGCGTGCTATAAACTACTCTGGCTACTAATGCTAATATTTCTTTTTCGAACCACGTTTGATCTACCTAATTAAATACAACACCGAAGTCGTGATGAGCAACCTCTTATAACTGCTGTAGGAGTAAGATGTAGGAGTAATCAGACACAGCTTCTACTACCACCCAACGCATTGTTCCCAGCTGTTGGCGGTTTTGACGACTCGATTGGTGAGAAAGCGGAGGCGTCGTCGCCGTCCTTCGAAGGTAGTAATGTAATCGGCTCAAGAGGAGGGAGATTCTCTTCCGCATCCACAGGCGGCTCTTCAGGAGCTTGTTCTTTCTCAGCATTATCTTCTGCTTTCAAAGGTTCCTCCACGTTTATCAGTTCTTCTGCTTCATTCTCCTCGGTTTCCGCTGCATCTTCCTCAACGATAGCTGGAATTTCAGCGGTGTGCGCACCCTCGACCATGATGCTCTCAGAAGCAGGCTCCTTTCCAATGCCTTCTTCTGTTGCGACTACCTGGTCAATCATGTCGGAAGTTGTTGTAGCCCCTTGTTGTTGTTCTGGCAAGAAGGACAAATCGCCAGCATTAACTAGGGAAGACAGCGCTTTTTCATAGATCGAAACCACAATTCCCTCCGCCTCTCTTCGAGTTGCTGGGTTGGTAATATTCGTCTGAGTTTCTGGCACGACTGGCTCACCGGAACGGTGTTTAGAGGCAGATCACGAAGAGGAAACTGTTAAAAGTACTTCTCCGTTACAGTTAGTCTGAGAAGTCCACGTTGTCCATCAAGTCGAACACAAATTCATCACAGCGAGTCCATTCGTTCCATAACATTTGCAAGGCTCACGACAGTTTCGATTCCGCTCGTAGAGCCACGAAGACAATCGTCTTCAAGCACAGTCTTGGACATTTCTTCGGCGAGCACGGTCTTCATGAGCGGATCTTCATCGTCCTTCTCGGATGTGGAGACGTCGAAATTAGATGCGATTGTAGTTTTGAATATTAATTTCTATTAGAAGTACTACGCGTAGAGCATAACTATGGATGTATCTAGTTGTAGTAGAAGAGTTTCATTCCTTATGAGCGATAAAATTATAACTCACTTCTCAAGACTTCTACAACAACACGTTAAGTTTCAGCTTCAGATGAGGCAAGTAGAAAAACTCCTCCGCATACCAATTTGGGTCTTTACAGGCGCGCCGCTTCGAATGCGGTTAGCAAGTTCTTCCAAACTTGCACATACTACACTAGGTCGTCTGTAATTCTCCAAGACATCCTCGACTGTTTTCAGGTCGTCTACTTCGGTCCCGCCGTTTTTGCCATGCTCCTGCCCAGCGACATTTGCGGCAGCGTTGCTTGCTGTTTGTGCATCCTTACCCGCTCGGATTTTCTTGGCTAGCTCCTCCAGACTCGAAGAAATTGATTGCGTCTGTTTTGGTGGAGATTTTTACTGTGTATGTCAAATAAAAGAGCCTGTGTCCCTCAGAACAAAGCTCACAGCAGACAAAGAACCGCGTAAAGCCTAGTTGTCTAGTTCTAGTAACAAAGCCGGTTATAAGATCTCCATGGGCAACATGTATGGAAATGGATCGGAAAAACTGGGCCCCTGTATTATAAGGGTCCCGATGTTTTTCCCCCTTTAAGCGGACCAAGGCCGATAAAATCCCAAGCACTTGCTTTCCAGCCGGGTCCCTTATCATTCTGGTTGGGTCCCTGGAAATACAAGGCCAACATGGTCCCAGCCCGGGAAAAACTGGGGCTGCGGTATCAGAAGCGGCCTGGAAGGTAGGGGGCTCGGCCTTGGCCCTTTTTGTAGGCTGCCCCCTCCACTCCACTGCCAGCGCAGCGCTCCGGCGGCCTATGCTATGCGCGCCCAGACCCGGTGGGGAGCCGCGAGCGCTTGGCCGCGCAGTGTCCTGGCAGGATTGCCACCAAGCTGCAGCCGGTCCCTCAGGCTTGGCGGATCCTGTTGCGCCTTTTGTTTCTCTATGTCCTCCCGCTCTTGCCGCAGTACCTCGCACCCGCCAGAGGTAGGCGCGCGGGCAACTGCCAGGCAGCAGGGGCTTCGCGGTGCGCTTCCTCCTTTTTCGGTCCCCCCGCCCCCCCCCAGTGTTACGTTCCTTCTTCGCTCCGCGGGCCGCTTTCGTTTTGAAGTGCGTCAGCCTTTTGCGGCTGGCTTTGAAAGCCCTCGGGCGTCGCGTAGTTGAAGCGTGTCCCTCAGGGATGGCATGCCGCGGCTTTGGGTGTCGCGTGTGTGACTCCCTGGAGCTCTGCGCGCGCGCTGTCGCCAGCGTCGTTCGTCCCCGTCGGTTCTCGTCTGGTCCCGCTTGGAGGTGCGGGGATTTGTTTTTGGGTGTGTCGTGTGGGATTGTCGTTTGTCAGTCACCGAGGGCGCCCTCGGGTCGCTTGGCGTGGTTTTTTGCGCTTCCCTCTTTCTCTCGTTGGTTGCTGGCTGTTCGTTGGTGTGTTCGCGTCTGCGGTTGTCTTCTGGGCTTCCCTGTCCTCTTCCTCTCCTGCGCGGCTTCAGGTTCCACCTTTTCTGGCAATTCTTCGGCCTTTTTGGCTCTCATTTTTGTAGACTTATACCTTTTGGCATCCCCCTGTTTCTACCTTTTTTGTCGGAGTCCCTACTTTTGTTTTTTGTCGGGTTCCTTATATTCCCACCCCTTCTGGTACCGGTACCGCCCCCAGCTCTGGTCCATGTATATGCAACATACCTAGTACCTGTTGTCGCCTTTCAGCCGCAGCTGCCCTCAGTGCTTCGGCAGCATCCTTATCCTCGGACTCCTGCGAAGCTTCCTCATCACGCTCTTGGGCCATAGTCTGTCCTGCTCGAATACGGTTAGCCAGATCCTCGAGGCCGGCACAAATAAGAGAAGGCCGCCGCGCGTGCTGGGCTAGGTCCTCCAGCGCTTGACCCCAGCCGTCCTCTTCCCCTGTCTCACTATCCCGGTCTTCATCATCGCCTTCGCTTTGCGTGGTTTCACGGCATGAAAGAAGAATGACCATGACGTCAAGAATATTGAATTTGAAATACTCGCCTTTTATTTTTCTGCAGTCTCAATCTGTTACCTAGACTGGGTCTTCGAAGAACTTACATATAGTGTGAGTACTGTTGATGTCAGGCGAGGAAAAACTCAAATACAAAGCTAGAGAGAGCATTCTTTGTCATAAAGCTGCGACAGCTCCTGGACCCCCGCTTCGGATGCGATTTGCGAGGGCCTCAAGGCTCGCCGAAATCAAACTAGGACGCCTGGCGAGCTCCCCATCAATGCATGCTGAGGGCTTCATTGGACCCAATGGCTTTCCTGATGGCTTCATCGTTGTCATCAACGGCTTTGTGTAGTTAGAAGTAAATCTTCAAAATAAGTATTTGAATTTGAAGAAACATTTATAAGTAGATATTCAAGACAAGTATATTAAAGTATTTCAGTGTATCTTTATTAAGTTGAAGTCCGCTGAATAACGTTAACGTCCTTGTCTCAACACTACAGCGCGTGAGAGCGTGCCAGCATCATGTAGTGGATATAGAAGCAGGTTTGATGAGATCCACCCGTACGATTTACTCTTTGCTGGTCATTTTCGGCTCCGTCCGCTACAGACGAGATATCACTGAATCCCTCGTCTGAGTGCTCGTCCGTGAGGAGGGTGGGGTGTTCGTCGGCTGTGACGCCTGGTATAGCAGCAAGCTTTAAGGCCTGAAGCAGGTTTGACGTGTTCTGTTCCTTTGGTGATAGAGGTACACCCTCATCGACCTGACGTACGACGGGCTCGAATTCCAATTCCTCGATCTCTGAGCGGTGTGAAGATGCGACCCCTGACGCTTTGCTTCCGATTCGTGATGTTTCCTTGCTGCCAGGCGCGTTGTCGCCCTTTGTTGAGTCGATGATTACCTGATGAAACAATGCGATTATAGAGACCTCTTGTAACAGAGATCAAAGTCGTCAACGAAAAAAGATTGAGAAGATATGTAGGTCTCATGCATACCTCATTATCATGCGACCTGCTTCCGGTGCTGCTGCTTGCGGCAAACTTAAAAGAAATGAAAAGAATTATGCTCACATGTCCGAGTACCATGCCGTCCTCCCCTTTGCTGGTGGCACTACCTTTACTTGGTGCTCTCCCCTCAACAGTTTGAAGTCTTGTTGGTGGTGGCGTCTTTTGTTCCAAGTAGTCTTTTGCTTGAAGTCGACGAATCTCAGATTCGCGTGCTAACTTAACCGCAATAGGATTCGAACGCAAATTCACCTTCCTTTTGCTTATGATGCTGCGAAAATGAACGCTGAACAATCAAAATCTAGGACAACTACTTGGTTTAGGACTTGCTACACTACTAATAAATTGCTCTATCTTGCGATATGCACGACGAGAAATATCAAAGAGCGGGGCAGGCACATTCCTGCTGCTACACTCGTGCATAGCCTGGACTATGCATCGATAAGATTAAGAGCTCCTGTGAATAATTAAAACGGAAGAGGAATAAAAGTAAAACCTTTCTGCTCCGAAGAAGTGCTGTACTGTATCCTATGAGGAACGAATCCGTAAATCTGTTGCAGCTGTCGAGGTTTGGCGTCCTTCTTCAATTTCGCAGCTTCAGGGCTGCGCGTCAGCACACCGTTCACCAGTGTCATTCCTGGCGTCTTCCCGGTCTGCAGCTTGTGCCCCTTGTCCTTCATCAACGGCGATGCCCAAAACGTGCCTTGAGTTGCCAGCACCCGTTTGCGCTTAGAGGTTTGTCTCAGAACAGTTATCTGAGACTTCTGAGGTCTTTGCTGAGAGAGGCGAGACTTCAAGGAGAAGGTGAAGATGATGATGAAGTTCCCGCGATAGTCTTCTAACTATCAAAACCAAATCAACATGTTGTACAAAATTGTACGAGTACGATAATGAGATGCAGATGACGTTGGCCCCCCTAGCCATCGTTTTATCGTCCTAAGTAGATAAGGAGTATCATCCGACGAGCCATACCCTCAAACGCCGGCCGCATGTCATCTACACTGCCATCACGACTCTTGGCTGACCGTACTGAGCACGTTGAAGTGTTCATCTTCGTTCTTGCACTCTTTCTTAGAGGTTCTTTCCGCTTCTACCGTACTCATATTCTTCAGTACAACTACAATGTCCATGATCGCGGTCTCTTTCCAGTTACTAGGGAAAGGCCTAGGATGCGTCATGCATGTTGGGGAGGATGCACCTGCAGGAGCCTTAATTTTTCGTTCTTTTTCGCTATGCCCAGTTCACGGTGTGGATCTATCTCCGGAAGTCTTTTTCGAGCACACTTCAGCTCAAACGGCCGTTGCTTGTATGGACTCGCGGATGTGCTTTTCGATTTTCGAGTCTTGTGTCCACGAAATGAAAGAAAGAAATAGAAGAGGTGTCGTGCAAGACTACATGTACAATATTATCAGCAGAGGAATGGGAGGATGGAAAGGAACACGCCTATGTATTCCAAATCTGTAAGTTGCCTAAGTAAAATTACGGACGCTTTCGTCTTATTGATTTTGATTCTCAGTGAAAAATTTTTAATAATAAGACTATGGCTAAAGAAAAAGAACCTCATGCTTACTCACACCCTCGACATCATAAATCTAGAGGACCAGTCATCGAAAAAATACTCGTCTTCGATACTTCTTTTCCCGCATCCAGATCCGAGAAGATACTGCTCTCGGTGCATAAGTATGACTTCGCTCCTCGGCTCCCTTTCGGCGAGTAGATTAGACGGCCTTATACATCTTCGATGCAAATGCATGTTGGACGAGAGCGTCTTGGACGTGGACTTTGGAGGATTACAATTTTTCCCCGTTATTTAACACGCCAGCCCGGGACGCTTCTCCTTCTGCTTCACTTCAATCTCAAGATAATTTAAGGGACGAAACCTTAAGTAGAGTCTAGGTGGTCGAATGATCTCCCGATCGCCTCGTAGAAATTCCATCAACTCCTCTAGGCTCTTGCGAAAACAGCTCAACGGAATCTTGGATTAGATGAGCTAAGGATACATAGAGCTAGAGGTACGTACGTACCTGCGGCTGCGCGTAGGCTTAGCTGCAAGCAACGGCAAGCACCCAGATGAAGAAATCTAAGCTCTTGGTGGTGTGCTTGTGGTTTACTTTCTAATTTCAGTCATACAAGATCATCAAGCTCAAGGCAAAATAGGAATCAGCATCTTCTGCAGAAGACTCGCGGTTGAGACGCCAGAGAGATGAGCAGAAGCTTTTGCAAAAATAGCTTGAAAACAGCTTGCAGTAGCAGTACGCAGGGGTCGTTAAAAACATTTACTTCAAGTCTTGACATTGGACTTGAATAGAAGAACATAATTTTTGGCGTCCTCTCGTTCACGAATCATGCACGCTGCTTCCAACTGCACTGTGGCTGACTCCACAGCCTGCTCAAACGCTAATGGTGACATCCGTGCGCAGCATGAACGATGATACATGAAGTACGAGAGAATGAATTCAAATCTAACGAAAGCTGCTAGCTTTTATTTACCTAATCATTTACCATTGACCACATCACTATAGCAAGGCAGATGCGGATGCAGAAGACATGCTAGAGGACTTACTTATATCTAGTTTGACAGGCAAACTGACGCTTCAGAAATGACAGCAGGTGAAGTCACCAAGGTGGTATGTAGTCATCATCCTCGTGCTACATGAAGCAGATCTTACAATAAGCTCTAGCATAGCGCTTGTACTGCGAACGCACGCCACATATTTGCATCGTCACCTGCTGCTCGCCGCACTGCGTCCAATGTCGCGTTATGTCTTTTTTCACGAGGTCCGTTGAAAAACGAGTGTGCACTATGTTGTGCCCATTGATTAGAGCTACAGGTAGCAAGTAGACCTCTGCGTGCTAGCAGAATCCACTTTTTCACGTAGAAGCACGCAGAAAAAGACGCTCGCTTTTCCATCTACTTGTCACACGACCACCGTTAAGGCAGGCACATATCCAAAGGGAGTTCAACAGTTCTTGTCGAACACTTATTAGTCTAGAAATAGATACCCTACATAAAATGAGTGGACGTGTTACAACTAGCAGGTGGCTGACTCGCGTGTCGGAATCCATTCTTGGATGCGTTGGTATCGAATTCTCGCCGATCCGGTATTCCATAGCGTCTATGAATCTCCTTCCGCCACAGAGTGGTGTCAGCATTGCCTATTCTGCCAACCTCCGCCATTTCGCCTGCTTGTTTTTGATGTAGTTCTTTTTGGCTGAGCAGCACAGACGTAGAAGACTGTTTTGACAGGATGAAATGAAGCAGAAGCACGCGAAATGCAAAAATTTCAAGACTAATACAAAACGAGATAAAATCAAATTTTTATGGCTTGTTGCATTCGTCATTTCTTGTTGTGGACACGCTCACGACAGTTGCGGATTGGCTAAAGATGGACAGAACTGTATCCATCCGTCAGGTATAAGGTTAAATAATGTGCCGAAGCCGTAGAAGAGTAGCACGATAATTTGTGATGTCACTTTTGACTCTTACTGGAAAGCCTCCGTTCCACCACGCGAGGTTCATAATCTTGTTTGTTGCAAGAACTGCAACAAATTTAATTATTGACTTTTTAGTAGAATGTAGATGGATATGAATTTGAATACCTTCTCGAGAACCAAACAACTAAGAATGACATCGAGTTGGTAGTACTGTAAAGGTCAATCCAAAATTCTATCCAAACACCAAGGAAGACAAAAGTCCATAGTCTGTTAGGTTGTCGACACGCCAGAATCACTAGTGCATTGTTCGTGCACGCTAAACTTATTCCAGATTTCTTTCGAGCGAAGATGAAAGCAACAGAACAAAAAAGAAATCAAGACGATGAGCGGCCAGACAGTGACAGAGAACATCAAAAAAGGAATCTCATGCAGGCGGACAGACAGTTGACAACTTGATGCAGTAGATCTCGCTTCACACAGCACATAAACATGATGTATCTTTTGGAATTCATTTATTATTTGTTGTACAGTCTTCTTGATATTGATGTTGACCGATTTATTTCAACTCCTCATCTTCATCTACAGAGATGCATTGCTCAATAATCTGCATAAGAAACGTATTCGAGATTGTCTCATGATCTTCAACCGACACCTTGATTTTGATACCTCGGAATTCAGCCACGATAAAGACATCTTGGTCAAGATTAACACGAACAGACATCACTCGACTCAAGAATTTCTCTTAAACTGTAATAAAACTGGACTCTATCGTTACCGAAATTCATTACTCGTCTTGCCTTGGAGAACCACTTACAGAAAAACTTACGCAATGCCGGTTATGCCAGACAAGATCAAAAATACTATTCAGGGTGATGCGGTTACACAGAGAAGGCGTGTACTACGATCTTCGTCGCTTGTTCGACCGCCTGATGAACGGATACGCAGTCACGAACACTTTCACTCACTTCGATAGCCCCTGCGATATTGGAGTAAGTAGTATGCTAATGCTTTCCCGAGGAAAAAGATGAAAAACCGAAAGAACATTGTTGTAGGTCTAGGCGTAGGCATAGGTTGGGTTTTCCTCATTATTATTCGTCCATCGTTGAGAGTGGTGTATAATCCATTCTGTCACGGCCTGCCTTTGCCTCTGGTACTAGGTTCCAAAGACCTATGATCGACGTCTTCACATTTTCTTACCAACGAATTATCAAGAAATGCAGGCGACCCCGACCCCGACCTTCAACTAGAATTATACGTCATGGTCCCCGAGTGCACGGCAAAAGAACCTCGAGGTATGCTTATCGAGATAGAATTTTGCTCCTTTTGATTGCTAAAATATCATCTTTAGATTTTGTTCTGGTAGTATTAGTCGGTACTAAGTGGTATGTTGTAATGCTATTAGTCTCATTACTTGTTGTAAGAATTTACTTAGACCCCCGCGCGCAGAAATCCACATCCTGTTCTTATTCGTTTGTCCTCATTTTTGCGTGATAGCTTTCGCATTACTTTTCATCTTCTATTTCCAATCTAGCACTTTTGGGTAGCATACGGATCACAGGCTCCAGAAAAATGACCTAAGAGGTCCCGAGAAATGGGTCGAGCATGTAGACATTCATGCCGGACCCCTCTAGGTCGTCATGATTCTTCATCTTAATCTTATCCGGTTATAATGAGAAAGAAGCGGGGGATTATCGGAATCGGTGCCATTTTTATGATGCTACTAATGAATCTGTTGGAAGTTGGTAAAGGTCTGCAAAGGTAACTGCAGACCAGAAGGCTGCCACACCGTGGTAAAGTAAGCAAAACCAGTAGAATTTCTTGCCCAGAGCCGGGCGTAACTCGCCGAAGGCAAACGCTGCCACCGCCAAAGCCAAAGAAAGACAGGCAAGGACAAGCAAACCACTGCGAAGAGGAAGAAGGCCGGATCGGAAGGTAAGAAGACACCACTAGACTCCAACGCAATCGAGCACAGCCACGCTGATGCCCTCGCGCGAGCTGCAATCACGTCCCTCCTCCTACCTAAAGGATCTAAGACCATCAAGATGCTCGGAGGTGCTGGCTGACTTTCGGGCTCGTTGTTCAATTGCTCAAGTGCACCGATTGCCTCACATTAAGCCGCGAAGTCGGCAAGTGGAACACCTTCAAGACCGTACAGCTTGGCCACTTCGAGCCGTTTCCGACGCAGTCTAATATCTGCCGACGTTGCTCGTGTCTTATCGCATTGAAAAACTGAAGACTTTCTGCTACTTGTAGTACGTTTGTTCCGATAATTATTCAAGTGGTAAGACCGAAAACAAATTCAAATTGTTCGAGTTGGTGAGTAATTGTAATGAAAGAGGTTTTGTCTTTGTGACGATTAGCTTCAGCAGCATCAGGGATTCGTAAGAACTAATACTAAAATTAAATAGTCAAGAGGAATAGCAAGGTTGTAGCGCATACTACAGCGATGAGGCGCATGCGAAAGCGGAGACCAAATAAACATCCTCAAGCTGCTGGACCGAATGTAAGGGGGGACGACGGACTTTGCGGCCCGGTGACGACGGGCCATAACTATCTTCCCATGGGGGTAAGCTGAGCGGTAAACCGTACTGCAACCGTCCGACAGAAAGGGGCTGTTCATGTTCTGGTATTAAAAATATTTCAGACTCTGCTAGCCCCAGTGGCGCGAAGATGAGCGTAGGTATGACAGCATTCTCCATTCTCATGGTTACTCGACCTAGTACAGCATGAAGACAATTAAAGGCTCCTGGACGTCGGTATGTTAATAGTGTTAGCGACGCTCCCAGCTCTTCGGGACCTCTCTCGTTCTAGGCTCTTTCAGAAGTCGCGCGCGGCGCTTGCATGCTGCAGCCAACTTCATACCTACTGCATTGCGGCTACGATTGTTTCCAACAAGCCATGCTCCTGGTTCTGGACGCTTGGCGTCTGCGGCATGTCGGATTTTAGAAGTTGCTTCGTTCCAGTTCTGCAGTGTTCTCCATAATACAAACGTGCTGGGTGGTGCTTGCCGAACAGCTAGGGCAGTCGAATTTTCATCGAGCTCTTGCTGAAGAATATAATTATTATGCTGTCCGCGTTGTTCTTGCTGTTGCATTCCACCGACTCCTTGGCCTGATGCCGAGAACTTCATGGGGTACGATTGGCTATGCTGGAACGGTTCCGTTGAAGATATGTTGCTACTAGTACGTCCGAGAACGGTTTCGGTTGTACTGGTACTGCATGCCTGTGCTGGATGATGTGAATGGGTACCACTTGCGGTCGCTTGAGATGAAGAGAGGTGCAGCTGATGACTCGTAGTTCCCGCAGCGGTGGATGCGCACGTGGTGCCTCTATCTAAAGTACTGTTACAACTGACTCCTCTCCCTGTAGCACCAGGAGCCCACTCGCCTGGCGAGGTAGTACCGGTTAGCATCATATTATGCTGAGGAGTCGCTTTGTTGATACTGGTACAATTGGACGAGAGTGATCTACTTCGGGCAGACTCAGGCTCGCACGTAGAGTGCGATCGGGCCGCTGTTCTATTATAGTTGTAGTTGCAGGTCGCCCGAGCCTCGTCGGCGTCGTCGAATTCATCTGCCGTTTGGATCTGCATCAATTGAATGGCCGCCGCCATCATCTCCTTTGGCACAGCACCCTGGAGAATTTGCTCGTGCACAGCGTAGAGGATGCGTTGCACATTGTCAGGCAAGACCACCTCATCCCGGTTGGATACCTCTACCGCATCGTCGACGCCCTCACCGTCATCTTGATTCTCGGGTGCGGGATCGAAGTCGAAGAGCCCGGGAGATTGGCCGGTAGAATCAAGAGCAAGGCTGGTTTCAGTATCATCATGTGGAGGTGGTCCTCCATGTTGCTGATCCGCATAGAAGCTTGAGGAGCTTCGATTTTGAGACTCATGAGGCGGATATGAATGCTGCAGCTTCTCAGTAATATTATCGGAACTGCTATTAATAGCGCCGGTTTTAAGGGATAAAGATGGAATTAGCGCCTGCTGATCGCACGCACTGTGAGCCATGTTCTCGGACGCACAAGACCCCAACGGGAGCTGTCGGACGTTTCTCTGGTGCTCGGATGTCCCGGTATTTTCGTGGGTATCAGAAAGTTGTTGTAGAGTACTGCTGTCGGATGGGTACGAGCCTTGTGAAGATTTCTCGGATGTTATTCTTGTTGGTTCCTCTACGTGCCTCAGTGGTTGAGGTGGAGAGGTGACTATGACTTGGGAAGGGTATAAAAGAGTAGAAGAAATGTTGTCCTCGTGTCGTGATTGATGTAGGGCCGCAGAAGCTCCTTCTGGCAATTGATTTTGATGTTGACGGTCTAGTTGTGGTTCCACTTGATGTCGTGCTCCTGGCATCAACCCGCTGCTCTGTGACATGCAGTTTTCAGCTGCTTGCCCAGCTTGCAGATATGGGAAGGTGAAGGAAGACGCGCCGCGCACCTGCTCCTTGCTGTTAGTAGCACTGCGTCCACGCCCCGCTCGTGAAGACGATCCTAGAGTCAGCCAGCTTTGAAGATTCCGGAAAGTGCGCGTCACGTGGGTCGGTACTAACACAGTGTTTGTACTGTTGCCACTGGAAACACTAGGTGCTCCCAACCCCATAATGCTGGTGTTGTTTTGCTCCTGCCCAGGTGGATGAAAGACAAAACATGCCGCACGATCGTGCTGATCAACTATATGTACATCTGGTCCTCGTAAAAAAGGGATGCTGGCTTCCGCACCTACTCCAAGGTCGTGCTGTCCTGATGATGAAAGGAAGTCCGTCGTCCTCGTTGAATACTGAAACTGCGATTCCCCTAGTTGCGGTTCGTCGGTCATGTCGCTATTGGATGGCGCTAGGGTTGGAGCCTTTGCGAAAGGCGGTAATCCTCCGGACAGATGGAATTGTTGTTGTTCTGTTCCTTCACTGGTGCTCTGCGTCTTTTTGATACTGTCGGTCTCGATGAGATTCCGCGATGGACTTGTGCTTGCTGCGTTGGAGAGGAGTTCTACGTCTTCCTCCTCGATGGGCGGAAAGAAACTTCCTGGAGCCATACGGGGTGAGGAATTAGGGTGGGCATCAGCTCCTAAGGCAGCAGGGCCCATCGCAGGTGGGGCCGATGCACTAAGAGGTAGTTTATGCTTCATCGGAGCAACACTGGGCGCCGTCAAGGCCAGCGTACTTACTCCACCATGGTGCTGATTTTCCACTGCAGAAGCGGGTACAGCGCACGCGACACTCGCGATGGAAGACGCTGTGCCGGTGGAATAACGTTGAAGTTCATGCCGGTCGTGGGCCCCAGGCAAAGGTGCGGGGTGTCCTCGAGGAAAGATATGGGGTTCGGAGTCACGGGGTGATAGAGAAAGCATATTCATACTCACGTCCCTCGAGATCATGTTATGGGTGTCGACGGAGGATGTGCTATACTGTCGTGGTGGTGTGATGCCCGAGCATCGAATTAGACTGCAGCCGGAAAATCCACGGGTCGGATGTTCAAAGGACGACCAAGGCAGTAGCGCTTCACCGCTATCAATAGACAATTTAGTGCCCAAACTGCTAGAACTCCCAGGCCTTCCTCCGACAGTGCCCAACGGAAGCACTGCGGTCGCCCGGCCCTTCGGAGCGTCATGTTCTTTCTGTGCCCGACTGGATGTGTCTTCCCCGCCAACGGTAAAAAGCCAGTCCCCATCCTCGTCATCAACACCGTCACAATTTCCATTAACGATGGATTCGTTTCCGGCAGAATTTGTGGTTTGCCCTCTCGTCACAGCGGTCTCGTCCGCGGACACTGTTGCAACATCCGGAACAACAACTGAATTCTTCTCTGGTGCGGACGCAGACGGCGCACTTGATGTCGTGACTTGCTTCTCCGGATAAACAAAAGCGGGAGGAGCTTCACCTGAATAGTCACCGCCATCTACCATCGATGTATTTGTCGGGGAACTAGAGGACGGTGACGACGGGTTATATGTCTGTTCTGCACCTCCTTGATGATTCTCGTACAGAAGGTTCAGATCCAGCTGCGCGGGTAATTTCCCTCCTGTACGAGTGCTCTCCGCATTGCGGCTTAGTCTTGTGGGTGACGGCGCGTCGTTTGTGTTGAAAATGATACTGTCCGTATCATGGTCTGCTGGAGGATCTGTTTTGCGAAAGAAGTTGTCCTGATTCTGGTGAAGGCGCTGCAGCGAGAGGCCACATTTGTTCCTAGGCGTCCGTCCTTGAGGGTCAATCTCCAAGCTCGACGTAGTGCTTCCACGTTCGAGTGCGGGAAACTCCTCCAAATCGGGCATCGCAAGCGTCCCCAGTAGCGGCACACCGCCACGGGTTGACTGGTCGCTATGATCCCTGTTCAACGCTGCGTTATAGGGAGAAAAGGCATTGTTCAGCGCAACATTGCGGTAGACACCAGCGGGAGAGAAAGCACCGTTGTACGAACCATCAACGCGTGACGGGGGCACCCAAATCGAACAGCCGGGTCTTCCCGGTGCCGAAATAGGGGGCGCCCCTTGCCCTTGGTCGCCGTGTTGCTCTTGGTGATCACGAACATTCATGAAGCCCGTCTTAGATGGTTCCGGGTGACCGTGCGAAGCCATGCTCATGCTGGACGCGACAGTGCCTCGATAGTCAAAGCCGGGCGGTCCTCCTGAACTCCTTGTATTCAACTGCGAGCCTGGTGTTGTAGTGAGCTGCAGAATGCTAGTGGGTGGTCCCTGTGTAGCTTGCTGAGACGAAGACTGGCCTAATCCCACTACTTCCCGGTATTCGCGATGGACCTCCTCCACGATACGGATTTCTACTTCATACCCTAACGACGTTCCAATAGTGTACGTGGTTGCCTCCTCGTTGCTGTGCGCCAGATCGCCAGCCATTAAGCGAATGTTCACAGTACTATTCCGTTGCACAGAGGATATTCTTGTCGATGAAAAGGTCGTAGTCGCTGCTGTGCTATGCGCTTGAGTTGTTAGTGTTACTTCATCACTGTGCTGCGTAACGATTTGGTCTTTCGTGATTGTCAGTCTTTGATCGTCATGATGATCATGCTGCTGTTGATGCTGAGTACTCGAATCAGTAAAAAAGTGCGTTCTAGTAGGTCCTGCTGGTGCCGTTTGTTCGTAATCTTGATTATTACCACCAGTCGACATTGTGCTAGTGACACCAATGCCATTCTGTTTGGCTAGGGGAAGACCAAGATTAAAGTCATGCTGTCCATGGTGCTTGATTTGCGGGTAATCTAGTGCGCCTCTTACTTCTGGCACTAGCCCACCAGCAAGCTGCTGTGCGCTGCCTCTACTTCTTATAGGGAGGGATGAGCTAGAGCTCTCGATTGCATCGGAAGATGCTTCTTTCGTTGGAAGTCCGTGCGTCAGTCTTTGTCGAGAGGAAAATTCACCGCCGAAGAGATCGCCCGCATCCGTGTCCCTACCGGGCGAGGCGTCACCAATATGGCTTCGGGAACGAGAAGAGGACACGTGAAGAAGCGGAATCTGTTCATCTTGAGCATCTTCTTGATGACCCGGTGTCAAATTCATCGGCTGTACTGACTGTTCCTGACTCGACATATTGAGCCCGGGCACTGGAACTCCGAGCGCACCAGGAGCATCCACAACAGTATGATCAAGGGAGAAGGAACTACACGGCATAGAGAAAGCTGCACCTCCTTGTCCATCTCCGTCAGCAAGAATTGCGTCTTCGTTCACGACAGAAAGTGGCAAAGGAGACAACATGGCTCTACGACTGCGGATAGAGGACACGCGTGGCTTGCTCAAGTGCATCTTGCAGCTGCTATCGAGGGTGCTACCTGTACCCTGGTGGTGGAGAGTGGCTGCACCTTGATACTGCTCAAGTGCAGAATTGTTGGCCGCAGGACGTCGAAGGCCAGCAGCTCCACGGTGTCGCAGTGTGTTGCCTGCAATCTGTTCGCCGCAAATGGTGCTGTAACTGTCGTCGTCGTGTTCCAGGCTAGATGTTGACCCATTTCTGAGACCTCTGCCATAAGGTTCTTTGGATTCCTTCGTCATCTTAACACTCATTTTTGATACCATGGGTGGTTTTGTTACGTCGGCCTTGGAACTTTCATCATCAGCATCCTCGACGAAAGCTGCCGCACGTTCAACTGCGTCAGGGAACTTGTTCAAGAAAAACTTTCGTACCTCGCAGGAAAGCTCAACTTCGCCTTTGCTGGAGTAGGTCGGAACCTCCGTGATACCTTGCCAAACCGTGCCTGCTTTGCGATAGCGCATGCTTCGGGTCTTTTTCTTTGGATGTTGGTCCTCATCCGAGGAACGACGCCGACACCATCTGCTCCACCACGACATCTCGTTAACATCTTCATCAACAATAGGTGTCTTACTTTGTTGTTTGGCAGGTTCAGAAGCAGTACCAAGCACAAGCACCAGCCCTGCGGGTGCCTCCAACGTCTCTTCCAGATGCAATGGCCTGCCTCCCTGCAAAAGTGGCTGGGTCGGTTCGCCGTCGGCAGCAGTGGTAGTAACATCATCGTCTGCTCCGGTTGTGTTCGCTTTCGAAGATTGAACCTCATTCACTGATCCGCCTCCGCTTGGAGATCCGAAAGCCTGCTTACCAGTCTTATTCGCGGACGTGCCAACGTCAGCGTAATTCTTTTTTGCCTTACGCATGCGGCGGCGGTTGCATATCGACAAGCGGATAGAGGCGCACACAGTTGCTACCCACACTAGAATGACACAGGTGAAGCCGAGACTTGATAAAACCTGTCCCTCTTGTCGCGCTTCCTTATTCATCAATCGCGCTCTTTGCTTTTGCACTTGCGATTCGTGTGCGTCCTGAATTTCAGCACGCTGCAATATTGTCTCAGCCCCATTGCGGATCTCGGGCCACACGGAACCGGGATCCATCACAGCGAACTCGACTTCCAACGGAGACCCTCCCGCCGACGCGTAATGATAAAAATGTTGAGTATTGATTTCTGAGTCTGAAACTTTGCGAGAAGAGCGCCACAGATAGTGTAAAAATGGACTTGCTACACCGTGGAGCGGACTTTCAATCAACGTTCCAACAACGGCCTTCGCTACTGCGAGCTGTATTGTGTTGCCGTATTTTTGAATTCTAACATGCATTGGCACTGACACTGTTTATGTAAATTGAAAAAAGGGTCATTTATTTACAACAATTTCGGTTACCGCTCAAAGTGAAAGTTCTTTTCGTGGCTGTGGAAGTCGATCCCCTACACGTGACCTAAATCTACTTACAACTGAATAAACAGGCATCGGCATGATCATCATTCTTTATAATATATTCTGAAACTTATAGTTAATCAAAGACAAAATCAAAAACTATGCTACCTCGTTTTCCTTTGCGTTGTCGATGGATCCCATGTGCTGTCCCATAGTCACCTTCGCGTGAAAGACTGGAATCACTCCGGTTCCCTGAAGAAAATATTGTAATGAAAGCATCGTCCATACTTCCGTCGAGAGCAATAAAGACTCGACCTCCAGTAAACTGTAAATATTTACATACTTAGACATACGCACATGTTGATGAATATGAAACCTCCTTCTAATGTGTCTGTGTGACAGATGATACCTTGCCGCTAGTGCTCGTTGCCGAATCAGTGCCGGAAGAAGCAGAAGGGATTGCCGGAGAAATTGTCACGCTGCCTACGCACGGCACGGAATAGACTGCAAGAACTTGGTTGCTGGCAGAATCTTTTCCTTCAGTCGTGGCTCCTTGAGCTTCAGCCGACGACGTTCCTTGTCCTTCCGGCCCCTCGTTAAGCAAGTGGTTGCCTAGAATTTGTGCGGCAGCGCGTGCAGCACCATCTGACAAGTATGCCGTGGTTCTTGTCTCCATATCGGTGAGCCGATCGCGACCACTAGCTCCAAAAAGCTCGGCAAGATTCGCTTTCAGCGCTGGTATGTCCACAAGTCCTGGCGTGGGTTGCTGCGTCCCACCTCCACCGCTTGAAGATGAGGTAGAAGCGCTCCCGGAAAAGAAATTCCGACCGTCGCTCTTGGGAGAGGAGGTACTAGATCCAGTACTACTTCTTGTGGTTCCATAGTCCGCATGATTAGCATTTGTTAAACTTTCCTTGTTGTTGTTCATCCACATGTTCATTTCGGGCTTTCCGAAGTATCTTCGCGTCTTGAAGAAGGTCCACCCTTGGGCCGCGAGAAACTTCTCGTAGCTCAAATTGTGCGCTTCCAAAAGTCGTCTGTCTTTGTCCTCCAGGCGTTGATCGGGAAGTCGCGAATCTGCCACAAAGGAGTCCTCGACTAAGGTTCTAGGTACCAGGGCGTCGGACTTTGCGTCGTGTGCGAAAGAGAGGGGCACAAGCCTTTTACAGGAAGTAGACGCGCCTGCGCCACCGGCATCTTCTCCTAGAACACTCACATTTCGTCTGTACTGTGCTCGTCGCAGGAATCGCATTTCGCTGCTTTCAGTGCCGAAACCCAAAGCCACCGCGGACGCGACAACCTGGGATAGGGAGAGCTCAAAAAATCAAAACTCAGAAAAACTTTCGTACTTTTACAACAAAGATGCGAGAAGATAAAGACCAGATAAATTCTTGAAATAAATACAAATGCAGACCATAAAAGTATTAGTTTCGCTACTAGAAGTCGAAGTGAAAGTTTTTGAAGAAAAAAGAAATCTAGAGTAGTTGTGACCTCCATAGTTTCCACAACACCGCCGTCTGGCAGGGTGGGTATTGTGCAGGTGAAGGCAGCCGGAAAGTGTAAGCCCGTCTTGAAACTGACAAGGATGTTTGTGCCTTGAACATCATTGGCCGCAGACTCCAAACTAAGCTGTTCTGGGAATATCCAGTCACCTTCTCCAGATGACAACGCCCCTGATGCATCCTCATTCCCTTCGCTGGATGACGGTTGCGCGACCAGGCTCCAACAGCCTGGAGTGCACTGATTCTGCGACGACCCAGCAGTAGTTGCACGACGTACACGTGTACCACTCATCTTGTCTGTCTTTATTTGTTCAAAACGACATCATCGAAATGAAGCAGAAAGAAAATCATGGTCTTTTGCGATACTTTTGAAAGTATGGAGTCGCTAAATAAGAATAACATCATAGTCCTTGTCCTTCAAAACAACATTTTTTTCCAAAAAATCACCACAGTAAAATTAGCGAATAGAAGATACTCCTGCGACTAACTTTGAGAGCAACAGCTTTCCACAAAAGAAATGCCCAAAAATCTACTTTTCGTTGTAATCACGATGAGATAACTAAAGCCATCAAATCTTAGTCATTCTTAGTACACTTCTTCATTGTTTCTCAAAGAGAACTTTTTCTTTTATAGGGTGGTTTAAAACAACTACTTGAACTTAGCTGAGAAGCTAGATAAATTTTAGATTCGTTGGCAGAGATAATAATTGTCGCTTACTTCTTTAATAGCCTGGTATTGAATCCTGTAGTCCTGTAGTTGAAATGGAAATGCATTGTAATTGAGAGGATCATCACGAACAACTTTCATTTTGTGGTGTTTTTGCACTAAAATTCATCTTTTTTCTTGATTTCCTTGAGCTTCTTCTTCTCGATCTTCCTTATACTATCAGTGATCTCCGATTTCTTGATGATCTAAATTTCCTTTGCTTTGACCATTTTCAACATCTGGCAGATCAAGATCCTTGTACTTTTCCAATAAAATGATTTCAATTTTTTCATTCTGTTGAAAGAAAAAGTTCGAGTAGAAGACCAAGATCAAATGCAGAGAAGTTCGATCATTTCTACTCTTTTCTTGTGCTCATATCTTAGTAGAATGTTGACTCGGCGTTGCCACAACATTCACGCCTTAACTCTTTAATCGGGCACGACGACCAGCACCAGAAAAGACTGTAGTATGTTGACTTCACATGATTACAACATTTTTTCTCATGTGTCGGATGCTAGGATATGCTCATTCTTTTTGTCCATATCGAGCTCCTAGAAACTGAAGTGCTAATTCTGTTGAAACACCGTAAATTTGTTGGAGTTCCGAATCACTGATGTGCACGAAAAAACAAAATTTGCGATACTCTTGGACAGGCAATGGGGATGCGAAAATACGATAAAGAGTGGCTCACTAGAAGTGCTGGGCGCTTGCTGTTGCTTGAGGACAAAAATTTACGATACACCCAGACCCACGCTCTGTTCGGAGGACACAAAAAGCCGCCTACGGGGCAAAATCGAGGGTGCTACAAATGGACGCATATTCTTATTGAGCCTGGTGATGCACGAAACTGCAAGGATTATAGCGGCCAGATTTCATAATTGATTGCTGTCCACGCCCACGAAGGTTAGCTGCCGGCATACAAATGGAACCTCGTCCATTGCAGTAGGTGATCGCTCGGCTCTTCGAGATTTGGAAGAACGTCATGGTCATAGTCACTGGCTGAAGGCATGGGAAGACATTCCAACGCGCGCAACTGAAGTGTAGAACAGGAAAGACATAATTCACCTATATTTTCTACGGTACTAGAACTTCTAGATGCAGCTGGCGTATAAAAAGTATGGTCCAATGCGCCCTCAAACTCCCGTGTCCGCGTTGTCAACTCAGGATGACCACCCTGCAGTTCTTCGTAGGCAGAAACCGTGGATGGAAGTAATGACAATAGTGACGACGTGGAAGCATCACTGAGAATACTCGTAGATTTGCAAAGCGCCGTAGCCAGTCGTATCGTTTCGTGCAGAACGTCAACGCGATCATCTGCGCTAGTTTCTTGTGCCTTCTCTTCATTTGTCTTGCTATTAGAGATGGAGTTGGAGACGTCAACCTGGCGAAAATACTAGTTAGACAACCTTTATCCATCTGATATTTCATCCACATCCTAGTTCGCATTGCAAGGAAACAAGAAGCACACAATAGCACCACTATCAGATGCTCGCGGTAACCCTGATTGTGCATTGCCATAGCGGAGCTTGAGCCTCTAGCTGACAAGAAATCTGCCAACAACTGGTCGCCACGATTCGTGAACACGGACCAGTACGGTACACTCGGAACAGAGTTGGAATCTCCTGCCATGATTATTGGGGGCAACATGGACGAGTCGCTGTCGTTTTTACTTTCGCTTTCAGAGCCACGAGGACCAAACTGCTTCATCAGATTTGTAGTTGATGTTAGCCGACGAAATTCTTCGAGTTTGCACCGCAAAGCAGCTGCATATACTCCCATGGCTGTGAGGCCGATAGGCCGACCTGTCCGTGCTCGCGCATGAACTTGCTGTATATGATGCCAACCACAGAAGACAAGTCTTCTCCTTTTGCTGTCATTGGACTCCTGTTTTGAATTATCCACACTTCTAGAAGACTGGCTCGAGGAATTTTTGACTTCCAAATCCAGAAACAAATAAGGGAGGCTGTGCCAAAATATTCGAGCGCATGCTATTGTGTCCTCAATTTCTTCTGAACTTAATGGCGTCGACGTCCTCTTTTCATCACGTCTCTCGGCGTCCGCGTCCGGTGCCTTCAGACAATCGAAAGCACTAAGTGAGTGATCGATTTTCAGCAGTCGCCGTCCTTGAAAAACGTCACCCAAGTCACAGCGGTTGGCGCGATGCAATACGTAAGAGAGCTCCGCTCCGTCTTTCTTCGTGTTAGCATCGCCTTGTCGTCGAAGAGGTGGATCTATTTCTTCTTCCACTCCGTCGTAGGAAAAGGCGCACGCAGTTTGATCCACATCATCGTACATCGGGGTCCCAGATTGCAGCGTGTGGAGGCGAAAATAAGATATTGGAAACGCACAGAGGACGCCCATAGCCATACCATCAGCATCACGTCGTCTGCCTCGAGCAAAAACCGTTGCATAATTGAACTGACGAAAACGTTCTCCAAGTCTATCTGCCCATTTCTGCGATACCTCTTGGAAACAAAAAATCACCGCTATGTCATGCCTTGGAACTTGAGGGTTCTGCTCTTCTAGTCGTGCAACATGTTCTTGCAAGGGAAGACGACTCGCATTTTCGTCTTGTTTCGCCGACGCTCCTTTGTGTCTAAAAGTATACCCAGCTTTAGCGGCTTCCATCCTTTGTTCAACTTTTGTCCATATTTTCTCGAATCGTGTCGATTCGTCAAACACGGGCAAAAATTTTGACCGCAGCACTTCATCTCCCTCAGCGGCCGCACGAGGAATCACGCTGTCATTTGCGAAACGGCTCACGTAGGTACCTTCTGGCAGTGGCTTTCCTTCTCTTAGAGCTTACATAAAAAGGCCCATGATTAATATCCCATATATCAGACATCACACACTGTGGGAGTACTTTTCCTTCGAAAAAGCTTGTGCCAAGGAGCATGAGAAAGACCCTTCCTAGGAAACGAGAAATACGTGCTTAAGCCTTAAATCTTGGACGATAGCGGTTCCACGTGCCTTATCAGGCCAGATCGCTCGAAATTCATCGCGATAAAATTTCTCCATGAAGTGCCGGTAACCGAACACATGCGGCTCATCCGTCTTGTGGCCACGGAGGACATTTGTGCGCTTTGTACCGGTCTCAGGATCCATAATGTCAGGACCATACAAGTCACCATCTGCGTCTCTTCATATGAAGAAATGATAATGACAACTCAGGAATAAAAATTTTGTTGAAGCGAAACGACAAAGAAGACTCAACAACAACACTTTTCAATCTTCAGTAGTATTTTCGATTTGTTTCTGTAGGAATCCAATAGGAAACTAGACTGTACACAGCCAGATACATCTCCTTTTCCGTATGTTGTGACAGGGAGAGGTCAAGCTGCGCGGCACTGAAGCGCCAGTTTCCTGGCCAGGCAGGATCCCACGACCCGCTCCACAGCAGGTTGTACGTCACCACTTCGAGCACTAAGGAAAAACCTGGTTTCTGGACTGGGGAAGTGGTTTCTTTATCAACACCCTGCCCTCCGTTTCTTTGGTGGTTGTCGCGCGGTGACGGTGAGCGTTTATCATCTTCCCGCTCTTCTGGTCGCTGTTCCTTGTAAAGCACCGGATCAGGATTCTGAGATACATATTCTTGCATGCCCGTGGTCATGCTTGACTGCACGCTTTGATCAAGTAACTTCACATAATGATCTTCACACCATTCTTTTTCTTCTTGTTCCTTCCGTTTCTTCTTCCTGTATGTAATCGAGAAAGCAGTACTTGTTCACTTTCGTGGTCTATTAATGCTTTCGACTAAATAATAAACTCTAAGTCCCCGCAGCTACTTACAACAAGAAAGCTCTCCAGCTCCAGGTTCTTGTCGTTTTTTTGCTCACATGCTCCGTGCATCCTCTCTTGTTCCTTTTACCGACACCCTCACCCATCACAGCTTTTAACATTTTTCTCTTGCTCTTGTCAGCTCTCGGTCGCCTCCCTCGCTGATTTATCTGTCAGAAAATGCCGAGCATGCACAATAGCGAGCTAACATCAGCACATCACGCAATATTTACGACCACAGACGAAAAGGCTGAAGAAGACACTCATCTTACCTCCGCAAGTAGGAGTAAGTGGTATTACCAACCACCTCCAGTCGGGATCCTATCCGCAAGCGTGACATGTGTCGGTCGTTTCCTCCCGTCGTGATAGATCAGGATGTATGGTTACCGGTATTCAATCTAATGAAGGCCTGCGGCGCCTGCTAAAATGTCAATAAAAGCATGTTGCGGTCGTGCAGATAAAAATTCAAGAAGATTATACTTCTCTCCAATCGATTACAAAGCGTCCGATCAATAAGATGAATATTAGATGATGAACTCAATGTTTTGTTCCCCAAAAACTCATGCTGTGCGTCACCCTGAGGTCTATACAATGGGATCGTCACCCCATTCAATACCAATTTTGAACTACATCTACAAATATTTAGCGTTCTCGTAATAGTTAGTGTGTTTTCCCCGGAATGCTCTCGAGTGCACATGTAACGACTTTCGTCAGGAAGACTCTTTGTTTCTATGCAGAAATGATTGTGATGTAGATCTAGTAGATGCACATGGTGCATTGTCATGATCATGATTTTTACCTTCGGGTCTCTAGTTTAAAATCCGAATCTGTTGTGTCACCCCAGTAACGATCGAAAGTTCTCCCGGATCAACCGTGAAGATGGGAGTCTTGTTACCGTACTAGGCATAACTAGAGTGCACCAGTGTTATGCTCATCTTCATCATTGCACCAGAAACGATTCGTGAATCTGAATAGGCGCATGCGTCGCGACGTCAGCGTCATCCAACAGCCTTTTTCGTTCTCTCTCGAAGTACAGGCGCAGCATCTGGGCTACAACAGCACACATGGCTGCCACGCGTAAGCGTGGAAACGGCTTGGCCGGTCGGAACGAAACCGTAAACCAGTACCACCAAGTAGGAAGAAACAGCAAATGCATCACCATTTCCATGCGCAGACAGCGTCGCAAGCCACGCTCCTGCGCTTGAAGCTGTGCTAATTGTCTCTTCTCTAGTTCCTCCTCTTCTACTTCCGCAGTTGTACCAGGATGTTGTAGTGAATGCTTTTCAACATCTGCATCGTCCAACGCACCACTTATCTTAGAAGAATTTTGTGAAGAGGGCTCGTTCGCACTGTGTTGTTCACCTAGGCTTCTAGTTGGCAAAGGCAACGTGAGCTGTTGATGTGAAGATAAACCGCGTTCGTCCTCGGAGATGGAAACACAGGTGTGCCTCATAATATTTTTGTCAAAAAACATTTTTTTCGTTGATCTTCTCCGACTATTCTTGTTTCGCACGACCTCCATGTTTGCGGGATTGATTAGCCACAAACGCAAGAGCAAGCCGACAGCAGAAAATGCCGAGCATGCCAGATCGCCCAATTCCGAGATGCCCTCCATCATTTCGATATTGTGGTGGGTGAGGAGTCGGTGTCGCGGAAGCAGCTTCAGCTCATGAAGCGACTTTACGTGTTCCAGGACTACGCAGAAAAGATCCCCCAATCCGGCTAGCAGACGGCAAAGCATCACTTGGCGAAGACGGCGCAATGTAAAAACCAACAAGGCCTGATCATTTCTGAAAATGCCAGCTTGTTCCGGAAATTCCGATGTCAAAGTGTGCTGAGCCTCTGCGCGGACGGCGGGCAAAGCGTTCTCCTCGTCCTGTCCGTGAAGATGATCTGATGCGTCTCTATGCTTGTTGCTCTGCGTTGTGCATGATGTTGGACCCGGCGTAGTGGAGCACGCCGTGGAAGGAGTAACCGGTGGTGTGGTCAAAAGACTCCCGTCACTTCGCTCTCCAGCCTTGTGTGGTCCGAAAGCGTCTAATTTCGCCAACAGCACATCGATCTGCTTCATCAACCGCCAGTCATGCAAGCACTCTTGCGCCACCGGTAGGAATGTCCCCCATCGCATGCAGCGCACCGCAATCCCGATTTTGTCTGTCGCATGCTCAGCGGCCTTGCTCAGCGCAACCGCATCGAAAAGTCGACGACCGCCTCTATTTGGTACGACCGCTGAAGCCGAACCTGTGCCTCCAGATGATGTTGAGGACACTAACAGAGTCGCATACTGTGCCAAGAAAAGGAGCTGCTCTCGCAACCCGGCATCGTGGAAAGGGCCGCTCACAGGATCCAACAAGTTGGAGACAAAGCCTCCACCATGGCCGTCGCCATGACCACCCATTTTTACTCCACTAGTTATATGTCGATTTCAATGTTGACGATTCCTAATCTCTGCGTCTGCGAAAACATTTTTGAACGAATGACTGGATTGATGTCATTCTTGGAGTTGATCAATTTCTATAACAAACTCGTCTTCGTCATCTTCAAGAAAAAAACAGCAAGGATATCATCACAATCGAGGATGCGGATGGTGAAATGGAAAAAAGTTTCGATCCAATCCTATTAATGATAATGTGATAGGATGAAATATATTAACTATTGCTAAAGATGAAGAAAAAAACCACACTGGCTTAGGTTTTGTCTGATTCAAAGCCGGGGCGCTCCCTGCGCGTACTTCTATGACACGAGCTTTGTTTGAAGAGGCCCTTCCCTGCTTTGACTTTGTGCGCTACAAGGTTATATCTGTGGCTAATAACGCCTGGGGTCTGTGGCTAGGTAATTCTGAAAAGTTATGATCACATTTACATACACGAGGATAAGTCTGGATGACGTCTGAAAATGAGTGGTAATGCACACACAGGAAAATTCAAGACAACCATAAGATGATTCAGTGATGTAGAAAATTTCGTAGAAGATCAAAAGTCGGTCAGTATGCGCGTTTAGGGGACCTACTAGCCGCCACCGACAGTGCTTACATCGTCATCGAAACCATTTTGTTATGGAAGATCCTATCGCGGGGAATTGATATCGGAGAAGCATAAATATCCACCTCCTGTCAACATAGTAAGATCATTAATCTGCCAGAGATCCTTCTTCAAAATAAAAAGCTTTTCGTTCACAACGTGAAAGAATAGGGGTTCTACAATATGCCACTCGTTGCTCTCACTCTCCATGTCGATGTCCCCGATGTCCATTGACATTCACAATCACAATCTGACGCAAAGACAGAAAACAAAACCAAAACAGATCCATGTTTGTAATTCAGAAAAACCGGTGGTGGAAATGCATAGAACATGTTGCCTTGACACGGGCAAGAAGTAGAAGATAATCTTTCATAGTGATCGTTCTTTTCATCAATAAATTTGATGTTTTTGAGAACCGACAGAAGCTCACGATCGCAGTTACATCTCGTAGACAATTTCAAGGAAGTATGTTTGCAGCCGCAGCAATACGTGATATCGCGTTGCTCATCAGAAACTTTTTTGCTAACCATCTTCGCCCGTCCCCCTGCACTTACCTGCCGGTCGGTACTTTCGTTCATCGCACGGCCGTCCAGAATGGCTGTTTCGGTAACGTCACCCTGTAGGACGTAGTTGGCTACCAGCGTGTGCGAATCGATACTCGTAAGCACGCCTTGCACCCGTGTCGGGCACCCGCCTGGCTCCGACTCCAGTCTATTTGCATTCCGCCAGTACTGGGTGAAGGACAACCCATCGCTGGCCCTTCAAGGCCACTCTCGCGACCGGGAGACAACTAAACTTGACTCGGGTAAATCCAAAGAGAAAATGCGTTTTCACCACTCACTCCCTCACTTGTCGCGACGACTTAGTTACGAACAAAAAAAAGCACGTCCACACAGCTCTGTGAGGAGGATGAGTCACTCCATACCGATGGCCAGCTCTTGTTTCGTGTTTGCAAGGGTCCGGATGCAACCCAGACACATTGATTCCAATGCAACTAGTTTATTTTCTGATCTTGATTCTTGAAGACTGAAGACTGCATTTTACAAACAAATCCCTCAAAAATGACATGTTCTTCGCGTTGAGGTGGAAGTGGAGCACTCTAACATCTCGCGTCTCCAGTTTTCTACGTCACACTAAACCATTCGACAAATACTTCAGGAGGAACTGAGGAACTTTCTAGTGGTTGTGATCATCCCCTAGACAAGGAGCCATTTTTAACCGTCTCTCATCACCTAGACAAGGAGGTGAGAGACGCTTAAAAAGATAAGTATGCGGAGGACCTCCTTCTCGAGGTCGAGACCCAACTAAAGATAATCATCAGGCAAAGTCTCGTCCATGATCTGCTGGTGCCACCTTTCGTTTCTTTTTGTCACTGCTCGGGCTGTTTCCGTTGAAATGAGTCCCCCCATTCGTATCCGCTATTGCAACTTCGTCTGGTTGGTTTGTTAGACTAATTACCAACAACTGCACCTTCAAAACTGTAGTCATTATCGTCCGTTTGCGGTTACGCTGCGCTACTTCTGGTCAGTAACATGGAAGATAAAAGTGCATGCTACAGCGGTAGCGAGTAAATGATGTAAGGTCTCTACTACAACTACTCGGTTTGTAGTGAAGAAGATGTTCTAGTGGTAGTGCTACATACGGAAATAGATTCTCTTTCTCAAACATAAATATGCGTCTTGTTTCACATGCCCGAGCGAGAAGCCGGATACTAGCTCTGGATGGTCCCTTAGGTGGTCAATCGAGTTGGCCACCACAATCCCGACTTGACCGGTTCGACCGTCAATATCAATCACGGTGACGCCGGTGTTGAAGGACCGGAACCATGTTCCGACTGTCTGGCCACTCGAGGTCGTAGGGAAATTAGAGTTTGGCAGCTGTCTGATTGCTAGTGGGTCCCTAGAAGTCGTCTTATGGTGGTGCTTAATGGCGTTTGTTGTTGCCCGGAATACTTTAAGGAAACAAAGAAGCAGTCCATAGATGTCGACGCGTTCTCGTGAACAGACACAAAGAAGCTTAACTGATGGAAGCATCAGGGCTCCACTTTCCTTCGCACTAGGATCGGTAGACTCGAAATGCATGAGGGAAGAGAGGAGTTGCGTGATGAAGTCAAAGTGCGCCACGAGCACGATGTTTTCAGATTGCGGCTTTTTGTTTGCTGCAGGAAAGTGATCCATCCCTGCGCAGTGCGCTGCTACACCTGAAAGTCGGATTAGAGGTAGTTGCTCGTGAAAATAAGAGCAACCTCGACGTTCTTTCACTTTCGTTCTTATGAAAAGCAAAAATACCTTCATGGTTTACAACGCCTTCATGGTTTGAATCCTTTAGACCTGTGAAGACCAAGGTACTGCAGTTGCACGCTATGAGTTCTTCTAAGATGTCAAGGTAGCAGTCAGGACCATTCGCATGAAGTTTTTTCGCACGCGCTTTCAGCATCTTAGCGAAGCCGTACGCCCGTAGTTGTGATTCCCCATGCGTTTCTCTGGGCCGCTCAGGGTCTAGCGGTCGATACCACCCCTTCTCTGTCACAGAGTCCGGCATGACGTAGCCCGGAAAGTCGCGCACGATTTGGCTTCGCGTCAAGCCGCCAACTGCCTCGTACGGCCCAAACGAGAACTCGATTTGCTTAGGGACATTCGTCTTTCCCTCGGGTTCTTGTCCTCTACTGGAGTTGTCTCTTCTTGTAGGTGATGAGTGCGAACTACCGTTTGCTTTCGTACTTGACGGATCTGTATCGAAAACCGGTACGCTAAACAGCCCTCCTTGCTCGAATGCGCGTAGCTGGAGACGCGGATGCAGCACGCTGCGCTCGACATCTAGACCTAGAGATTGTAATTCAATCAAATTGATTCAAGATCAACATGACTACAAACACAGACAACATCCTCTACTAGTACAGCATTTTAATCCATCGTCTTGTTCGTCCTCGAGGATAATCCGACTTCCAAATAATACTGGTAGAGCCAATCTGACTGGGAAGTAACGAAAAAAGGAAAACGAAAACATGACTTCCAAATAAACATTTTAGATTCTGTAGCAGACATGCAAAACGAAGCCATTGTGAGAACGAACTTGCAGTAGGAGCACACAGCAACAGTAAAAGCTGAAGCAAAGATTGAAAATCTGAAATATTGTGTCCAGACCATGTACGTTCTCCCTGCGTTGTTTTTGCGTAAGCTGACATCCTTCTCGAGTCTTTGTTGAAGCCTGCTGCATCCTTCGCAAGCGTTGCGTCTTGTTGAGCAAAGTACGGTCCGTCGCTCCGGACTAGTTTTGTACGGCTGAGCGGCCGGATCGTTTGCATCGTGCGTTTTACAGGCGATACCCAAAGCTCCGATATAGGATGTAGACCCCAGAATTGCGACTTCCGTTCATCCCCCAAGTGCTGCGCGAGCAATTCGGCTTGTTTGAATCCGCGATCCGTGAGGTCAGGGTCAGCAGACCGGTCCTTCCAGTAGTAGAAGGGAACGCCAGTCGCTTCGAGTACATTGTTGGTGCTCTCGCCGTGACGAACGAGTGCAATTCGTAATCGCGAGTAGGGCGGAGGTTGAACGGACGCAGTGGCAGTTGCAGTCATTTTGTTTGCCTTTGCAGTTTGCACATGCAGCCTCAACAGCTAAGTAATTATCCTCGTTATCCTCTAATATAATATCGGAACATATATCTAGATCTGACCAATGCTTTTTGTGGCATACCTATCGCACCTCGGGTAGTGAAGTTACTAGGGCTAGAAGCCGGTCGTGTCTCTTCTTGTTTTAGTCGAAAAACGCAGAAATTGTTGTAGTTACACCGTTGCACGGGATACGCTTAGACTTTTCGAGGTGAAAACTACCCGGTTGTTTTACTTAGTGCTTTGAGCGTCGCGGGACCTAAACCTTCACCTACAAGGTGAAAGCCAATCAAGATTTGCAGAAGTTGTTGTAGTTATACCAAAAACGCGAACACTACTGCCAGTTCGAAAAAAAAAGGAAAACGCGAACACTGCTGTAAGTTTCTGTTCTACTCGTTTTGAATCTGTCCTCGAGAACGTCGCAAACGCGTGGCCGTTCGCGCGTTTATGCTTTCCCTTTCGAGCTTAGCTTTCCCACATTGACTTTGACAATAGAGCATCATCGATCTATGACTTATCCCCTCGGTACATCCACTTCGGCAACAACTAGCATTCCCCATCAAAAATAGCAATACCTTGACCTGCACAAGGCATAACATCCAGATGAAGAGTGTCTGAGTCGTGCGTGTTTCATCTTCCATTCTAAGACGGATGGACCTTCATATTGCGCGACTTGTTGTTCTTGATGCAATTGGTCTAGGGCTATAATGTTAAACTCTGAAATTTCAAAATTTATCGATAAAGTTCCCCACGATGGCGAGCAAGAAGACGAGCGCGAGCTGCCCCGTGCTCTGCTATCCGCTGGCGCTGATGCTTGTCTGCAAATATGGATACTGCGTGTATTCCTTCGCAGTAGTCGAAAGCGAGGACATTCATTCTTCTTAGTTACTGATGCAGCTGATGCACCTATCTATTCTTCTAAAAAGTTAAAGTTGAACAAGTAAAAGTTCTTCAAAAAAACATGAAATCAAAATTGTTCGTGGTCTTGGACGCTAACGCAACAGACTTCTTCACAAGGGTTTCGCAGATTAGTCATAAATATGTTATTTTCATGTAGTACGACACATTCTCATTCTGAGGAAGAGGATTGGATAATCGTAATTTTAATAATTATATTATATGATCCAGGGCTTGGGGCTGCCGGGGGTGGAAGGCCTCAAAGGGGGGCCAGGTGGCCTCCTTGGCTCCCTTCGTTCCAGGTGCTTGGCTCTCCACAAGAAGAGGCCGCCGACGTAAGTAGGTGGAAGGCCTCGGAAGGCGGCAAAAGACGAGGGGCGGGACCCCCTGAGCCGTGCAGCTTGTTCCCTCCGGGCCCAATATATGATTTAGGGCTGGACGGCGCCCCCCTCCCCCCCCCTGTGGTCTGGTCGGTGGTGGCGCGCGCGCTTTTCCGCGCGCATTTCGGCGCGGAATCTAGTGAGGGAAGGCGTCCAAACTTGGCGCGGGTCTCCCCTTGAGCCTCTCAGCCGGTTTCTCCGGGACCTCCTGGCCTTTGCTGACCCTCGCAGGCGGGAGGTCTCCAGGGTAAAAGGCCGCCGAGGGCGGCCCCGGTCGCAAGAGCAAGCAAGCCAATGCCCAAGGGCCCGGAGGGAACAAGCTGCACGGCTCAGGGGGTCCAGCCCCTCGGCTTTTGCAGCCTTCAGAGGCCTTCCACCCCCGGCAGACGCCTCCCAAAGGGGTCCGGGGCTGGCGGTACCCCCCCCCGCTAGGGGGGGTACCGGCAGCCCCAAGCCCTGGATCATATATACATATATTTAGATCCAACTACAACCAATACTATTCTGCCTATCCTTTTCTAAAGTAGAAGAACGAAGCATTGGTACTATAGAAGCTAGTAGAGGGACGAGGATCAACTATGACACTCTTATTGAGCAACAGTCTTGACAATGATGCTCAAAGACGTAGACCTACCCAACCACTTTTACAACAACTATACATCATGGGCGCTGTTTAGATAGTAGATACTGATTCGTTACTGTGTATGTGAAATCTCTTCCACTTTACGGCAATGCCTTGCCGACATCGCACAAGTACATGAGGTCGGTGAAGAGACTGTAGCCTGTCTCAATCTTGCCCGCCCCTGGCCCGATAATTGTGAGATCTGGTCCGAGCATATCGGTCTTGAAGTTCAAGGCGTTGAGTGCACCACCGACATTAGCGAGTGAGTCCGTCTTGACACACAAGGCCTGCGGTTTCACCTCGATCGACGTGATCTGTTGCGTGCTGGCATTGAATTTTAATGTCGAGACGAGTTTGTAGCGCTTTCCTGCAGCCTTGGCTTCGTCAACCATAGCCTTCGTTACGCCGGTGATGCCCTATTGAAATTTTTAATTGATGCAGTGGATGAGCTACAACATAGATGAAGATGAAACCATAATTGGAACAAGCCTTTTCTGTCAGGAGCATCAGATACAAGTAGACGCATTGTTCCTGTTCCTCTACATCACACATTATCGACGATTCTTTTAACGGTACTTCTAGGACAATTTTGTCTGTCGGGAATGGGTCTTTGAGCATCTTGGTGAGGATAATCGCTTTGGCGCGTGCATCGCCGCCACCGATATCAAAGCTGGGGTTGGCCTCTGCGTACCCAAGTTCCTGGGCAGTCTTCAACGCCTGGTCAAACTCAACGCCATCAAATTCCATACTCGTGAGCATGTAGTTGCACGTTCCGTTCAAAATACCACTGATTTCGCTGTACGAGCACGCGGGCAAGTTACGCATCAGACTCACAATCGGAGTACCGGAAACGATAGAACCTGATGGTCGACGAGGATTTCAGACTCGGGTATGCAGTATGCTGTAGATTTTCTTGATTTTATGTCTTACGCCAATATCGAAACATTGTGTATATAATGGAAGTTTCTCAACATACCTCGAACTTTCTCATCTTCAGCTTGCTTCAGGAGTGAGTGACGTCTTCAAAAACAAAACAAAAGAAGCATGATACGAGCCTACAAGTACAAGCGGCACAGTAAATTACGCTCCTTACCTTCGATCATGAATCGTTTTCCATGTTTTCGCGCCAATTCATCCAGTTTGTCATATGCGAAGACAACTGGGCCTTTGTTGGTGGTAATCACGTTCTTCCCGTTCTGCAAACATGTCTCCACGTGTGAAATTGCTGGTGTTCCGTCATCAAGATTCGTCCACGTCATCTCCAACAAACTGTCAGCCTCAACGAACTGGCCAGAATTGAGGTGGATTTCTTTTGCTAAAAAAATTATGTAGTGTCAATGGTGCTTCATCTACATCTTGTTCTAGTTCATTTTTCACCATCTGCAAAAACACTCTGATTAAGAAGATGATCATCATCATCATGATTATTGATTAAGTTTAACATTAATTATTCAACTGATGAAGCAGTTTTACTTTGCATGTCGCAAGGGCATCCATCTCGTGCTTGTAGCCGGCTTTGTCTTTGCCAAACTCGTTCAGACTTTTGCCCTCCGCGTCCCACTTCAGAAGCGCATCGACATCCAAGCCGTCAGGAGCGTATACACTGCCCTTGTGAAAATCGGAAACAGCAACGATCTTGACATTGAGTCCACATTTCTGCATGGATTAGAGAAAGAGCAATGACAATCGAGAAATCATCATGTCAGTTACTCTTACTACAATATCAAAGTTCATACGATTGACTAGTGGATTTTAATATTTTCTCGGTCGTCCTGTCATAATTGAGCATATCGTTCTTTATCTTCACGATCTCAGCGAAACCTTTTCCGACGGTCCCAAAACCGAGTATAGCTACTCTGTGCTCCTGGGAGCCGGTCGCGAAGGCCCTTGACTGGTGGCCAAGAATAGCCCGTCTGGATGCCATTTTCGACAACATCTTGTGTTTTCTTATTTGTCTTATATGAGGAGGAACTGAAAAAGGAGACAAAAAGTATGTGTACTAGCAAGTTTTCGATCTAGAACAGGCTTGTCTAGGAAGTCTACAGGCGCGCGCGTGTAACTCTAGTCACGGTCCTTCTCCTTGTTTACTTTAACTTTTCTTACTACCCGACCCTCAGATGTCTGCTCTGCACACCGAATTTCAAAATAAGACGTCAACTCGTGGAAGTTCCCTTCGACTAACAACATCTAGCGCTGTATAGTCGTTCACTCGTCTTCATAGGAAATCTTGGTTGTTGCTCTCAACTTTTCTGCTGTATTAGTAGACCACTAACTGCTATCTCTCGTCGATTAACTCTCAGACCCACTCCAATCATGAAGTGACGCACAGCGACATCAATACAATACATTTTTATTAATCTCGCACAAAGTTAAGTGCAGACTTTCTTAAGGGCGTCACTAATAAAAGTAAAACGACGTTCTCATCTCTCGGAGTCGTAACTTGTTTCATTTCACCATCGCCGCTATGATAGATCTCTGCTCTTGGCCGCTCTGTAAATATCTTCCGACTATTATCACAATTCGAATTCAATGTAAGTCAGTGCAACGAACACGGGTACATCATCTCTCTTACGAGTTGAGTCATGGTGGATAATCTTCCTAGGTGCTTTGTTGACATCATGTTGAACAATGCAAAGAGTAGTTTTCGATAAAGCACTTAAGTAGATGCAACATCGCCTTTTACCATGATAATTGGGGTTATATGTTGCTTCTCTTTCGTCCTGTCAGAAAAGAAGGTTGACGATGATCATGATTTGCATCTTCTTCACAATCGCAGCACATGAGCATAAGCACGACGACATGCACAGGTATATGTGTTGATACTAAAAAAGGAGAAGATATGTCTCATCTAGCATCTAACTCTAAGCTTCTTTCGAGAAATGAAGTCTGACCCTCCCATCAGATGCGCCTGATGCCAACATTGCTCCATTTTTTACACTGCAAACAGTTGTGAGCTTCAGAGTGGCTTGTCTGTATTTGCTCGGCACCTGCTGCTTCTTTTCGGTCGATGAAGCTACGACTTCGAGCGATTGCAGTGCCGTTTTACTGCGAGGATCCGTGACCTTTACGCTCCCGTCTAAGCCACAGGACAACAATCGGTAGTTTTTCAAGAAACTGAGTGTCGTCACCATTCCTTGATGTACTTTTGCTACTGGAAACGCTTCGGCCATCTGAAATTTGGTTGATTTTGAGCCTGTCTTTGTTGTTTCTCGCTCGTGCGTCCAGTAGGAGACACGACCATTCTCGTGCGCCAGCGCCAGAAGATTGAGCTTCGCGCTGAAATCCATCTTCACGATTGCCAAACCGGCATGCGTGATAGATTCCGGGACAACGCGGTTCGAGACCAGATCAATCACGAAAAAAGACGCGTCTTGGCTGGCAACGAGCAAACGGACCTCATCGAGAAAGTGCACTGCCGTGATTCGGTGTCGCACATGCTCTGGCGTGATAACCACAAAGTCGCACTTTGCAAGACCAGAGGTCTTTTCCGCTGTCTGAGCATCCTCTTCGCGTGTGCGCTTCTTGCTCGTCTTTTTGTCACCGTCCTCCTGCTCAGCAGCTTGTGCAGCAAAAACTTCATGCGTGTTCCAAATTTTGAGTCCACGGTCGAAGTCCCATCCTGCAGTCGCGATCAGCTGGCCGCTTGGGGAGAGAGCCGCGCACTCAAGCGCTTTGTCAAAGGCGCAACTCGATGTATCGTTTGGATCCGCAGAGCAAGAGCTTAAGGCAAAAGCTCCAGTCTCTGCAGTCACGCGTCCGAAGCGAACGACCCCTTCCTTGTCGCCGAGCACAACTTTGATTGTGCTTGCTTCTTCGGCGACGATTTCAACGAAGGTCAATCCTCCGTCGTCGAGAGAAGCACAGATCGGATTTGACCGCAAAAGTTCAAGTTCTGGCTCTTGGTGTGCATTTTCACCTGCGAACTTGTACACCTTGAGTGTCCCATCGTAGCTAGTCACCAAGAGTAATCGACTTTTCTCAGCATAGCGTACACAGGAAACCCAATCTTCAGAATTCTCCTGTTCTGCAGTGTTCAGAGGCGGGAGAGCCCACAAGTACTCGATCTCCAACGTGCGCTCACTGCTCAACAGATGCTCCGTCTGCAACTGGTGCAAGCTCTGACGCAAAAAGACCTGCGAGCCGAATGGTGTTCCTACTTGCAGGTCATCTTCAGCATCTCCTTTGGAAGATGCTGCATCAAGAGCATCAGCATCCTGTTCGTCAGCGGTGCTTGGTGTCCTCATCTCAACATCCTCTTCGTTTTTCTTCGCTGTTGGCGTGCTGGAAGACTTCTCTCCGGCAGCTTTCTTTCCGCTTGCTGCCGCGACATTTTGCTCGTACTTTGTTCGCACAAGAAAGTCGAACGGGACTGGCTGGCCGCGACCCAGAAGTCGGTTCACGAGCTCGGACAAGCCGTAACGGCTGAGCGAGGCTGGAACCACGATAGACTCTGGTGGAACATGAAAAGCAGGGTCTGCGATTCGCGTTGTCAGACGAACGACAACTTCCGCGTTCTGGTCGTGCTGCTCGCCCTCTTGTTGGGCTCCGACAGTGTTCGAAGTTACCTCCATATTTGTGGTGGTGGTTGTAGCTTCATAAAACCTACTTGTTGATGTTGATGATTATAACGAACCTAAGTCCTTGTAGATGTAGTTGTAGTTGCAATTATTTTTCTAGCTCATCCAACTCCAACACTAGAAAATAGAAGACATAGATATGCAGTTCGCGGGTCACTGTGGGTTGATCGAATCGAGTCAGGATTGAGCAGTTGGTACATGAGCATACCGAGCAAACAAGAAGCAGGTCCAGGTCGATCCGTGTTCGTGATCTGTCATTGATCATTCATCCGTCAGAACTGTTGATGTACCAAGAGCATCTAGTGATTCCCTAGTTTCCTGATCTCTTGCAGCGTCTCCTGCAGTTATTCTGTGAATCATTTAGAGGGATCATGTTGACTCTTTCTCTCTGCTGATCGTGGCTTAAGTACCCACAAATGATCTGTTGAAATTAATCTTACAAATGCATTCGAAAACGTGTTCGACGGATTGGTCGATGATATACTAGATCTTTTTTGAGTCAACATCATCATCAGCTTGACACGGGAATTGAAACAAACGTCCTCGTGCATGGAACAGGACAGGAGCAGGATCATCAAAAGTAAACGATGAGATGAACAAAAATTTTGTAGTTCTAGACCACCATGACATTCTGGTCTTTATATATTTGACTGTTTGACGAAAGTTGTTCCCAAAGCAGTACTATTTCGGAGCGTGGCACAACTGTGCTCTGTTGGCTCGTCGGGAGGTACATGTCTTCTACGCGATAGGGTCTAAGAGGAACGGCGAGCATCTGCGAATTCATCTAGTCCGCACTTGGTGCGTCTTTTACACCCGTTGATGAAGACTCTTTTCCTTTCTTTCCACCCTTGCCCCGTCCCCATCTGTTGGGACGGCCCGACCCTCGGCTCTTTGGTCTGAAAGTAGAAGCGTTCCCTGACGGATCGGGTTGCGTCTTGCTCGCTGTCTGGTCTTGCTTAGCTGCTTCGTCGTGACCATTATCTTCATTGTTTCCATCGTCGCTCGTCTTAGTGTGTTTCTTCCAACCCTTTTTGCCGCGACCTTTTCCCCTATTGTTATCCTGACTTTTGCCTCCTCCTTTGCCACGACGCTCTGCCGTTGGCGGCAACTGCTCGTCGGGGCCTGTCGGAAGGGCCACGCCACCAAGCTTGCGTTGGATGAAGCGCTTCAAGTCGCGCAAGACCTTCACTTGTGCAAGTTTCTGAGGCGACAGCAACTCCCAGTATATGCCCGTTGGCTGGGGCTTACCTTTCTGCTCCTTCGGTATGCGTATCACGCGCGTCGGCGTCACTATCACGTCTACGCACACATCATGTGCTAACAGCTTCTCGGAGGGAATATCTTTGTCCTCGACCACCTGGCAGTCGTGCACATGGGTCACCACTGGTGTGTTCTCGTCGATCTGTCCCATCATGCGGAGCACCCCATACTCAATCTCAGCGAAGCCTTCGCCTTTGCCAATGCGCGCACCTGTTCTGGGGTTCACTGCGACGCTGCCGATGACCACGAGGTCCACTTTCACGTCATCCATAGCGTCGAAGTCTAGAGGCTGCCCGACAGCCGCTGCTCCACCAGACGTCGACAAATACGCAAGATTCTGGTGCAAGGTGGATGAAGTGCCAGTGCTGTTGGAGGCTGGGAAATTAGAAGCGAACAGGAACATGCCTTGTTCTAGTGCTAGTGCTAGAGGTGATGAGACAGAGCATCCCGAAGCTCACTGGTGGTGACAAAATGAGTGCCCAGCAGACAGCTACATCCTACGTATTGACGTAATCTGTATAATGCTCCACGGACTAAGTATAATGCACCTGTGTATCTACTAAAAGTCAACATGGATTTTGATTTTCAAAGAGCAGCCCTTAAAGGAGTTGCCGTGGTGATACGCATTCACGACTTCATGGGTGATTTTGGAGAAAAATCCCTTTAAAAGACGGGGCTGCGGCACCATCAGCGTCTTCCCCTGCTTCATCGTCAAATAACGAATCTGCTTTTGCGGGGTATCCGGGTTGACCTTCACCACGCGCGCACGTTGAAACTCAGGTAGAGTGGCAAAATTCTTTTCTGCCGCAGCCTCCGCACCAACGAAATTGGGGATACGATGACGGACCGGACGCGGAAATCTGGCCAAATCTTCATGCTTCTCAAGATAGTCCCAGACGCGCTGCCGGACGGCCCATTTCCAATCACCGTCTTCCTTGGCGTTGGCATTATTTTCATCAGCTGGTGCGTCAGGGCAGTCATTCGTGTCTGCCTCCGACGTCATTTCGTTCGTTTTCTCTGGCGCAGGACTGGGACTGACAGGTGATGATAAAAAAAGGTCTCCTCTCTGCTGCTCGTCGTCCTGTCTTTTATTACCGACATTTTTCATTTTTGCATCGTCCTGACCCTGAGGGACCTTGTCCTTTTGCCACCTGCCTCTTCCTCTTGCCCTTCTCCTGCTTCTCGCGTCACCCGCTGCTTGTGCGTTAGACGGAAGTTCGGCTGAGATGTTCTTAAGAGGTTGCTCGTCTCTTCGTTCGCTGAATGAAGGCGCATGTGCGGAACTCTTGTTTGTTGTGGCAGTAGAGGCAGTGCGGGCACTAACATCATTGCTGCAACTGCAAAAATCAACTCGCTCACCCAGGTTTCGAGATGATGCCATCTCACGACCTGTAAAAGAGGAAGACGTGGTAAGATGAACCAAGGCATCAGCCAGTTCTCTCCCACTTCGAAATGCGGCACCAATGTTGTCACCCGCAAGCCAATCGCGGACAACTCCGAGATGAAAATCCGCATCGTAAAGATACGACCCCAGCCTTGGTGTGGTATTGCTTGAAGCAGGCAACCGATTCGCTGGCAGAGCGGCTCCCCACAGTTGAACGTGCTGAACTTCGAAGACAGTTTCTACGTCGTCTTTAATAGAAGCACTTCCGCTTTGGGCGCAAAAATCCAAAACTTTGGAGAAGGCGACGCATATTTCCTTCGAAACCAGAGCACGCACAGACGCGGGAATGTTTTCTTGTGCGCACTTGTGCTCATGCGCAAACTGCACTGTGGATAACAGTGTCCACATATCGCCACCTCTATTGACTAGACGAGAAGTTTCACCCTTCTTGATGTTCCCATCATGTTGGTACTTATTCCTGTTGTTCGTCGCTGACGAAAGCACAGGGTGGTTCTGGATCTGAAAGTACCACGGTGGCTCTTGTTGACCACCATTCGAAGCCGGGGAAGATCTCCACTCCACGTTTTGCTTTACCTTCACAATAACGGAATACTGGGACACTATGTCGAGCTTCGCCTTGCTCGTCACGTCGTCCAAGGTCTTTCCTGTGCCGCGTCCACTCTTGCTGAAGGCCTGTTTTTTTCCTTTGCTCTTACCGGTAGCTGTAAAGGTATCTTCACCTCCCACCTCTCGAGCGCCTCTGACAAATCGACAATTCAAGTACTTGGAGGCGATGAGAGAACTCTGCACCTCTTTAGCTGTTTCGATCAGGCGCGTGGCGCACTTGCCACAATGTGCCATGACTGAAATTAGAGGGAAGATTGCAGTTATTTTTCAATCTGCCAACCTAGAGTGTGAGAGTGAGGGGGTCCTCGAAAGACGAGAATACGCATGCGGAACCACTACGTGCTTCCTTGCTTATGCTTTTGCCACCTGCAGTTCCGATACTAAAGCTTACAATAGCATGGGCATCAGTGAAAGCAAGTGCATTATGTTAAGTAATGATGAAGAACTACCACAACTAGTGAAGCTAAGGTGACAGTAGTCTTAAGAGATGCGAATACGTTTCTGTACGCCATCCTTCAGTGTCCTTTATCATCCAGCGTTTCGTAGGTGTGTCCCAGAAAATTTCGGAAACCCATGTTTCTAAGCGCAGTTGAAACTCTTTACCATTCCTTTCTCCACACTTCTTCACAAGAAAGTCGACGAGGGAACCCACTCCTCGACTAGCGTTTGCAGGAACAAGGAGAGCACCACTTTTCCCTGGCGAAGTCGAACTTGACGAAGCGGCATTTTCGTTCACTTCGACCTCTTTCTTGACGTCGTTTATTTCATGCTTTGGTCGGATTTCGGTTTCTCCACCAATTTTTGTTTTCGTGAAAAAACTGGAGCGACTTTCTCCATCATCTCCATCTTGTTCGCTTATCCCTTTTTCTCTTTGGTATTCCAGAGTTGCGACTTCTTCATCCTGGACAATTCGTACGATGCCACTAGCAAGAAGCGGCTGCGCGTCCTCCTCAGCGAAGCCACGAAATATCTGACAAGCGTGATCGACAGTGACTGGTGAAGCGGAAGCCTTGTCTTTTAGGATTCGAGAACTGCATCGACCGCCGGCAGAACCCCTGCCCGTATCAAAAACCGTGCAACGTATTTGATTCGCACACAGGCCCTGAGCAAGCGCCAGACCAGAAACGCCGCCACCGATGATGGCAACGCTCACGTCCTTGCTCTCGGAATGAGGCTTGCTTTTGGGCGCCATTTTGTTTGTTGGAAGAATCTAATACCACGACATCGATGAATTAGCTAGACGACCAACCGCATTTATTGCTCATCAGACTAAATTAATAAGCGAACGTAATTATACTTAGACTTACCATATAAGAACGAAGCTTCATTCACATTAATCACCTTCATTTTCAAATATCCATGCGTATTCCGTCCCTGCCTTATCGAATACCAAATTGAAAGGTTTCTCGAGTCTGCGTCTCTTGCTAGTAAACGGGAAAGATACTACTTGTACTTAGTTAGATGCTCGCTTCGCTCGAGATGATTCTACATATGACCAGCCTTTAGTTACTGCGTGCTCTTGTAAGTCAATGATAGCTCAGCAGCAGCATGAACGTTAGATATATCTCTTGATCTTTGCATGAGACAGATTCGAATTATTTTTCGCGCAACAGAGGTGGACTTGTCGCAAAGTCGAGTTATGGAATGGGTGGCGTGCTGACGTGCTGCCGATTTTTCTACTTCCTTTCTTCTAGACTCCCTCTGATTGTGATTGGTTCACTCGGGGTACCCTATTATCATTTCGTATTCATTTTCTCATTTTCATTACTCCATACTCGTCTACACGCGCAACGTGTACCATTCTCTTGGGTTCAGCATTGATGCTCAAGAGCAATGATATGGCTACTTAAGTACTTTCGCTTAGTGGGATGAAAATATGCAGATGTTCATTGATTCTTTCTCCAGTGAAAAATTGTGAAAACTTAAATTAAAATTAGTTTGTTTCTGCTCTATAAATCAAAACTCTTCATCATCTACAACACACGACAAGTATTGTATTTTTACCAGTGATCGACAAGATAATTGAACTACAAATATCGCGGCACAAGCTTCATGCGGCTACACATGTATGTGACAACGTACCATAAAACATACAAGTATAGCCTAATGAACAAGGCGCGGGTTCACGACATCAAACTTGTTTGAACCAATCCGCAGATGCGGTAGAAAGCATACACCACATAGGCGCAAGGTCGGTCCAACAAGATGATAGTCACGTTTTCTATAACTAAAATTCGATGAGAGGAGAAAGACGAGGGATATTGAAACTTTCATGACTATGAAGATAGGATAGGATAAGAGTTGGTCCGCCCACAAAGAGGCGGCCATATTTTTTCTTCCAATGAGTTTTATTGCATATTCGTGCATAAACGACTCTAGATACAATCAAGCTGAGTGTGAGTATGTAGCATAGAATGAAACAAATAGTATCAACATAAACATTTATGAGTACAACTAGTTCTGGTAGTAATTCTTGCAGTACCCATTCACAGGGTAGTGAGTGCTTGTAGTGTATTTTCACATTGGTTCAAACCAACCATCGAAATGAGAGCACTCGTATCAAAGTTTCAAACTCAATCTATCAATCGTAGTATGCATTATCAATGCATATTATCAGTTACCGTCTATTCTAAATGAGAAACTCTTTAGGGTGAGTAATAAGCACACGTCACAACATCGATGACACATACGTCCGCGAAGCACGTGGAGTCCCCAACCCCATTTTTATGTACTTACTTAGTCTCTTGAATCAAGAAGCCATTACTCATCGACTTAAGTCAATTAGCCACTGAAAATAGGATAACTGCTCGGATATGATTTCAAATAAAAGTGAAAATATTCCTTACATTTTCTTGGCAGTTGATAACCTTCATCGTCCTCGTTCCCCGCGCCATCCTATGGCATGTAGTTAGTGCTGCAGTCATCGACTAAGAAACGCTATTACATATGTTCCACACCTATAATTTGATAGCTCGAGCTCACCATGATCAGCATCATGTTCTCAAATACATAGCTACACTTGCTCCTCTCAAGTGATTGCTTAAGGAATACTCTTGGGCATCACATTTTGGCCCGGTGCATCCAGCGGCGGGGAAGCTTTTAAAGACTTTGACCCGAAAGTCGCGTACTTCGTGTTTCCAATCATGGCAGGGAAAGTTAGAGCTACTATCGATAGTTCATCTTTCTCCTGCTTCCTTGAAGAGTAATATCAGGAAGAAGATACAACGCGGCGGGCACACATCTCAAGGATGCAAGCAAAGCTAAACATGTAGACCTTTGAATTTTAAGAAATAATATAGCGAGATTACAAAGGTACAGATAAGCACACATATAGATACTTTGCTGCCAGCCTAGGATGCAAGCAAAGATAAATTAAGTGGTATCTATAGCCTTAAGAAAGCTTTCACCCCCGCTGTCCCGAGAATAAGTTCATAGGCCTTCGCCACGCGCTCTCCCTCCGGTGCCGCACAACAGAATCCGCAGAGAAATTGTATGAACGGGCTACGACCACATTCAATGGAGGGTTATCACTCTCGTCATGACTCATCATGAGATCATAGAACTACTAGAGTAGAGACATGATCAGGACATACAATCTGTAGAACGTATTCTGAACTACATTTTATGACTGTGTAAGAACTCCTTTTCGTTCTTGTACTATCGTTTGGATGAATGGAGTAAGACTAGGGAAAATGGCCCGGCTACTTTCTTTCGTCTTACTAGTCCGTTCTTGAACAATGGTACTATCATCTATATTAGTCCAGCTAAAGCCTGTTCCTGTAACTAAAAGGTCCAATACTACTAGGAATGCATGCGATACTTACAGGGTTCTTTAGTAGCATTACAATGGTCAGATTACGATTAGGTAGATTCACTTCTAAATGTTCTCTTAAGCTGGAACTTCGGAGGAGAATTGGAGTAAAAATAAACTCCATCTAACTCACTCTGAGTTATCGGGGAAGTGACACAAAGGGAACGAAGTATTATTGTGATTAAGGCCAGCCAAATACTACAACAATACGCAGTGGATGATGGATGGATCTAATAGTTTATAGAGAGGAAAGGAGACGACGCAAACTAACAGGAGCCATAAAGCAGCCAGCTGGATTGCAACCAGCGGCGGCACAAGTACAAGGGCAGCACGGGAAGCCGCAGGAGTTGATAAGCGTCTTATCTGGCTGAGGCAGGTTGTTCCAAATCATATATGAACCGTTTCCGTTATTAAAGGTCGAAAGTGATTGGTCACTGATTCCACTCTGAAGGGGGACAAGAGAGACTCCCACCTTCACAGCTCTCACCTTGTTTTCCCTTGTTTCCTCAAGGTGCCGCTTCCTTGATGTCAGAGACGACTCTCAGTGACCAACGAAGTCTGAGCCTTAACGTTACCAATCTTGATTGTCATCGGATTTGAGCCGACATTCAGCGACCCCTTGAAAGGCTTGTGCGGATTGTAATGCCTCTTGCGGCCTTGTACCATTGCGAGAATGTTCTGGTCTATGAAGCAAGGACTTTTTACATCATCTAAATTCTCAAAATACGGACTTTTGCATCTATCTTGCGTCTGTTACGTAGAAACTAAAGAGTCTTCCTTGTGGTATCTGCCAGATATTTTCAACTCAATTGGAATTTCTACTCTAAGGAAACTCAAAAATGCGGTTACAAAGTAAGTAGATGATAGAGAGAGCGAGTAGAGAGATAGGATACGGACTGCAATCTGTCTGTGTATCTGTCTACTTATTAAAAGAGGCAGCCACGTCGACGTCATGCGCCTGCCCCTGTTATAATCCGGATCCTACTTGATTGAAGTTCTGCCTACTTACTCCAGCTTCTAAGCAGCGTATAACCAAGTCCAATAATATCACACCGGTTCAGCCATACTTGAAATAGTCTTCGCTTGTTCACGCAGGACTGGCGCAACGAATCCTTCCCGACCACTGTTGGCGCCGAGCACAAAAATTGAGGCATCGGCCTCAGCTTGAAGGAATTCGTTCGTCTTCACGTATCCCGGCGCTTTCTCATCGCAAGATTAGAAATATCATCGTCGCAAGAGTTCAATACAACCGATGCTGCTCGTCATAGTGTTATGTGTCCCACCTGTGTTTTTGACATGACCTAGAAAAAAATTTAGACCCCACTTTATTACACTATATTCCCCTTAGGTTCGACATCGAAGTAGGTATAATATCATATAAGTAATATCGAGGATTGAGCTTGGAAGTAGGGAAGATACTCTTTCATTCCGAACTCTATAATTGACGTCTTCAAGGCCTTAAAGCAAAAACTCAGGTAGGAATCCGGTGTTCGGGCCCTGCCCAAAGCTTGGGAGGAATACGTCAAAACCGTCGTCGCAGATTCCCGGAATAATGCCTTGTCCCAGAACAGGAACCAAGCCGGTGCGATTAGAAGCAACAGAAATTTACCCAAGCAGCATAACAAAAGGACACAAATTAAAGATGTTGATACTTCTAAACAAAGTTGTTGGCTGGTGCACCAACAAGTAGTAGTAAACTATTATGTAATTATAAAACCATTGGACATAATATGATCTAAAAAACACAGATAGGGGTACTATTAACCCTTTTGTTCATGAAGTCGTGGTGTACGTCAACAAGAAGTAGTATCCGAAAGTTCATCTACTTCATCTACTAGCAGATCCGACTGATCGTCCTTCCTGTACTTCATTGAACTTCTAAGTAAAGAACCACAACGAAGAAAATCAGCAAAACCACAAGGAAGAAAAAGTCATCAATTTTATCCAATGATCATTCTGAGAGTGTACGAATTAGGGAGTGAAGCACCAGAGGCATCCAAATATTCTTTATCATTGTATATAATAGTACAACTAAGGATAGTAGTACTTCTCATTTTATGTTGATTCATAATACGTAGCGCCGCGCTGTCTACATCGCTGGACTGCTCCATACCAACACCAACAACAACTTCCTCTTTTTGCCCTTCGAGAATGCGCAGGGTCTCTACCTGAAGAACGGAGTTTTTTCTTTCCGTCCAAAATTCAATGATCTAAGAAAAAGAATAATTCAATCTTCATTTTCGAATGAGTTACAAGTACAATTTGTATAATAAACATTTAATGTATCAAGTTGTATCAGAGATCGTCGTGATATTACCTTGCCAGTAAGAATCTGAACGTTTTTGGCTTCCAGAATCGTGCGAACTTTATTTTCTTGTTTCGGCCCACAAGCACAGCACGGAGAACGCTTCCGTCTCGCGAGATCATCTGGACGCGCGCAGAGGGATTCGCGAGTTTGATATCCGCAGCCAACTCGATAGCAATGGATCCGGCTCCATTGATCACAACGCGGACACCTGTAGCTGATCGATGTAGTGGTTATATTGAACTACAGGATCCGAATTCAATGGTATCGGAGCAACATCATTTAGATCTGCTTCATCTGTGATCACGACTTCGCGGAATCTTTTTATAACGTATGATGATTTGAATCTATTCGGCGAGCTGCCTAAGATTTCCGTATATTTTTATAACGTATAACTATAACTAAAGCTACACATCATTATAAATATATAAGCACCTTGTTCGTTTAGCTTGCGGCCCCAGCGCTGGATTTCCATTTTCCGCGCCACAAGAGACATGCCGACTCTTGGTGCAAGTAGGGGAAGGTTGTACCCGGTGGCAACCACCAGAATACTGTACTTGTACTGCTCTCCATTAGCACACATAACGATTTTCTCTTTGCTATTCACACCCGTGGCCGGGCTGTACACGTATCGTTTCACTTGCTCTTTGGGGTATTCGAAGGCGGTGGGGTCTTCGGAGAGAAATTTAGCATGAGTATCAGGGTTGGCAAGAAAGTAAGTCGCCGCCATACTCCACTCTAAAAATGCGCACCCCTGAATGACTGTGATACTCACGTCCTTCTCTGGACGCAAATTGGACTTGGATGCCAGATCCAAAAGGGCCGCTGCGGAGATGTTCCCACCGATGATAACGATGTCCACCGGCGCCGTTGTCATTTTGTGTCCTGGAGGTGTCAGTCTCGTTTAGATTCTTGATACAACGTAGATAGATAGATAGATAGCTACATAAATGGATAGATAGCTAGATAGACAGAGAGAACCCACCAACCACACCAAGACAGTGGCAGGGAGGACAAAAATCAACGTTTCAATTATTCCAAGAGGCTATCGTCCTCGTCTTTCCTAATGTGTACCTATATCAACAATAATGGCGATCGATGGTCGTGATGATGATCTCGATTTTTCGCGTTGCTTGATGAGTGTGATTCTGATTGCTCAAGATATTGAAGGGAAATTGTTACGCACGAGGATCAAGGTCCAACCAAATCGCTCGGGGCTCCGCATTCCCTGAATTGAATCGCTTGGCTCTTCCTTCTTGGTCTGTTGGTTCTCCGCTTGCGTTCGTCTTTCTCCTTCTGACTGTTCTCGTTGAATGATATGCCGGCAACAGGCTCAAGGCTATGAGTCTAATCGTGTAAAGATCATAGCGACCGGGATCCTTATGCACTTAAACCGAAACCCCTCAAGATGATGACGATGATGATGCATGATGGATGGTCTTTCGTTAGCGCACCACCATAAGCATACGAACAGCATGGAAATCCATGCTGCTTAGGTTGTGGATGTTACTCGGTAACACCACCACCACAACAACAGGGACAAGCCTGCCAGGGGCGTAATATCTGGAAGGCTGTAGGCCCTTACATTAATCCACAACCTTGAGCCAAAATGGCTACGGTCATGTCCAGCATCGCTTTTCAATGTTGCTCCCTCAAAACAAATCCTTCATGACGAAACAGAAAAAGTGAAGGTGAAGCTACCACGCGCTTGGTCCCCTCTCGTTTCTCATCACCTAGCAGAAAACAAATATTGACTAACACAATCTAGAAAACCACAACTAGCATAAATTTCACTCGTCTTGAAGGTTCAAGGTTGAGGGTCCGGTGGCTCGCGGCCAGGCTGCGGTGGCAGCCAGGGACGACTTGGGTTCGAGTAGAACCACGGTTACCGTTTGGACCGGCATGAGTAATGCCACACGTTGCCTAATTTCACTCGTCTTCATCTCCGACTACTACTGTGAACACAACATCACGAGACTCATCTACATAAGATTGGATTTGGGTTCGCAGATTTCAGAAAAAATTTCTTTTTTTTTTTGTTTTTTGTATCCTGGGGCTACCGTGTTTCTGGCCACCAGATGGGTCGCATTGCGTTTCACAAACGACAGACCAGAGTAGAAATATACAAAAATTCATTCACTCAAAAATAACAGCAACATTAAAAAAGGAAGAGCAACTTTACAGCCAGCTACTAGATGCTTCGGACGGCCAACGCTAAGTAGCTACCACTGACTAACCGTTGTACTCTTTGATTAGGCCAGTACTAGTAGAAGACGAGCGAGCGCGGAGCGCCACGCTCGAAGTACATTAAGTAGACCAGACGAAAGCTAAAGCTTAAAAACCGATAACCCAACCGGGCGGAAGCTCAAGAAACAGAAAGACTAAGCAAGGACGGGCTCCCTTCCAGAAAGTCGGTGTCGTGTCGGTGTGGTCAAAGCCAAATCATGTATGGCGATATGTCTCCTCAACTAGCCTTTTTCTAGTTTAGTAGTAATAGTTTTTCCGACACTTCATCTTCGGCTTCTCCTCAACAATTATAGGGTCTACAACTAGTACTCCTAGTAACAGCAGCGCCATTCTCTCGACACTCCCTCGCCTTTTCTGATCGCGTCATTAGCATTGCCATTTAACTTCGGATAATTCTCATTAGAAACATGTTGCAGCCACGTGAATCCCGAAGGCAGCAACTTCGCGGAAACTTTCCAGAAACTTCGCCACTTTTGTGACTTTTCGGAAGTTTGTGAGAAGATTCGGGGAAGTTTCTGAAAAGATTCCGAGGCCATTGCTAGCGAGAAGATGGGAAAGATTCCGGGGAGATTCTGGGAAGATTCCGGGAAGTTTCTCCCTTCTTAGTATTCACGTGGATCCAGGTACATAATCTCAGGAGGAGCACTAATATAACACGGCGATGTTAGAAGTGATGAGACGGAGCATCCTGAAGGTCACTGGTGAAAAAATCAGTGACCAGCAGACAGCTACTTCCTACGTATTGACGTAATCTGTATACTCCACGGACTAAGTGTAACTATAATGCACCTGTGTATCTAGCCAACATTGATTTTGATTTTCAAAGAGCAGCCCTTAAAGGAGTTGTCTTGGTGATACGCGTTCACGGCTTCATGGGTGATTTTGGAGAAAAATCCCTTTAAAAGACGGGGCTGCGGCACCATCAGCGTCTTCCCCTGCTTCATCGTCGAAAAACGAATCTGCTTTTGCGGGGTATCCGGGTTGACCTTCACCACGCGCGCACGTTGAAACTCAGGTAGAGTGGCAAAATTCTTTTCTGCCGCAGCCTCCGCACCAACGAAATTGGGGATACGATGACGGACCGGACGCGGAAATCTGGCCAAATCTTCATGCTTCTCAAGATAGTCCCAGACGCGCTGCCGGACGGCCCATTTCCAATCACCGTCTTCCTTGGCGTTGGCATTATTTTCATCAGCTGGTGCGTCAGGGCAGTCATTCGTGTCTGCCTCCGACGTCATTTCGTTCGTTTTCTCTGGCGCAGGACTGGGACTGACAGGTGATGATAAAAAAAGGTCTCCTCTCTGCTGCTCGTCGTCCTGTCTTTTATTACCGACATTTTTCATTTTTGCATCGTCCTGACCCTGAGGGACCTTGTCCTTTTGCCACCTGCCTCTTCCTCTTGCCCTTCTCCTGCTTCTCGCGTCACCCGCTGCTTGTGCGTTAGACGGAAGTTCGGCTGAGATGTTCTTAAGAGGTTGCTCGTCTCTTCGTTCGCTGAATGAAGGCGCATGTGCGGAACTCTTGTTTGTTGTGGCAGTAGAGGCAGTGCGGGCACTAACATCATTGCTGCAACTGCAAAAATCAACTCGCTCACCCAGGTTTCGAGATGATGCCATCTCACGACCTGTAAAAGAGGAAGACGTGGTAAGATGAACCAAGGCATCAGCCAGTTCTCTCCCACTTCGAAATGCGGCACCAATGTTGTCACCCGCAAGCCAATCGCGGACAACTCCGAGATGAAAATCCGCATCGTAAAGATACGACCCCAGCCTTGGTGTGGTATTGCTTGAAGCAGGCAACCGATTCGCTGGCAGAGCGGCTCCCCACAGTTGAACGTGCTGAACTTCGAAGACAGTTTCTACGTCGTCTTTAATAGAAGCACTTCCGCTTTGGGCGCAAAAATCCAAAACTTTGGAGAAGGCGACGCATATTTCCTTCGAAACCAGAGCACGCACAGACGCGGGAATGTTTTCTTGTGCGCACTTGTGCTCATGCGCAAACTGCACTGTGGATAACAGTGTCCACATATCGCCACCTCTATTGACTAGACGAGAAGTTTCACCCTTCTTGATGTTCCCATCATGTTGGTACTTATTCCTGTTGTTCGTCGCTGACGAAAGCACAGGGTGGTTCTGGATCTGAAAGTACCACGGTGGCTCTTGTTGACCACCATTCGAAGCCGGGGAAGATCTCCACTCCACGTTTTGCTTTACCTTCACAATAACGGAATACTGGGACACTATGTCGAGCTTCGCCTTGCTCGTCACGTCGTCCAAGGTCTTTCCTGTGCCGCGTCCACTCTTGCTGAAGGCCTGTTTTTTTCCTTTGCTCTTACCGGTAGCTGTAAAGGTATCTTCACCTCCCACCTCTCGAGCGCCTCTGACAAATCGACAATTCAAGTACTTGGAGGCGATGAGAGAACTCTGCACCTCTTTAGCTGTTTCGATCAGGCGCGTGGCGCACTTGCCACAATGTGCCATGACTGAAATTAGAGGGAAGATTGCAGTTATTTTTCAATCTGCCAACCTAGAGTGTGAGAGTGAGGGGGTCCTCGAAAGACGAGAATACGCATGCGGAACCACTACGTGCTTCCTTGCTTATGCTTTTGCCACCTGCAGTTCCGATACTAAAGCTTACAATAGCATGGGCATCAGTGAAAGCAAGTGCATTATGTTAAGTAATGATGAAGAACTACCACAACTAGTGAAGCTAAGGTGACAGTAGTCTTAAGAGATGCGAATACGTTTCTGTACGCCATCCTTCAGTGTCCTTTATCATCCAGCGTTTCGTAGGTGTGTCCCAGAAAATTTCGGAAACCCATGTTTCTAAGCGCAGTTGAAACTCTTTACCATTCCTTTCTCCACACTTCTTCACAAGAAAGTCGACGAGGGAACCCACTCCTCGACTAGCGTTTGCAGGAACAAGGAGAGCACCACTTTTCCCTGGCGAAGTCGAACTTGACGAAGCGGCATTTTCGTTCACTTCGACCTCTTTCTTGACGTCGTTTATTTCATGCTTTGGTCGGATTTCGGTTTCTCCACCAATTTTTGTTTTCGTGAAAAAACTGGAGCGACTTTCTCCATCATCTCCATCTTGTTCGCTTATCCCTTTTTCTCTTTGGTATTCCAGAGTTGCGACTTCTTCATCCTGGACAATTCGTACGATGCCACTAGCAAGAAGCGGCTGCGCGTCCTCCTCAGCGAAGCCACGAAATATCTGACAAGCGTGATCGACAGTGACTGGTGAAGCGGAAGCCTTGTCTTTTAGGATTCGAGAACTGCATCGACCGCCGGCGGAACCCCTGCCCGTATCAAAAACCGTGCAACGTATTTGATTCGCACACAGGCCCTGAGCAAGCGCCAGACCAGAAACGCCGCCACCGATGATGGCAACGCTCACGTCCTTGCTCTCGGAATGAGGCTTGCATTTGGGCGTCATTTTGTTTGTTGGAAGAATCTAATACCACGACATCGATGAATTAGCTAGACGACCAACCGCATGTATTGCTCAGGCTCATCAGACTAAATTAATAAGCGAACGTAATTATTTGAACGAAGCTTCATTCACATTAATCACCTTCATTTTCAAATTTCCATGCGTATTCCGTCCCTACCTTATCGAATACCAAATTGAAAGGTTAACGTTTCTCGAATCTGCGTCTCTTGCTAGTAAACGGGAAAGATACTACTTAGTTAGATGCTCGCTTCGCAACCAGCCTTTAGTTACTGCGTGCTCTTGTAAGTCAATGATAGCTCGGCAGCAGCGTGAACGTTAGAGATCCCTCTTGATCTTTGCATGAGCATGAGTATGAGACAGATTCGAAATATTTTTCGCGCAACAGAGGTGGAATGGTTGCAAAGTAGAGTTATGGAATGGGTGGCGTGCTGACGTGCTGGCGCTAGTGCTAGTGCTGGCGCTAGTGCTAGTGCTAGTAGTGCTTTGTGAGATAAAATATCCGAAGATGGTAAACGATCAGTGGGGCTTCGCTTGGACGCACCGAGATGAACATAACACACACACAACAGATGGCTTTCACAGTCTACTTCTTACGCCGCGCGCTCCTTTGTCCTCGACGTCGACCGCCGCTTAATCTGTTAGGAGCCAGTAGTTGTAGATAGAGATACAGGTAGCAGAATTAGGACAACTATGAGTTACCAATCGTAACTATCAACAGTTGTTGTATCAGGTAGTTGTGGAGGAGATAGCGCCGGGGGCCGCAAAAGTCGGCCAGTGACTGCACGCAAAATTAGACCAAAAACATTCTGATTTGTTCTTCTAGTGAGATTTGTGATGCCTAATGATGTGGCTCCGAAAGCAACAGAAAAGCAGAGGACTTTCAGGCCAAGGACTTTGAGCGAGGAACTTTGTAGTTGCACAAAGTCAAAGGACCCGTTTTCATCAATTAGACTACTCGCACCATTCTGTAGCTCCCGAGACCCTTCTCCAATGATAGGTGCAACTTTCCATTGGTCTACATTGGCACGAACACGCTCGAGCGGACAACTCTCACCATTCCCATGATCAATAAGGCTTGGCGACTGGCCACCCCTGAAGAACCATTTCGAGTTCTTGCCGCCGACCAAAGAGGGTGGGACAAACTCGCGACACTGCACACCAGCCAGTTGAAAAAGTCGTCGGGCCGCGCGTGCTGAGTCCGTCGCAGCATGCTTGTCCGAGAGATAGATGACCTCCTCGATTCCTGCTTGTATAACCAATTTAGCGCAGTCATGACAAGGAAACAACGAACTGTAAATCCGGTTTCTAAATAAGGTCGATGCTGTAGCAGACGTAGAACTAGAAACTCCCACCTGACCACCTCCGGCTGGCGATCGTCGCTGAATCGGCACGGTTTTGTTAAGGATAGCGTTAGCTTCGGCGTGCATCACATACGGATACTTCGTGTCACTGCGAAGAGGAGCTTCGCGCGCCCAAGGAAAGGCTGAGTCGTTGTTGCTGTGACGATGCCACGAAGATCGAAAATGATCCACACGTTGCTCCCAGAGACGTGACAGCTGGCGCACTGAACTGCTCAGGCGCCTGAAAAGGTATTGTTGAACTGACAGTGATGGTGCAGAAGATGTCTCCGAGCCGTCTGGTTTCTCGTCTTGCTCCACGCCGTCGATTTCATCTTGATCATTGGCGGCTGTGGTAGCCTTCGAGCTGGTGGCAGTCGTTGACTTAGATGCAGAAGAAGGTGCTTCGAATGCATTCATCAAGGACTTGTCCTTGCTTGGCTTAGAAGACGATGATGATATTGTAGTAGTGGTCTCTACTACTGCTGGTGTCGAAGCTGGAAAACAAGCCGCGCTATTGTGCGTTCCACCTTTAGCCTCCACTACAGGTGAACACAATATGTTTTCAGAATCATCAAGCAAGCCGAAATTGCAAAAACTGCTCCACGAAGTGTATTTCCACTCTTCGAGAAGATCGGAGCACATGCGTGAGCAGATGCTGAGAGCCTCCGGCTGTGGCACTCGCGGGAAGCCATTGTAGCCGATTCCGATGATGCGGTTGTCCGAGTTCACGATGCAAGCGCCGACTTGCGTACTAGGATCCTTGGCCCGATCAGCAGAGAGCATGGCTGTGTACATGAAGTATTCATCCCACGAGAGCCAGCTGCCAGACTGGTCCGGTCGTGGAGGAGCATCCCGACCACACGGACCTGTCGCTCCTTCATCCATTTTGATATTCAGTGACTATCCTCGCCCGTGGAGGAAGAAAGTGAAAATTGTAGTGAGTTACATGCAAAGCGAAGCACTGCTTTTCGAATTTCGAAAGCAGCTTTTCGGTACTACATTCTAGAAGCGACTGCGTTAGAGTTACCCGCGCGACAAGTTTCTATGTATTACACGCGAGAAATGAAACACGAGCAGCTCAGCTGCTGCAGCAGCTGGCTTCTGTAGTATCAGTTATCTTTTGCGATGCAGATGCAGAATGCATCGCGGTACATGGTCATAAATCTAAGAAAGTACTAAAAAAAGTAAAAGGCATCTCTGAACATCACTGATCCGTCCTTCTGTTCTTAGCACCTGGTGACACTGTGACGACACTCACATTGACATTCAAGGACTTCGACTTTTTTCCCATTATAATCCACAAAAAGATGCACCATCTCGAAACACCACGATAATACTAGTAGTAGGTGGAGATTGCGTCGATTCTCATTGTGCTAGAAGCCATCCACAAGAACGGCAAGGAAAGAACAATCCAGTAACAGTGTCTGACACACACCCAAAGAGTGTTTATGATTCATCAGTTGGCGGGCCAGATATTAACATGCCCTGAGCAAAAACTCCAAAATGCGCGGATTTCTATACCTATACATTTCACCCATGTCGTAGAATCTTTCTTTTCAACTATGCATGACCAAAAGCATATCCCTCGATGTCCTAGTGCTAGTGGGGTGACCACGGTTTAAAGGCCTCCGTGCGCAGCCACCTCCGCGGCAGCAGTTTGATTCTCAATGTAGGTTTTGTAAATCAACTCCGGGTCTGTCAAGTTTTCCTCTTTCGCAGTTTTCAGAAGTGCGGACATCTGACGGGGATTCCATCGTCTTCCTCCTCCTTGTTCTCCCAACCAGACTTCCACGCGTTTCTGCAGTAGCCTATCACTATCAGGTGCTTGAACTTGATGTTCCTCTGGTCCGCTTTTTCCTTTTTTAGTTTCGATCAGCGGCTGACCCTGACGTGGACGCAGCTGCAGCCAAACTCGAGGGTCCGGAGCGCTTTCGAGTAGGGGCATCCTTGGCGACGCGAGACAGCACGACTGGGAGCGCACATTTGCGGAGCCAAACGTGCGCACTCCGGTCGTGCGCGGTAACTGCATCCCGCCGCGTCCGAGACTTGGTCTTGATGGAGGAGGAGGTCCATGCCCACATGCGACGATTTTCCTAGGAATATGTTGAGTTGGAACAACTCCTGTACTAGGGGCGCTTGTTTTCCGGTGTGAGGGTACTATATGTTGTTGTTCCAATTGTTGACATCCCTGCCCTCCGGTTGTCAGAGCAGCCGATGGCGAACCAGCACTTTTTTCGACGACAACATTGCTGCCTCCGGAGTTATGTGAGCTTTTTGAAACTCCTGCCGTCGCAGCAGGACGATAGCCTCTTAGAGTACTAGAAGTGCGACCTCGTGGGAGCACGTTGGAGGTAAAAGATGCGGAGCCAGGTGTCAACAAAATAAACCTGCCGCTGCCGCTGTTTGAGGAAGCTGATGCAGCTTGCCATCTTTCTTCTTGCTGCTTTGAATTTGCCGTTTTATCGACGGTAATCGTCCCAGGAGGTGATGATGCGAAAGTTGCGCTGCCGATATTGCTATCTGGAGATATTAACGTTGTTCTTGACGAAGTTGCATGCTGGCCAATCCCGACAGCATTGCAACAGGGAGATAACGCCCGCAGTGCGGCTGTCTGTCTAGCAACAGGCGACATCAGCGTCCGGCGCGGTGGTGGTGCAGAAGTTTTGCTCAAAGCACTTGAGGTCGTGCCCACCGAATAACGAGCCGAGCCAAGAGCAACGGTGCTCTGACGAAAGTCGTTATTTCCTGCGAATGTGGCTCGTCGTGGAGCAGGTCGGAAACTGACAGGCAGCCGCGGCGCCGCGCGTCCTTGTTGTCGTACTAATTGAGAAGTTCTAGTTGTAGCTCCTCCACCACTCGACGTTGACGGTGCCGATACGACCAGCGCAACTTTTTCACGGATGAGGCGTTGTTGTTCAGAAACCACTTGTTGCTGCGTTAGGCTACCTCCTTGTTGGCCCGTGAGGACGGCGCGCATTTTTCGGTCCAATTCTACGAGCTTGCGATTCAATTTCGCCACGAGCATTGGCATTGTCGCTTCTAGTTCCGGATGATGAAGCTGCACAACGTCGTGCTGTTCGTGGTCACCATCATCAGTCGCCATAGTACGACGCAATTGTTCTTCTTGTGCGAGATTATGATTCCCTTCAATCCACTGATTCACACGCCCTAGCAGAGTATCGAGCTTTGCCAAGATTCGCAACAAGGTTGAGCGATCCTGGATATGCTTAGAAGTATCAGTACTGTCACTAAGTGGAAGTGCATTTTTGTGATCTACCACGCCACTCGCCACGCTTCCAGGAGAGTGAGCGCTCATCTTCATCATGTGTTGTTGCATACCCGAAGCAATGAGTCTACGAGAAGCGTTTGCCGAAGGGTGAGGCTCCCTTGCGCGTTCTGCCAATCTCGAAACATCCTCGGTAGCTGGAGAGGAACAAGCAGGAGAAAAGACGGTCGCGCCTGCTGCTCGATCATTCTCAGGTGCGGGCCGACCAGCACTTCCAGACGAAGCAAGTGCAACATGAGCAAGACCATGAGCGGGATGCAGGTGCTCCTCTTTTGCTCTACTTCTCCGGTGCCCTTTAGCATTGTCGGGATCAAATGGCGTGAATACAGCTGGAACGGCGGCGGCGCCTCGTAACAAAGCTGTTGACCTGACAGGAGCTGCAGCAGGAAGAGGATGGTTTTGACTTACAACTGTGACTGTAGACGAAGACGACGATCCGCATTCTACACTACTGCTTCTGACAGAGCCGTACGGTTCATGTTGGAACGATATTGAATGCTGGAGGTTCAATAGAGGACGAGCCGGTGAAGGCCCAGCAACCCCCAACATATTCTGCCGCACTGTACTCGACGCTCTGCTTGAACTGCTAGTGCCGCCAGTTGCTGGCCCATGGGATACTAGGGAAGCTGGTGTAGTGCTAGCATCTTCTCCTTCTTGTCTACCAGCGAACGTCTTCTGGAGTCTTGTCGAATGTTCTTTGTACGTTCACCACACCATCATGATCTTGCAGTCGACGATGCAGCAAGGGATTCGACCCTCTCATAAGCCGCCTGAAAACGAGCGAGGACTTTAACATGGCTGCGCTAACATTGTTCTCGTTGCTGCTCACATACACAAACACATGGATCTTCGAAGGTAATGCTTTTTCATTTATGGTCCTTGGGAATGGGACTTCGACTTGGTATAAGTCGCCCTAACTAGTACTTAGTCGTGACTTCTTGCTCCCGCCCACAGCTATGCCAGTATTCTGAGACACGTTAGGTCTTCAAACATTTGCTTTGGCATCTTTTCCCATTGCTTGCTTTTGGTTTTCTCGAAAATATGACAACTATTCATCAGTATGTTCTACTACTAAGACTCTCTTGAGTATCCCTCCATGTACTAGTTATCAAGTACGTTTTGATATCTTTTTCTTTGTTCGGACATATTAAGCGACAAAAAACACGAATCCAGGTGAGCGATCTACGATATGGTCTGCGTCTGCGCCATAGTCGTCAGATGTGCCAAAAGGAGCAAGTAAAAAGACGACAGTTGAGCTCTAGCTTGCTAAAAGAAGCTACTCAACAAGACGGAAGACCGTCTGATATTCATTAGATTTTCTAGTCCATCAAACAAAAGAAGAACATTTTCTCAGAGTCATTTTTTAGCAAATTTGTGAGATGTGTAAATACTTAGATACTGATGTTGAACTTGTTGAATGGATATGGATAGAAGTGAATGGTAAAAAATGTTGACGATTCGAGAGGATGTCGAGTCTGTGTTCTTGCCCACGAGGTTGGAAAGAACTGCGCTGTTTGTCAAGTCACAAAAGCGGCGTCGCCCCGATGACCCGTTTTCTCCGTCGGGAATACCTCGCAACGTGACCTGCCTGTCGGTGTGATAATTCCGGTAGCATATTTTCAAACTCGCCATCCTCTGACTCTGAAGTCGCGTTTAGGTGAGCCTCCTCTGAAAAAAATCGCTCCTGCACTGTCGGCACGTGGAAATACTTCAGCACGTTTTTGTTCAGCGTTCTCGCAACAAGATTTAGAAATATGGCAACGGTTGATAGTCATTCCGCTTCATCTGCCATTCTATTTCTATCTTCTTCTGTGAATTTTCTATGATCTCTATTTAGTCAGCTTTAGCGGACTGTGCTGGGGTCTAGCTATTTACAATACGAATACAACATGGTCGTAAGATTCTCGGTGCGCAGCACAGCGAGGACATGTAGAAGAGCTCCAGCCAATTGCTGCCGCTAAAGGCATGCGAATAGAAGTCTTGCTCCCACCAAATTGTCGCATCTATCGGCTTGTAGCACAGCGGTCGTAGTGGATCATTTGGAGAGCCCAAACAACAATTTTCGAAGGTTCTGTTCACAGCTTCTCCGACCCAATTACTTTGGCCAAAATCTCGCCGTTGCCAGCAATGGGCTGGATGGATTTGAAACTTCGGATCTAACTGCTGAGCCGTGATGGCTATATGTCCCGGCGAGCCTGGGCTTTTCTGGATCGCAACTACGTTCGAGGATGCAGTCGTGCCTGTCGTAGTTGCTGTTGCTCACAACATTATGTGTCATAAGTGAGAAGAATCTAGTGGTCATACTCACACACTCCGTTACAGGCGACAAGAAGTCGGTGAACGTGATCGTGAAGGTGAAATGCATCTTCATCTATGTAAAACATATAAACTCAACAAGAAGAGAAAGAAGTTGTACTAACAGTTCTTTTTTAGTACCAATGACTAAGGCTAGGAGTTACGTTACCTTCTTTCGAACAAGTAGTACCTTGGGCAATCAGGATGACCTTTGTGAATCGCTGATCGAACTTTCCGCGAAAATGAGAGGCTTGCTCCACCAAGTGGCCATCGAGATCCTCTATCAAGTAGAGGCCATTGCGTCTTGAGAGATAAGGCCAGAGAAAGCTCATAGAAGCGTCGTTAGCTAGAGGGGTGTGGAGACCATCGTCAATAATGACATCCCACTGCACTAACTCCCCACGCTCAAAGCGCGTCTGATAGCTGCGCGCGGCCTCGCAATCCTTTAAATGAATAAGGGGGCTCTGTACTAGAAGTACAACTAGTCCCATGGGTCAGCCTCGTTCACGTCCAGAAAGGATATTTCAAGCATGTATAATACCATGCTTGAAAATCAAGAAGTGCCAGTGCGTAGTCCTAAAGCGATCATCAAAAATAAAAAGAACAGCGCCATTGTTCAATACCAAACGAAAAATATCAGCTTCAGTTGTTCTGAACACGGCTGATTATCAAGACCATACGACTTCTTCCACCATGCGGTTGCTAGGGCCTTCGTCTCGGCGTCACTGCGAGTCCGTGGGGCGGTAGCATCGCTTTCGATAACCTCGCCTTTCACCTGCTCATATGATATCTGGCGAATTTCCGTCCCTAATCTCTGACGCATTTCTAGGTTAGAAGGTGAGGGCTGTCGTCGACAAATAATTCCATCCGTCCGATGGTATGCGCAAATTAAAAGCCTGCCAAGATAGATTTAGATACAGAGAGATAGGCCTCTTTCACATACATGTGCCATCTTATGTAAGCCTCAAACGACGGCCCTCTTTCTTCCATCGGCTTTTCACTTTCGGGGTCATTATGTCGCATGAGGGGACTATCTAAATTGTCCTGGAATCAACGAGGCTCGTGAGGGTAGCCTCGACAAAAATTATCCAGATTTGGAAAAGAACCTACGGAACACTACATGGCCAACCTTAACTAGCACTTGTTTTGCGCTTCGTGCGGCCGCCGCATTCCGTGCGGAGCTTTCAGACGGCGCTCTTGTGCATTCTCCCTCGATATCGGTCCAAGTATGCCAATTGGCACGATTTCTTGGAGTATGCTGCCATCGCGACATCGCGTAACTCTCGTAATCCCAACCGAATTCCTCGTACATAAAAAGATCGCTGTCATGAAGAAGTGAGGCGCTGGAGAGAAAGGACTAGGACAGTACAAAAACGCCTGCACAACAATTATGCTGACGAGAGTCGAATATCTGAGTTTGTAAGAAAAATAAGCTGCTACTAGTACTAGTAGTCAACATCAGCACCACCTACGTCTTCTATGGTATCATCTCCCCTGTTCTTGATCAATAAAATTTGTGGCCATAAACAGCAGTCTTGTTGGTTGTGTCGACGGTGAACGTTTTGATTCGTTCTTCTCCACGTATCATCGCGTCTGGATCGATATCGAAGCCGTAGATGACTGCATTGGGACACAAATCCCGCCAGACACGCAAAGAAGGGCCCGGCTGGTAATTGTGATCTCCACGATCCTTGTGTTCTAGCATGTGACCTGGTGACTTCGGATTCACGGAACCAATCCCTATTTCCAACAGGTTGCGTACTTCACATCGACGGAACTGGAAAAGCATGAACGGAAACTACGAAGTATGAAGAATGAACAGACGAGATATATCAGTCGTGTAAGTCGTTCTTGTAGAGGAAAAGTAGAGCGCCCGCTGATTGTTCCGCTAATGCTGGTACTCAAAATTTCACCATGTGAACCGGGTAATTGAAATAACCGTTGAAACAAGTAGATGTAGAAAACGAGATACAAATCAATCAACTACTATTAAATCACATTCACGGCAGAAATCTCCATTCATAAAGAAGTAGTCGTAGGTTGAGCCGTACATGTGTTTCTTGAAGCCACGGTCAGATCCATGATAATCAAACAGACGGTTGATCGTTCCAGGCGGAAATGTCCAGGTAGCTGTCACAGTTGTAACAGGCGACTCTCCATCATCTGCTTTTGCTGATACGCTATGGTCGCTTCCTGACGCAGCCGCACTTTTTTCACTGCTCGACCTTGAGCTTCGCATGGAATATGAAGATACATCTAGGAGAAGACTCTACCCCCCAAAGTGAATTTGTCATCCAAGGAGGAACAAGAAGTACGAGAAAAATCAAAAGAGGGATTCTTGTCAACATGTCATTATCATTACACGTAGGAAAAAGCAAAAAACCAAGCCAGTTCTACTTCTAGCATTTTTTGACATGTGCTAGTTGTCATGTCTGTAGGATTTTTTGATCAAATAAGCTTTGAAGCGGAGAGAACAGTGCTTGAAATGAGGAATACTACACCTAGAGGTAAATTACCTGTGCACTAGTCCTAATAAATCTTCATCGCCTTTGAGTCATACATAACGACAGCTATCGCGAAGGTCTCGCTTCAGTTGCAAGTACTCGGCATGACTCATGATGTCCTCATCCGCGATGCCAGGTACGAAGTCTGGTTGCCCGATTGCACTTTTGATCTGCAAAATGGCAGGTAACATCAACGCGACGAAGCTTCTGTTCAAGCGCATGTTTGTGAAACTCTGGGAAAAGCCCAAGTCGTCTCTTCTCTTCCTTTGCGATGGAGGCGGCAAGCGAATCGACAAATAATCGCAACAACGGAGAAAAATGTCGGACATCATGCTACCAACGTTGTCCATATTGCTTTTTTCATTCATCTGCTTCTTCACAAGTCGTGCTGAAAAAGCCCTTCTTCTGCTTGTTGAGTTTGAACAATCTGGCGCCCTGGTCCAGCAACGACGTGATGTTGTTGCCGGTAAAATTTTCTGGTGCTCCATCGCACACGCAATGTTGGAGGATGAAGTTATACTGAGCTAGAACATAGCGAATCGGCAAAATTCAAAAATCGTCATCGTGATGAGGAGTCGAGACATTGTCGTCAAATGCCATGAAACTGCCCATCCAAAAATCCCACTTCTCCGGCAATTTGATGACGCCACAAGCAGTAAAAGTAATCACGTCCTAGAAGTAGTATCTCTATAATCCACCATGATATATGATAATGACCTTACAATAGAAGATGCCTACTTGTTGTACGCTAACTCCACGGTCTCTCATCAACGTTACCTACTGCTGGCAACTCTCATCTTCGCTCTCAATTACAACTACTAATTGATTGTGTGCAGGAGCACTAGATCACGCACTAGTAGAAAGCCGCCTCGCTCATTGCACGTGGATCAGGGTGATTGTTTTCCATGGATGCCGCCCATCGTGATATTAATTCAAGCGATTATGATACGTCTTAGTGAAGATGAAGAATAATCTATTTCAAACTTTATTTTGCGGTCCTTTTCAACCACCAAAAACATGCATCTTCTCGGGACTAGTATCGCCCGACAATCAGTATCGGTCGGTGTATCCATGTTGATGATACTTCTTCACCACCATCTCCGTGCGCTTATAACAAGATGAAATAATCATATTTGATAATTCCTTGTTAAATTGTCATCCTCTTCTGTTATTTGTTGGTGTGCGGCTTGCTAGCGCAGCCCCTACAACAAAAATGAATCGGCTCACACAGCTTTAGGCTGTTGATTATTGATTATCATGAGCGATGGATGAACACGAACAAGACATAGATATGAATTTCTTCGTGTCCTTGTTTGCTGATGCTAGCTAGAAGATGTTGAAGGCAATACTAATAGAGGTTGTAGGCATAGAATATTTGTAAATATATTAAACCACGCAACAACTCCTTCTGAGAATAAATGAGAGCAACGAAAAATTGAGATCGATTGCGGATCTGCAAACGGAATTTCTTCCATGATGTCTACTCGAGAAGGACACTATGTACTGAGGCCGTCCCGAACTTTATCCGAACTTGGCCTCTTATCTTTTCGGTGCACCCCACGGAAAACGACTCACCACCCACATAAAAAAACCGCCCGTGTGCCTCCAGGGATTCCCCTTAGAGGCCATGTCGTCATCCGCTGCGAAGCGGTCGGGTGCATGTAATGAGCACGCAAGCGGCAGGCCCTCCCAGCCCCCATCCCAACGAACCTTCGAGAGGGTTGGCGAAGAAGTGCCTCAGGCATCTCCTTGCGCTGGCGATTTCCTGAAGGGCGCGACAGCCCTGACGAGGGAAAGCACGCTCGGGAGGCCTCAGAGGGGTCGCCGTCATCTCGGTTCTGAGCCTTCCCGAACTTGGGTTTGGGCCTCTCCCGAACTTGGCCCGAACTTCATTTTGGTGCTCCCCGAACTTGGCAACGCAGCCCGGCACGCGAGTCCGCGTGCGAAACAAAAAACCAAGTTCGGGAAAGCCCATCTCGAAGTTCGGGAGAGGCCAAGACGCAAGTTCGGGAAGAGGTCCGAGACCTCCAAATCGGGCTTCGGGAATGCCAGGGCCTTCCTCTCGAAGCCTGGCTTTGGTAGGCCCTCACGCAGGTCGCAGCCTCGCCGGCTGTGGCGGTTCCGGAGGGCCTCTGTCGGTCAGCAAGGGCCACGCTGCTGCCCCCAGAAGAGGCTCCATGCGTGGGGCTTTGGGTCTTTCCTAAAGGGCCCAGAGAAACAGAGGCAGCGCGGCTTCCACAAGGGTCGGCCTGCCAAAACAGCCAAAACGATGGGCCAAGAGGGGAGGCTTTTCCCCTCGGAGAAAGTTGCGCCCCCAAGTTCGGATCAAGTTCGGGGCACTTTCAGTACATAGTATCCTTTTTGAGTAGCATGATGTATTGGATTCAAATAAATTTGAAATTGAATCAACATCAGGAAATTCTAATATATTATCGAGCCAGGTACAGGTAGCCATATCCAAACAAAAACAACAACAAAAAAAAGCTTCACACAGCCAGTGTCACCCCGTCTGCCTGCCACGCAATTTCTAGTCATACAAGCAAAACCCATTAATTATTCAAGTGAGCTAGGCAACAACTTCAAAGATGAAATCTTCAGAGCTCAGACGCAGTCCCAGAATCGTTTATTTCAATGTAAATTTCAGAGACAGATATAATAATGATATGTACACATACATATAATACAACACGGACGCAGCGAGGTTGCAGATGATATCCAGGGCTAGGTTTAGGAGACTATGACTAGTCGTTTCAGAAAGCACACGTGGGGAGGGGTTCACTATCGCTTTCGTTCCGTGAGAACGACAGATGCGGATGATATATGCAGGATGCTCTCAATTCAAGATTAGGCTTTTGTAAGGCCAAGGCATGTCCTCTATGTTAACAGGCCGCATTCAGCGAAAGAAAATGAAAATGCTGTAAAAAATATATCCGCGATCATTCTTAACTTCGGCTTTGGTCATGATTCAACTTCACAAGAATCACAATGGCAATATCAAAACTAAGATTGACGCTCTTTGTAGAGCAACAATGCAAATCCTAGAAGTGATGCAGATATAAAACGGCGTGGCCGCCTTTGCATTTCTGTTCGATACCGATTCACATTGATTTATATTCAGGCTGTTCTTGTTGTTGAAATAACAAAAGTGATGGAGGAACGAAAAGGTCTGCGTTGTTTGATATGAGAAGATTGTCGTAAACTTTTATCTAAGGGTATCAAATAGCGTGAAGATGACGCTCCTGTGCTATCAGCAGTAGTACTCTTTTTGTGCAGCTTGTGAGTGGCTTGCTTGTTCTTGAGTTGTGATAGTGACTGGCGAGAAGTTGTGAAGTCAACAACGAGTGCTGATGCTCACAAACTTTTCGAGAAGAAACATCCAAGATTTTGATTCATAGGATCAATGACGGACGCTGACGGGCCTCGATGAAAACGCCTCTTCAAGTTGTACTTGTACTAGGTCGCCATCCTACGTACTGAGTAGTAACTCTCTCAAAAAAGCATGACCTTAGCCTGCTCACCATGATGCTGGCATTCTGAGTAGACTATGGGGGTTCATCTTGCTACGTCTCAATTGCGCAAGCCTCTTAAAATTTGTAGGTCTCCCCTGCTCCTACTCAACTTCACGATGTTGCGCGTCAGGGAGGTAATGCCTCAACCTGAGACCACTGCGTGAACCAGTATCTCTGAACCAGTAGAACACTAAAAATTATTACCATCTGCCATTTGAGTGACCAATTTCATCATCATCTGACAACTCATGACATCTTTAGTCTACGAGTAGGCATTGAGGCGTTGCATTGATATAAATCTCGACCATTCACCTTGGCCGCCTTCATGATCCTTATCCTACAGGGGACGAACTGTAAATAAAAAGGGTGCGGGTGGGGAGATCAGAAAAATTATAAGCTGGTCTTGCGGGGGCTCAACTATTGCATGCATACTATTGTAGTTCGAGCTGTTGTTCTTACTTAGTACCTGTATCTGTACCTCTCTAACTCTATCTTATTTCGACAATGTTCACTTTTTTGCTACGACGTCAATTTTGATGACAACATGATGGAAGCCCTGTTGAGTGTTTTCTGATTCCGATTTGGTGTAACATCAATAAAATCAAAGTAAATTGGAGACCCTTGATTTTTAAGTCGAAAGAGAAGAGGAGGGACATTGAGGATTGCGTGCAAGTGCAACACTGCATGAACTATACTAACGTTATAACAAGTTTAGATTCATTGTCACTGTGCTTGTATTAAAAAATCTCGAAAATTTATCGCTATATATATATTTATATTATAATAGTGTTGTGGTTATCTGCTCAGCGGTCTCATCTATGTCCGACTGCGCCGTCTATAATAACAAACCAATGCTGCATCTGATTCTGTTCGTCCCTATCTCAAGTGGCTTTGCCTTGTCGGACGAGGACGGAAGACTGACATTACTTCTACCTCTCGACACTGGCGCAATGCTGTAGTAAATCAAATGGAAATTATGAAACTCTCACTTTCAGTTTCTCCACTATCGTCAGTCTCCCTTCGGCCGCTTAAGCACTACCACAGCGTCTTCTTGTACGTAAAGAACAGTGGCTGGTCCACATCCGTTACGCGATCTTCTTTTTACTGGATTTCTTTGTTGCCCCGAAGATGTACAGGCCAGCAGCCCGGTAGATAATTTTTCCGCCCCAGATGATGTTGAGCGCCACAAGGATCGTGCAGCAGAGAAATGTGAACATGCTCTCTATCAGCGGAACGTCCAATGTTGCTCCTGCAGCTCCGCCTGCTAAGTGCTGGTCCGCGACAAAGAGTTTTCTATGCAGCTCGAAGTCGTACGGCCGCTTTGCGAGAGTAGCATAGGATTCCTCAAACACGCTACCCCCAAGCGTAAAGATCATCTTTTGGAACACCCCGAGTGGTCCTGGCGTTGAAGATGGTGCGCCCATGCTGTCTCCACTTGAAATTCCTGCTCCACCTCCACCGATGACGTCCAGGTGAAGAAACCGGTACACTGGCCGAAAGAAGTAGAGAAAAAACAAACGGAAAACGGGCTCGTACTGAAACAAAATTCCCAGCGAAAGGTCGTAGAGTAACCGGCAAACACTCAGAATGCCAGACATTAGAAAGATGAGGCGGATCAACAGACAAAGCGCAAGCTCAACATTGCGGCCACTATCTAAGACGACATATTTCAACAGCAAAAAAATGAAAGCTCAAATAGCGCAGGAGTCCTTCATCCCATGACAATTGTTCTTCTACTTGTTGCGAGCTCTTGCATTTTAGCTTTAGCTTAAAAATATTTTTGTAATAATATTACCATTTGTATTTCATCGATGCGGTTGTTCTGTTGTTTACATGGCAATGACATAACCTAGATCACGTACTTATCATGGTAGTTGTTAGCGAGGACCTCTACGTATTCATTATGAAGTTTTTAATCTGCACCATAAGATTCCCAGTCGCGGGATGACGAACGAGAAGAAGAAACTCAGCTGCATTACATTGAACGTTTTTGGAGAAGTGTTTTGCCAGCCGAACTTCAGCGCCATAATACGATAGGAGAGGAATGGCCCTGAAATCTCCCACATAATGAGCGAAGCTGCATGATGTTGGACGAATGGATACTGCACTACTGTCAACAGGATAATGCTCGCCACATGATGGAACAAAAACAACAGTTCATCTGATGAGAAAGTTGATTCCTTTTTCTTCCTCTTTTTCATTTTATCATCTGTTGTACTTGTACTAGTAGTTGTTGAAGGGACTCCATTATCTGCTTCTGCTTTGCCTTCTTGCCACGCAGTATCCGCCTCTGCTGCTCTAGCCACCGTCTGAAGGCGGTCGGCAGCGGCTTCGGCCAAAAAATGAAGCTCTGTTTTCCCTCTTTTGTCCGGTTCATCACTCGAACTTGAATCCGGAGTCGCGCGCGTTGAGGCGTCCGAGAGTGCTACACTGGAACCCTTCTTGGAAGTGAGCACATTCTTTCTCGATTCTTGACCTGCTCTGGAAGATGAAGATGTCGCGATGGCATCTGTTGAGAATGTGGCCAAGTTGGAAGCGATCTGCTCTTCCATTTCGTCTTGATTCATTCTTCTGCCCCCGTTGGAATTTGAGGTCGGTGTCGCATCCCGGGAGATCGCGGCTGGTGACTCGTCGACGCCAGCCTCGCTGTAGTACGCCTGGTCCACTCTCTCTGGTGGCTTCGGCCAAATTCGATCAAGGATTTTCGTGAATATGTAGTCAACGAATGTGTTCACCATCATCCAAATCATCATCGTTTTCGTCAATAAATCCACACGCGGATTGTAGCCCACATATGAAGAAAGAGAGAAATAAAATGGGATCGGGGTCGTGTCCGTGTCGATCAAGAGTATGTAAGTTTTTCCATTTGAGGTGGTTCATTTAATATCATTTTTGGGGATTCAAATTATTGACCTCCAGCTACGACAACACAATTACGCGAAGACTAGAAGGTGTCCTAGATGGAATTTATTAAGTTTCTCCTCAGTCTTACTCTACCTCTCAACGTAAAAAGAAGACTAACCAACACAAAATGTCTGGCTTTGCCAAAACAAAATTTCCGTCTCCTGTGCCAGACCCAGAGCCAGAGATTTTGAATTCAATAGCTTAAGCTTTAGATTAGCTGCAGCGAAAAGGATAAACCTGTAAAAATGGAGCTCCTGATGTTTTCATAAGAATAGTCTGTTGTATTGCGTCTCAGGTGCCTGATTGAAGTAGAGGCATAGAGCGACAATACCAAAGCCCCCGTTGTTTAGTCCGGAGGCGAGCACCCCCGTCCAGTATATCCGCTCTGAGGGGGTGAAATCGCGCGTGTATCCTGTTCCCCGAAGGAGCCAAAAGCGATTCAACAGGTGCGACAATACATAGACGGACGAAAAGAACACGAAGGATTTCACAAATAGCCAACAGTTTTCCTCGGTGGCGTATGGCTTCCGAAACAGCGTATCTAAAAAGCGCGGCACCTCCTTCGCCATCACCGTAGAAATCAAGTGCCCGACATCATTCGACAGAGACTCGCCAGGGAGAGGTCCCCCACTGCTAGAATAGGAAGAAGACATCATACTCGACACAATGCTGTACTGAAGATGAAGAGCGGGTCTTCGGTCCTGTCCTCTCTGAGAGAGACGTATTCCTGTCGATCCCGTGCTCTTCTTTGGTGGCTTTTGAGCTGGATAGTAATCTTGCTGCTCTGCAACGAAGCAGTGTGGAGTTCTGCAAATCCCAACTAGTAAAAAGAGCACCACCCTTCAGCTTGAAGATGTGTTGCCAGCTGGTCGTAAGGATAACGCGAGGGCCACGTCTCGTGCACTGCAAAATCTTCCAAGCGAAGGGCGAGAACGAGATCGACGAAGGTCACGCTGAAGAAAGAGGGCACGGGGATCTACCTTTTCAATTCGATGCGCTCAAGGTTTCGAGTGCCGCCGCCTCAGGAGTTGCGAATCTTCTATCATATATTGTGCGAACGGCGAATACACCTAGACGCGTAGAAGATGAACCAGACGGATTTTCCGTCGATCCATATGATGGCGCGCGTATGATTGGTTACTGGAGGTGTCGGCGCCGTGTGGTCATCAATGATCATTCATGCTCAGCGCACCATAGGCGCATTATCATAGATGCGATCACTTAATGCGCTCACAAAATACGTCGTAGTCGTTGCATGTGGGATATTAAGAGTTCATTGTCTAGTTGTTATACATATACGCATACATGCATCGTCCGAGAACATGAACAACTACAGTGATGAAGGTTAAGTTAGGTTGGGGTCCCTTCACATACTCTTACTCATATACTTAAATGCAGTGAATAAATATAGATGACATAGAACAAAACAAAAAATGAGCATAGCTTTCTTGGATAGCAGGCTCTGCTGATGAGATACAAGAATTGTCTGCAAAGATAGAGTGAAGCAAGAACTTCGTTCATAATCGACAGCGCAAGTCAGTGACTGAGAGAGAAAAGAGGACATAAATTTCACTCGAGTGTCGACCACGCGATGCACAAAATCCGCGCTACCTATACCCGAACAATTTATAAGGTTTCACAGCTCGCAATCGCATGGCATGGAGTGCATGAATCGCATGGAGTAGCATGGAGCTAAAGGCGGAGCTTCTCGCGCCCCTTAAAGCTCTGCGCTCCATGCGCTCCATGCTACTCCATGCGCCATGCGTGCTATAAACTACTCTGCGGTATACATAGAAGATACTTATTTCTCGATCTCGATCTCGATCTTGTGGTATTTTAGTTTATCATTCGCGGTGCGGTTTACATTGAGACCCTTCTCAATCCTCACTATTACCTTGCGAAAACACGATCGACTTCATCGTCTAAGATCGAAATTGATGTTTGAGAATCATTGACTCATCTTCAGAGATACAATTCGAAATCGAGTGAGACGAAAGGTTTACCTTGCCATTTCATTCTACTTTTGGAAATCGGAAATGCTCTTTGTAGTACAGGTGCTCGTTTCTCGTTGCTCTCATGATCTCTCGGGTCTTGGTCTACATTGAGGAACAGGGTAAAGCTGGTTACAAAAATTTGCAGGAGGAGAGCCTTGATTCATTGTCATTGGGCTGATATAACTATCCCTCGCGGTCGGATTGTCTCTCGCGATCACATGTTCCTTGGAGAAATAATCATGAATGGACGAGACGGCGATTAACAAGGAGATCAGCAAACAGGAACAAATCTGGGCACAGCACTGATATTAATTAGGAACGAGCACAGTGGGGCGTCTACAGGTCGGTTGTGTTTCGGTGGCAGATAGTTCCGATTTAGTTGTAAGAGGACGGTGGTTAGAATTAGGTAATGGAAATATCTACAGCAGTCTTCCAACATCAATCTCGTCCCCCCTCCTGTTCCACATTCTAAATATGTAGACTAGATCTAGAGGAGAATGAACGATCATCCACGGATTTGATCATGACGCGACGCGGCAATTTTCCAGGATACAAGAATGCAACACCCTGCTACCGCTGTTGGTTGCCGATGTTGCTCAACGGAAATTTTTATATAGATTAGACCACTGCAATAGCTATAGCAATAAATTGTGCTAGTTCTAGTAGAAGTAGTTGGTAATGGTATGATTTATAATGATGCCAATACCAATGACTTGTAATCCAATTCATATAATGTCCTTCTCTGTTTTGTTCTCTTCGCGCGTACAGAGCAGCCCAATGCGCATCAATATCAAAGGATCCCAAAAATAAAAAACCTGAGGGGACCAACAGCAGAAATTACACGGCTTGCTGCTGAAAGTGAAACGCCGCTGCACCTGCGTGTCAAGAACAATATCTCTCCACACGTCGCATGTCGAGGACGTCATCTACATCTGTGTTATCACCAGGAAGAAGCGTGGTTAAAAAACCCTCGATATGACTCAGTCGTCACCGTGAGCAAGTCCTCCCTGTATCCCGTAAATCGCCGATTTCTTGCTTTGACGGGGTTTGTGTTGGCAAGAACTAGCTCCAGTCATCCAACTGCGTAATGGCATACTGGGCAATGAGGGCAACGATCACTCCTCGGACGAAAGATTCGGTCACTGTTCCGACATCTGGGAACAGTTCGCCTATGTCACTGTCTGTCCCGCTCAAACCAGAGAAATCAGCGGCGTTTACCCTTTCGTTTTCGTCGTCCAATCCAGCTCCCTCCTCCTCCTCTGTCTCGTTCGTATCGACCTTTTGGGAATGCTCCTCACTCATCACGTTCGTCGTCGTCGTTTTTGTTTCTGTAGTCTTCGTTGTTGATGTTTTCGTTGTACTAGTGGTAGTCGACGAGGTCCTTATGAGGTTTTTGTGGAGGACGAGCCGGTCCAGGTAGCGGTCGAGCTCGTCATAGTCGTACTTGAGGTTTTTACAGTAGTACTGGAGCTTGAGGTGCTCGAGCTTGAGGAAGTCGAGCTTGAGATACTCGAGGTTGGCATCGCCTATAGTAGAAGGAGTAGTCGTTGTGCTTGTCTCCAAACAACACTCTTGCCCTATGCATCCGGTATGATAGTCTTGGCATATTCGCACTTTGTTACTCGCTTTATCGATTCTGGCTATTTGGCCATGTACTGCGCAGTCCAAGGTCCCAAAATGCTAAAGGCAGCATTCCCATTCCTCTTTGTTGCAATTATTGGCCACACCGCAAAGGTGAAGCTGCGGCTTCGAGAATTTCCAGAGGAATTGACTCTGTTAGAACTATAAGAGAAACCCACCTCCAGCAGCATCTTCTTGGGTCCCCTTTTCCCCTTAAAAATGGGGCCAAGATGCCCGTGATTGTGAAGATGCATGTCTTGTGGCCTTAATTCTGATTGCAATGTAACTGCCAGCAGTTCTTCACGCAGCACGATTTTTTGCTGCAAAAGAAATGAGGGCAAATTACGTTCGTCGGATTCGGCCATGGCGACGGACCACTGCTTGTTGCCATAATAATGGCATGATCCGGTGATGAAGAAACCTTTACAGTTCCTGTAGCAGGAGCATTCGACTTCCAGCAGGCTAATTTGCCCTCCAAAGATAGATTTCGTCGGAATTTGCTTTGTAGTTTTGGTACTGACCCCGGAAGTCTATCGAGTGACAACTTGTCTTGCAACATCTCGTAGTCGTACACTGATTGCCGGCGCCAGGGCACACTAGCTTACGATTAAAAAGCCTCCGCTTTCGTGGGCAGTCGCTGTCGGTCATGGCAGCACCACACGTGTTTTGACAGCATTTGCTTTGGGTGCTCTCCATATCAGCTTGATTCGTGCTCATCTCGGCACCACAGATCGCGTCATTGGCTCTCCTTCTCCACCCCCATTTACAGGTAGAGTAGCTTTCGCACGAAGGTCTGCAGCACTCCTCGTCTCTCGGGCTGGTGTCTGTTGATGTAGTTGTCACCTCTAGTAGCTCCTCCACTTGTTGATCATGATTTTCCATTTGTTGTAGTTCTTGCTTCCACTGAGCATCTGAAGATCGTTCCTTCCTCACTAACACAGCTTCATCTTCGACAACATCTTCACCTGGAAGATCCACCAGCGAAGATGAAGCTGAAGACGAGGATCTAAGTGCCTGAGGCAGGATTTAGCACCCACCCAGGCGTCGTGCACGTATATGAGGGGGCACGCACATTTTTCTTGGATAACCTGTGGTCTATGGTAGAAGATGCTTCGTCGAGAACTGCATGCACGGCTGTTCTTGCAGGAGCAAAGTTCAACACAAGAAACAATGAAAATGCTCCTCCAAAGAGTATGAGACAGAACCGGTGGCTTCTTATTGTGCTTCATCTTGGCGGGGTTGACACAACTGCTCAACATCGCCCCTGGTTGTGAAAAAATTCCGAGGCTTTCCGAGTTTGTCGTACAGGAGTAATTCAAGAGCAGGACAGAGGCACCCTACCTGTCATAATCGGCGCCCTACCTTGTCCTTCAGGAGTACTTACTTGAAGAGCTTGCTTCCTCCTGTCATAATAAATCGACATCCATGGCAGCACCCTAATTTCAAAAAAAGTCGATCTTCGTAGTCCATCGTATGCAAGAGTGACCGCTTCCATCCTCATGTTGAAGAAGATGTTGTACCGTATCAGGTCTGAAAAAGTAAGGAGCTTCGGTAGCGCTAAGTCGGCACCTGGTGCGATAAATATTCTGGCATAAAGACTCGTCTCCCGTCTCTAGCATGAAGACGAGGACAAACAACTAGAAGCGGGCGCACCGTGATAGTCGCGTACGTTTAATGAGAATGTCTCCTGATGCAGAAGTAATCTCTTGCGGAAGAGAATAACACAAGGACAAGTAGTCTTTTGATTGAGACTGCAGAAGACCAAAATCCTTGCACTTTCTCAAAAAAAACGAATATCGGATATGTCAATTGGAGTCAGAGCTCCAATCTACTGCGGCAGCACCGTAGTAGTCTCTGAGAGTATCAGAGACTAGTAGAAACGTGAGACCATTTTTACATTCGAAAATTTCTTTAAGGTGGTTGTTAGTGGTTCGGGATTCGATGCCAACATGGAACAAGAGCAGGACCTATAGAGGGGCCTGCCTCACCTGGAGTATACATAAACTTGAACACTGCTTATATTCTGGTGTCCGAGTCCCGGTCCGCTTCCTGAGGCTTTGCTTTTTTCTAATTTACTGTCGTGGCTTTCCTGGAGCGGAATGACTTACCAAGTCGGTCGTCAGAACGTCGATTCGGCGAGGAATTTGTAAAATCCAAGATCATTCATAGCAGATGCGTCGTCCACCTTGCCTTTATTTGTGTCCATTGAAGATACACACTTAAAATCGTCAGAAGCTCCCGGGGGTCCGGCACGGAGATGAAGTTAATGTGATGAAGAGCACAGCCTGCATGTATAATGAAAATTGAAAAATTATGACCCAAGAATAACAGCTATGCAGTTGCGCCACGAAGCTCGTCCTATCAAGACCATGACCACAGGCGTAACAAACAAGAAAAAACTTGTCTGAACAATGTTACACTACGGGAGACTAAGAACAACCAAAATATCAAAACTTACTGCACAATAGGGCCACCCATAGAGATTCAACGAAGAGAATGATAATTGTACCGGCGGGTATGATAGCTCTAACTGTCCAACTTAAAAATATGAAAAACCGTTTCTGTCTTGAACATGCGAAGCAAGGTCGTCCGGAAAGTAATATGGGATCAATCAGTCACATAAGTACTTACTTGTTTCTATTTTATCAATCTCACGATCACATTAACGGCTCCAGCATTTTTTCATACAATCAAAATAAAATGCGCCATGCCTGATGAACAAGTACGCCTAGCTGGTCCGAGTCAAGATCGAAATGAAATAATTCTTTTTCTGACATACGCGATCTACTTATCACTATCAGTGTAATGTATAATGGCGGGAGGCAGCGGCGTCGGCCGCCGACTAGTCATAGTTTTAGTTGGTGATGAACACTGTCACAGTCACAAATCTAAACTTTATAAAGTAAAAAACTGAACCTTATGCTTATTTGAAGAAGTCTTTCATATTTTCTGAACCCTGGGTGCTTCGATTTTCGGGTGGGTCTTTTTGAGAAAGGCTTGTCCGGCGCTCCGGAAGTCGAAATCACAATTGTGGTCCTCTGCGTCCTTGTGACGAATACAAAAAGACTTTCCACACCGACACGCAAAAGCCGCCCTACCGGGCCTCAATCGACGCTCACACACGGCACAGGTCGCTTTCGCTTGATCCTTCTCCTCAAAGGAGGATTCATCATTCTCAACGTCCAAGAGTGATGATGCAGTTGCCGCTTCTTTCGAAGACGCGGGCGCATCATTTACCGTTTTGCTCCACGAATTCAACAGAGGATTGCAATACATTGGCGGCTTGTGGATGTGGTCCTTCCTCTCCAATAGTACTTCGTCACTTGTTGAAGATCTCGTAGAAGAGGAGGGAGAGGGCGATGGAGGACTTCCAGATGTGCACGTGATAGAAGGATCTTCATGATAACTCGCCTGTAAAAAAGGCGTCACGGCGCAAGTAGGAGGCACAGGAGAAGCACTTCTTCGGCGCTCTTCTTCCTCTCTTTGAGGTCGCTTCATAGTTTTAGCTGCAGTATGTTTAGTTCGTGGACGAAACGCACACACTTGCTGTGACTGCCCATGCTGGACAGTGTAGCTCAGAACCACTTGTCTTGTTTGAACATTGGGATTTCCTGGAGGTGCAACAGCTGTTTTTCGGCCCACAGATTCACCACCAGCGCTTGTGGTTGGAGTACTGTTAGGTGGAGCTCCAACTGCCGCGACACTCGGGCCTTGTTCTATGGTTGTTTGTACGGACCACTGATGCGTCGGGTAGGTCTCGACGGTGACTGCCGTACCTGGAGGACATAAAGCAACGTGGACTGGTGTGCTCATTGTTGCTGGAGCAACCGGATTGGACCACAATAAGTCGAGAGGTAATTCCGTATAGTTTTTGAAGAGCAAGTGGACAACTTCCATACGTACTACGTGGACCTGCGGGAGCACCAGCGGTTGAACATCCTCGCCTGCTGAACAAGACGCTTCGGAATGATCCTCCCTAAGAGAACAAGAGGCAGCATCGTTCACGTTCTCCACCTCGTTAACATTTGGCTCGGCTTTGATGTCCTGCTCAGACGCCCTATTCCAGCTCTTGAAATCTTCTTCTTTTCGTTCGCAAAAGGAATTATCAAATGTCATCCTGGCTGGAGGTAGGAATGCAGCCAACGACTTCCTGTCTCTTCGTAGTGTAAATGACGCTGGCCTCGAGAATAAGTCGCTGCTTTCCTGTTCGTGCTCGTCTTGGACCTCCGAACCTTGCCATAATTTGACAGCTGTAGTCGCAATCTGCAGGTCCTGCTCAGGACTACGACTAGCCAGCGACGCCGAGGTTTGAGGCAGCGGATAGCTCAGAGCCTTCTTTTGCGCGAAGACACGACGCCGAAGCGCAGCCGGGACTTCAAGCGGCACATCAGACTGCATTTTTTCGAAATTACGGAACAAGGCGTTGGAGTTGGATTCAACGAGAAGCTTTTAGCAAAAAACTATAACTGTGGAAGCCGAAGCTGAAGCAAGTACACGAGAACGAGAACGAGTTCTGAAAACTATATCTGTCGAAGAGCATCTTGTTCTACTTGTTTCACCTCAAAATCAATCAAAGAAAAGCAAAAATCCAAAAAGCGCTAAGCCCGGGGGTGTAACGAACTGGGTCTGGGGCGCACGTGACAACACAACCGATCATGATCATCAACATGACCTGTTTTGAAAGAAACGTTTGCGTTTGCATTTCGGGAACCTTCGCAAACAACAACACATAGATAGAGGAGACATCACCGGCAATTGCAACTACTACCAAAAGATGAAAACATATCCGGAAGATCTGTCATGATCGTCTTCAAGTACCTCAGGTTACCGTTACTACATACGTATCTATACCTATATAATCCATCGATCTACATCTCGTTCTTCGTGTTCGTTCTTTCCAGTAGTAACTCCTCGTCAAACTTTGTCAATTAGTTTCCGATCTATTTTATGGGTGCACGAGCACGCAATTAACTGTTGAACATGCACCAGAATGTGAAACACTGTCGTTGCAACCTGAATAAAAGCATATCGTCACCACGGTTTCCACCGTGCTTCGCTCTATTCAATCTCGTTGTGCATATGCTACCTTGGGATTGCTCTTAGAAGGAGCATTTAAGCGAAAGAAACTCCTCTTGGTCCGATAAACATAGAGACATTGGTGTTATTCGTGAGGTGTATCCAAGTAGACTCTCTCGTCTCTGTGGTCATGCGTGCGCGAAACTTCGTGTCCTGTGTTGACACAAGAACTGAGGTGGAGCCTAAAATCGTTAGGTGTTGTCAACACCTGTTTCCATCAGCAAGGCGTCGAACAGTACTGGTGGAACTACTTGAAGTTGAACTCTAAGGGTCTTTGACTTTGTTCTAGAAGTACTAACGATCAACTCTCAATCGGGTGAAGCATCACTGAGCAAGAGATTTCGTATCTCGTTCCAATGGTCCGCTGCGCGGTGCGTTTGCAAGCGGATGTAGGATACCTGGTGGCGCTCTAGCATGCCAAGAAGTTCGTGCTGCCACGCAAATTGTGGTTCGTCATGCGCTCGCGTGAAGTCGTCGATCAGTATTCTCTTTACACCGCGTTGTGCCAATTTTGATGATGTACTACTTCTAGTGGTGGAAGTGGATGGTGATCCTGGAGCAATGATCTCACACGACGAAGTTGAGGAACTTTCGGCTGCTGTAGCTCCACCAAGAGATTGAACTTCTTGTAGTTGAGTCATCGCCGCCCGAACTTCCTCAATTTCGCGGTCAATGGAAGTGACCCGTCCACTGGTCGTGATTTTCTGCATCGAAGCCGTTGTCCCTACCTGTCCGCAAGCATGGGCGCCCTCATCGTCCGCCTCATCCAGAAGATGCGTGATCTTTTCGTTGGCCGACCGCGTGAAAAGCACAGGTGCAGCCGGGAAACCGTGCAGAGCAAACAGCCAATGATGCGTCACCTCAATGGCAGCGGGAAAAAGCCGAGCCGTCAAGTACACAATCCGATAGCGACCTGACTGCTGTAGCTATGCTTTAGAAGAGCTGGGGGATCTACATCTACTATCCATACTGCTACGATCAGTCAGACTGCTGCTGGTCGGAGCAGTAAAATTGATTCTGATCATTTTGAATCATTTAGAAACAAATGGAACAAATGAATAGACATACTTAGATAAACATTTGACGATGCTTTACGTGTACTGCCATAAGCTTGAGTATATCTGCAGCACCTCCAACGGCTTCATCCTGCACGACCAACCGAGCGTCATTCCGACCCGCACCGCTTGTCAATGTCGCTAGTATCTCAGCAGCATCCGAGTAGTACCTCTGCACAACGCCCGCAATGTCACGACTATGTCTTCGAAAGGCATAGTTCAGTGTGTTATCGATGTCGACAGCGAATTAGATGAGAACTCCGATACAGATGGGGTGCTCCACCTCTTGGAAATTGTAGTTGACGGATTCCTACATGTCGCAGATCTAGAGAGCCATGGGATTTCTTCAATCAGTGTCGTGTGGAGGTAGAGTAGTTCGTGGAGGCCCCACAGTAGCACGGGCACACAGACACAAGTGGTAAATAAAAATCAAAATCTTTTTCACGACACCAAAATAAGAATAACGTTAACACAACGAGGACTACTAATATCCAAGCCATAATAGAGCGTAATAATCTGCGTCGCGCGTCTGACGACCTCGAGTCCGTAGCTGATAAACCTCTTGCAGAAGTGTTTGTAGCCCTCAAGCCTCCTCGCAACATAATTCGATGTTTTTTTGTAGTCGGAGTAAGGTATCGCTTTGAGTGCGGCACTTTCCGGTTCGGGGTTCATGTCGAAAATCGGCGAGACCTCAAACACTTCTATGAACACGGGACGAGAATGCTCATGGGGGCAGCTCCTCTGTAGTTTTGATAGAAAGTACTAGAGCTGAACCTGTTTTCCATGTCGTCACTATCAACTAATTATGTTGGAGGAATTGAAGACAATCATATTATAAGCACATAATGATATCGATAAGGCACAAGCACAACATTGTTTGTTGGAGGGGCTAAGTCTCTAGAGGTAAAACTAGCCGGTTCGTTGTTTTATTTAGTGCTTTGAGCGCCGCTGGACCTAAGCCTCAACCTTATAAAAAGGGAGAAGCCAGTCAAGATTTGCAGCACACCTCAAAGAGACGGGGGAAACCATGCAGATACCTGCTAAAGGAGCAGGAGGTTACTTAATTATTACAACATTAAGATTAAAAAGTGAGTGAATATAATTGTCCCATAACAAAGAGTTTTGGCGTGTGACCGCCCTGTTCATCGTCGAGAAGAACAACGTCCATAGCCCCGACTGCCATGATCGTTCGGGAGACCTGTTCTACCACAGGTCGCAGCAACTCTAGCGGCAGGTCATCGAAGCTCAGTGTGGAGTTGGAAATATGCGTTGACGCGGCCATGTCGGACGAATGCTCCTTGATGCGCCAGTAGCCGTGAACAACTTCGCCAGCGATAAACGTCACACGAAGCTCCCTTCTAAAAGTGAGCTTCTCCTGGACAATTACGACTTCCTGATCCGGGTTCCCCGTGTCGAACCAGCGCTGTAAGCAACGACGCAAATCAGCGAAAGAGTCACACCTGGTGAAGATGTTGGAGAAAATAGTCTGTCATGTTGCCAGAAGTAGGAGGTACGCTCTTCATCAAAAGCCCTCGTCGATACACTGTCATTACGAAGACGATGAAACTTATTCTATTAGTACTAACAACGACGAGTACAGATGTCGGCAACATTGTGGCCAGAAAGCAATTAGTTTCTTTTTCGCTATATACATATAGACACGCTTCTCTTCATGATGCTGAGGTTGACTTGTTGGTCCCATCCTCGTCCTTCTACATACTACCTAGTACTACTAAGTAACTTAGATAAATACTGTGCCAAGCCTCTGGACGAAGCCGCGAAGGCGTGTTTCAGCAGGACCGGAAAGGACGGCCATGACACTTGCCCACCCGCGCCTGGGGACAACTCGTAATCGATTTGCCCGTTTGCCAGCTCCTGCCTAGACACTACGCGAAATCGCGCCACAGGGATTCCGTTTGCGATGAAGGCTTCGAGCATCGGCAGCTTATTCTGATACAATTTTGCTGTTTCTGGGTCGGGAAAAACACGCGTTGTAGGGAGCTGCTCGAAGGCCTGTGTGTATTGGTGCAGCGCGTCTGATAACTGCGGACCCGCAGGATACTGTCTTCCTTGAAACATCTGATTAGTCCGCCAGAAAACTGCTAAATTTGTCGGTTTGTCCTTCTCCTCCTTGTTAGCTCCCGGGTTGTAGGGTGGAGTAGAGGATTGCTGGCTCGCTCCTGTTGAATAGCCATGGCCCCCACTCGCGCTCAACATTGCGCTCCTTCCGCGCAGCAGAAAAGCCAACTGTTCCGGTGCTTGCACTGTGGTGGGTTCGTGTCCCAGCTCCTGCATTGCCTGCAAAAAGCTCTCGAGCCATTCACGATTCCAGGTATCAGCAGCACTTTTCTCTTCCACCACGAGCACTGGACGCACCTCCGGACTCGCTAGACTTACATACAGATTCCGGCGATAAAGCCACAGTGGATCGCGTACTAAGAGTCGGCGACGTCCAAACTCGGTGCTCCGCTGCCATTGCAACTCTACTCCGTTCCCCGATCGAAGGTGATCCATTTTTCCTTTTCGAGCTTGGCCTTGTTGTTGAATAGAAAAGTTAATCTGCTCTTGCTGCACGACATAATATCCCCCTGAAGTCCGCGGGAGAGGCTCGAGACGGTTCCGAGCTGCATTCCAAATGAAAAACTGCACAATCGAACGCCCGCCTAGACAATTGGCGACCAGATTGTCCTCGTAGGCCGCAAAAATATCGTTGCCCTGCTTCGTAAAGCAGTTCTGTCGCATCTCTGGTCCAAAAGCAAACACATCATACTGTTCTAATTCGGGTAGAGCTCCAGCTCCTGGCTTTTCGTTTTCTGCTCGTTTTTCTCCGTAATAATTTGATTCTGTTGATGTAGTCGCGGCTGCGTTTACCGCACTAGTTCCTGCAGGAAATAGCTGTTGCTGAACAGGTGCGGGCGAGACCGACCAAGTGTCAGTCGCGGGGGCCGCAGCTGTATTCTGTTGGGATTGGAATGATGCAGGCGAATCGAGCACAGCTGCGTCGTCCTCAAACACGGGAACAAGCAACTCTTGTCGTTTTATGCGCGCCTCAGCGACTTCATCTCTCGGTGTTGAAGAGGCTGTTGGCAGCAACGCCCTACCCCAGAAAAGGTTTTGCGGTGGCAGTGCGTCTCCCAGGCGCACATGCAACGTTGCCAGTAGTGTCCAGTATAATGGATCGACACTGTGAAATATGCTGTGAGCAAAGTCGGGCTGAAAATCCACACCCGTACCAATCGTACTATGACTCGTAGTTTCGTCCATCTTGTTCTCGTTGCTCGCTCGACGAAAGCAGTTGCCCTTCATCAACTCTTCCGAAGCATGCATGACAGCTCGCGTTTCACTCTCTGGCTGAATCTCCAACATGCTGAGGGCGACAACTAAGTAGCCAATCGCCTTGGAGATATGAGGCCAACAGAGCTTCGGAGGTGATTCGGTCGTTTCTCGATTACTTCTCGGCACTAGTGCTCCCGCCTTTCGCTTGCTTTTTTCACGTTCAAGGTAATGTACTGCGTCCGCCAGTGGAGGGAGAATGCCATGATACAGATGATTCGCAACCCAGTCCCGAAACAGAAAAAAATCACTAGTGTGCCGGTCGTAGTCTTCAGCCAAAGTGTGGCCTTTGAGCGCCAGAACCTCGCTTGTACCAAATAGAGCAGCAACCGTAACAAAAAACTGCCCTAGTCGCTGAGAATTAGGAGAAACCAGCATAAAGAAGCCGGACATGAAATTGAAACAGTCGTATTCATGTGCCTCTATCTATGCTTGGCCCTTAACCTTCTCTTCGAGCAGGGTAAAAGTACCCGTTGGTCAAGCCTAGTATGATCAATAAGCCGAACCGTAACAAAGGGAACGGTGGACAGGACTTCGAGCATCTGCTCCGAGAGATGCGGGCCAACTCCACTTATCGCAGACGCCTTGTCCCTCAACGACTGCCGTTTTCTCCACTGCTCAAACTGGTCCTTACAACTTCTCCGAGTCCCACTATGTGGTGGTTTACTAAAATCCTCAAGATGAGACTCCTCTCCAAGCAGCCTGGTCTGGAAGCATACTGCGTGGACCAGATGGAAGCTCACTGCATCCGCGACACAAGGACTGCGCGTCCATGGCTCGTTGCGCAAGTACGCATCTATATTTTCAGCATGATGATCCTCGACTGCCGCGCTCTCATCAGGTTCAGAAGTCTTCGGCGTGCTGCCATGATCAGACCACGCACCGCTTGGAAGTAGACCGTCAACAACGTATGCTAAGATGCATCCCTCATTCGTGGGCAGGCCTTCTGATGAACCTGGTCCGGCGGTGGATGTTCCTAATATGGGGAGAGGAGATCCTGGTGGTCTCGAATGTTGAGAACACGAAGTCAGGCTCACACTAGCAGTGTCAGGCTTCCTCCTCCGGAGGCAGTGCGGCGCTGCGTCCCACAGTGAAGGTGCCGCAGCAGTCGAGCCGACTTGCAACACGACAAAAGCAGACAGGACGAACCACATTCGAAAACGACAATATGAAGACATGTTGCTCGCGCAAGAAAGAACCTTCATTTTCTTGTTCTCGTGGCGGCCAGAGCAGGTTTTTTTCTTCCTACTCTGCAAATTTCACATCGTAGTTCGTATTCTCGTTTTCCTTCTCTCTTGTCCCACAAAAAGTTATAGGATTTTCAGATCTGTCCTCTTGCTACTGCGTTCAGATACAACTCAAGCCCCTGAATCTACTTTCTAGTAAAGCAGAAGTAGATGTATTATCTCACTTGAAACGATCAATATCAAAGTCGTCTCTGCGTCGATCTTTAGAACGAAGAGCTCTCCCGATTTCCTAACGACAAGCATCTTGACTATAATCCCAACTTTCAAGAAACACGAGAAGAAAAGCGGAGAGGACTACGCACAGGGACGTGGCAATCGCTTGACGAGCCGATGAACGTGAAGTATCTTCAGGATTTCTTTTGCTTTTACACCTGGCCGACCCGACAGATTGCTATTGCTTGTAGTGCTTCCATGATGAGATGAACCATGATTACCTTCATCAATTTTCAGTTATTGACATATCTTCTGTGAGCCTGATCGAATAACGATCGGATCAAGCTTGTAGTTGATGCTTATTTTTCTTAAGCTCTCCGCTTATTTTTACTTTTTCTAGAACACAACCTCCAATTATCCAAGTGCTTTTGCTCACTCTTTTATTACATCTCCTCGTCTTTGTCTACTGTTGTATGTTATATCCCCAACCAACAACAAAACAATCACACTGAAGCTGAACAGGCAACTCATGATACTCGTGCCTGCCGCATCGTGATGTTTCTCAACAGATGTGGCACTTGCACTCGACGTAGGCCAAGAGGTAGACTAGTGATAAATCGACGCACAAAAAGGCTGAAACCCTCCTCCATTATAACCCTCAATAACATTTTTTTCTATTCATTCACTCATTTACCTGCTCTAGAGGTATCCTATCATGAATGGGGACACAGGATAGGTTTATATTAAGTAATTTCAATTTCCTATGGTAATTGACTAGTGCGGTGCATGCTGGGAGCACAATTATTGATGCATTATCTAGCCGTACACTTGTGAGTCACCATTTTGTGTAATTGTTCAAAGGGAAAGATTGCCTGTCACGGCTATAGTGAGACCAACAATCGCACTAACCTAGAAGAAGATTGGTGTGACAGATTTGGAAAAACCGAAGACTTAAACGTTCTGCTAGTGATAGTGTGTATCAAGATAGTACTTTTTACTCTTTTTTCCTTACATTTTAGATTTATAATTGGACTTGGAGTAGAAAGCATTCGAATGTTTTTCAAATGAGAGGGGGATAAAATAATCGCAATCTTTCGGTTCAGTTTAAGTTAGAGAGTAACTTTAATTTTTTCTGGTTTTTTTACGTGAGTCGAAAGTGTAGACAACTGAAAAAAAATTCAAAATTCAAGGGTTTCTCGCTTCGGCCAGGAAGTAAGTAATGTAACAAAAACAGCAATTTCAATTTTTTCTATTTCAAAGTCTTCGGCTAAAGGGCCAGCGCACCAGCTGGGGTGGGCGCAGAGAAGTCGCACACTTCACGGTTGATGCGCCGAGCCGGCATTGATCTTGGTCGCCCATGCTGCAGATCAATAATATATTCCACACAAATCAGCATGAACAGAGAATGCGATGCTGGGAGGGTTCTTTCTATATTATAGTATAAGATTGCATCTCTGAAAAAGGTGATGATGGGTGACAAGGACAACATCAATGGTGTGGATATCGATGTAACCGCGGTTGTGCATGCTGGCGACATCGTTGTAGTAGATTATAATACCCAGTATGGATGAAGCCACTTAGCTCTACAGAGTATGTAAATCTAAATCCAAAGATGACGACAGATACTGCACCAGTATCTTCATCCGTGAGTACTTAGAAGTACCATCCCAAATTGTGCGTTTGACATGCTCCTTGGTGGGTCAGCATATTTCAAAATCTTCTTAACCAGCGTTCCATCTAGAAGGAGCGGCAAACATGCTGTCACCTAACAAGATTAGAAAAATAGACAAAAATGAGGAGCCTTCATTGCTAATGCGCTACCTTGTATCTGTCGAACACAGACGCAAGGCTCGCCGCGATATAAATAAGTACTCCTTCCAAACGCAGACACAATATCACGAATACTTTGTACGTCAGTGTTCTTATAACTTGAAAAGTAAAGAGTACAACTTTTATTTTTAACACTAGTTGATCGTGTCACAATTTCAAGTTCAAGTATTCCTAGTCTTCTACTGTACCCGCCGAGGTCATGTTACCTCCTGAAGAAAGATTACTTATCGACCCATGATAGAATTGTCCGTCCTCGACAATGACCCAGCGGCTGCCTTTATTTTTTGTTAGTTGTTCCCTTGCTGCTGCTCTTCTCAGAGAGTAGTCTTGTTTACATTAAGATGCAGTTCAACTGCAGGATACACAGAACAACTGATGAAATTGACAAGAAAACCTCCCACAGCATGGTTTTTACAGTAGGCCATCTGTCAGACATCACGATAAGGCGACGCATTTTTCTTTGTGCAAAACTCTTACTTTCCAGCTGGCAGGTTTATGACGGTGGCCGTTGTATGAATATCACACCTGATAATCAAAGACGACCGAGGAAATCCTGATTATAATGGCTGTAACAGAATCCTCCAACAAAAAACAGACAGCAATTGTAACGCAAAACACCAGGAGGGTACACTACGGGGACGACTGCAGAGAAACGATCCTACAACATCATCGAGGATTTTGTTGCGGGCTGAGCAGGTGCGTTACGACAACGGACTAATTTGCAATAGGACCACCACCACGACAAATTCATATATTCATCCATGCTTTTTTTACCGACCCTCGACGAGGGGATGCGTGAGAATGAAACAATTTTCCTTCAAAACATTGTAGCGCTTCCGACTGTTCTTGCGGCCTACTCCGATCCTACCGACTCAACAGAGCCAGATGAAGATACACCATCAAGCGGCCGAGCCTACTAACGCAGTTTATCTATCATTTACAGTCTTGGTGGCCGTCTAGCTAGCTCTAGTAGTTACACTGAACAGGAAAATATTGTGACGGAAAATTGTCGAAGACGAGCAAAAAACGAGGAAAACCACGTCCAGGTCAACCATAAGATTCTTGATTCGTTGCACTTGATCAACATAGCAGTACATGCCCAGAAAGGGATGTCATTTCCTTAAGGAAGGCTCATAAGGATTTTAGAGATGAAACTGCTTACACTATCAATACAAATAATTTCATATCAGCAGGAGGGCCTTTTTTATTTTTTGAAAGATGAGTCTTGTAGTGCCTGTGAAATATTCTACGAGAAGAGCAACAATTTGTCGACTGCTTATGTGACACTATAAGCAGTCGACAAATATTCTGCGTCACCTTACGAGCGCCCGCTTTTCAACCTACTTCTCTAGCTTGCTTTGACAGGGGTGACTAATTTATCATGCTGAAATTGGAAGATATCTAGGACTTATTGACGGAAGAGCAATCCTGACCCGGCCCTGATGCAGCTGCAAAAAAGCCTGGCTGCGTGAGGTGGCCAATCAGGCTTTAGCTTCCGCTCCATTTCTATTCTTGCTGGACGCTGGTGCCATGTCTTAACGCATGAAAAACATGCACGAGGATGAGGATTCTTATGAAAGGGACTCGGTTCAATTCTTTTTTTTTTGTATCGCGGGCGCGTTCCGTTAAGGAACTGCCTACATATTTCCAGCGTAGCTACCGGGGACGTAGGTAGGGAGGCATTCTTAATCTCCTTAACGCACTACGCTAAGGTCCCTCGTCTGGGCTCTCGTGGCCGTGTCAGAGCAAGGGATACAAATTTATTACATAGAAACAAATGAAGTTGAAGCAAGTAGAGGACATGCGGGCACCCGCCATAGAGACAGAGCAGCCCGCCACTCGCTGCACAATTGAGGAGCAGGTGTCGCTCAGGCTTGCAACTTCTGCAATCTTTCACGCTGAAAACTACCATATTTTGTGGCTTTTGTAGTGGTACCCATATGACAGACATCGCTGTCTTTGTAGTCGTAGTTGTTGTCGGGATATATGTATTTGTAGGGTAAATCATGTTAATTCGTGTTCTTCGTCTTCTAGTACTTCTACTGCCGTAACACCTTGACGCCCATCACTTTACGCAGTCTTTCACTTAAGGAAATGAACGAAGTCTAGTCAATATCAGGCAGTGATAGTCATACATCAACCATGGGACGCAATCAATGTGCAAGTTTTTATCAAAATCGCGCCTCTTAGTATCCCCGCAAGGATCTCCCACCAGCTCCGGTAATGACACTAATATGCAAGACCGTGTGGTTCGCCGTCAAGTAAGAATATATAAGGACCTTACTGGCTCTTGAAGAGGGTACTAGTGGTAGTGCGACTCGACTTGTAGTAGTAATATCTTTGGACTAGTTCAAATCTTTCTAGTACATCACATGAAGATGAAGATGAAATATTTGTAATTGTATGCCTATGCGCCGTGTCTCAGTCTCTCCTGTCAACATCTAATTAATATTATTGTATGCCATGAAAGTCAGTTTGTTAGTATGTGGAGCACGACAAACATAAGATTCTGACGATGATGAGAGAATACAACAACAGCTAATGTTGATCTGTTTGGGGTAATCAGGATTCGGGGACTCATCATGCCGCATGTACTTACTTGGGAAGATCATTACACAAATCACTGGGATGATTTGGCATGGGGATCTTCAGCCACCTTCGAAAACAAGAGGTACTAGTAACACCTCAACAACTAAATGAAGAACACCACATAGTTGTGTCGGCGTATGTCTGAAGATCCTCGTCCTTATTATTTGTAGTAAGTAATAATATTATATATTATAAGAAAAATACAAATTTTCATTTTGAAAATTCTCAGTCATACAACTATTTTTTACACTTCCTTCTTCTATTTCATTTGAGTAGTTCTTGTACATTTACAGGTCTAGGACCTATTTGTATTCATTTTGGCAGTTGTATAGTAGTCGCGCAGAGCACTGTGAATATTTGATCAATGTCCGTGTGCGTGTCTTCACCTATATCGCTATTGAGGCCACCCCTGAAAATGCCCATTAAGCACCGCCCGCTTGATTTCTGGTCGACTCCTCCGTCTCTCTACCGTGAAACATATTCTAAATTCTATCTAACAACCCACGTGCATGGCCGTGGCCGAGCACTTGTAGAATAAAAATTTCTTCAAATTTATTCCCAATGTTGCATAAACATAAAATCATTTCACTTATGTCATCTCTTAACACAGAGAGACAAGGAAGAATAATTTATGTTAATTAAAGCTGCCGGTGCGGGTGCCGCGAATCTCATCCCCATCTCGAATAGTAATTCCATGCATCTTGTGACGGCCAGGGGGAGTAATAGGAAGGGTCCGAACTGTCGTGACCGAGCTCCCGCAGTAGGTGATAGCCTGCTGCAGTACCTATGAATGTATAGATACGATGCGGTGGGTGCTAATCCGTAGTTGTAGTAAAGTAATAGTAGTTAGTTAGCTGGAAAAGTAATAGTAGTTAATATTAGTCAATATAGGAAGCCTGGCGGTTCTCCAACATCATGCAGCCCGAGAGTCGTATGCGGGGCCCAATTAGTCCGCTGGTGTTAGTATGGCTATGGTCGCGATATGCCTCGCCATTTTAACACAGGGAGGCGCGAGGCGGAGGCGAGCTCGCCCAGAGCAGTCGCGTCCCAGGGGGACCAAAAGGGCGCGGCATCCGGGCCAAGGCGGCAAACTACGGCTCACGCAGAGGGCCGGCTTAAGGTTGCAGCGCCCCTGCTACTGCGGGAAAGTCTGCGGGTCTCGCAGAAGGCAGGTAGTTCGAAGGCAACCAAGTCGAGGACGGCATGGCGGCGGTGTTGCGCCACCCTCAACAGAAGGGAGAGAGGGGCTCATCTCTCTCGCGCCACTCGCAACAGAATGAAGGGAGGGATGGACCCATCTACCTCGCGCCACCCTCAAAAGAGAGGAAGGGCGCGCTCATCTTTCTCGCGCCACTCGCAACAGAAGGGAGGGGCGAACTCATCTACCTCGCGCCACCCTCAAAAGAAGGGAAGGGCGCGCTCATCTTTCTCGCGCCACTCGCAACAGAAGGAAGGGGCGAACTCAGTCTAGTCATCTATCTCGCGCCACCCTCAACAGAAGGGAGAGGCGTCCTCATCCTTCTCGCGCCACGCTCAACAGACGGGAGGGATAAGCCCATCACTCAACAGACGGGGGGGACGCCTTCACCTTTCTTGCGCCACGCAGTGGCTTCGTGTGGTTGTTTCGCAGTGCTCTGCCTCCCGTTACCCATTTAAGGAAGACGGGAAAAGTAATAGTATCAACAAGTAGTTACTACTTTTTGCAACGAGTATCTGTTAACATTTAGCAACTTAGTATTAATTACTGTAATTACTAAGTATCTGCTAATATTTAGCAATAGATACTATGTGTGATTCTTTCCAATGGATTTGGATAGTCATGATAATCTTCGTTTTTACCACCAGAATGGCAATGCCACATAAGAACTTGAGCAATGGTTGTGTTTCAACTTGTTCCAACAGGAGCAATTGGTTTGAAGGTAATTGAATCAAGTAGAACAAGATCAACAAGAATAAGTATATATGCGAGTCGCGATACGACAATAAAACAACGAACTTTCAAATACGAAAATAGTTTCGAAAAAAATACCTGGAGCGTTCGATGCTGTTGCAGCCACTTGCTGCATCCGATGCTGCGCGGCCCGTGATTCAAGGAGGCCCGCCTCTAACGCAAGTTGCAGCAGGTTCTGACTCTCCTCGGTAGCCAGCGGATTCGTGCCATAGTGAGCTTCCATTTGCTGGAGATCTTCCAACGTTGGAGGGGTAAGCAAGTCGGGATTCGAACTCACCTCTGGGGTAATGTTTCCGGCTTTCAAAACTTCAAGAAAATACTTTTCGGGTGTCTCTTTTGCGCGTTCGGTCTGAGGCGTCTCCGGACTCTCTCGAGAAGACGAGAGTGCGGCGGTCGTAGTCGTCAAGCGAAAATTAGATAGGGAACATGGATGTAGAAAGATGAAACTACAATCTACAAGAACTAGAAGTAGCTCGTTGCAGAAGTAGTACACGTTGCACTACTTCTCTATTCTTGTCGCCGCTATGCACGAGTACTACTATTCGGAATCGTATCAATCTGTTGTATTTTCAAAAAGTCCGAACCATGATATTAATGAATCTTTATTCGCCTCCTAGAAGAAGCAAGGACATCAAAATCAACAGTAACAGACAGTAGATCCAATACTGTGTACTTATAAAAATATATATTCAACCACATCCAAGATGAATCAGAATCACCACCAATATATAACCATAACTGTGTAGTTGGAAGGGGTTGATGATCCGAGCTGCCCAGTCCTCCTCACAGCAATGTTAAAGAAAGGCGTTGCAGTGGAGGTTGGGCTTCGACTCGCGTGCGGAAAAAGCTGGGGGGAGGCGTGTGAAGAAGCTGACGTTGCACGTGTTCCGAAAGTAGCGCCAACTACATTTGTTATATTACTAGTCTCGTTTGAAGAAGCGGATGCTGGTGGGCAATCAAGAAATGGTCGGGCATACAATGACTCACCGTGAAATGGATCGTCACGAGATGAACGCAAGGCCGGAGATTGCATCGACGCGGTGAAGTTGATTAGGCGTCTCTGTACCTCGTCTTGAAAATGAAACATCTGCTGCTCCTGTCTGGTGGTGAGAAACAATTGATCCTCCTGTTCCCTAGTATTACTACTTTCTCGAGGAGGACTTTCATTCACAACTATGTCCGCAGAGGGAGTGTCTGGTCGAGTCGGAACCTCGACAAGCGAAAACTGAGATGCATGACGGGTTGTACCTCGAAGGCCAGGTAGGGCTCCTTCACCTTCCGCAACAGACTCCACTTCATGAGTCAGCTTGTCCAAATCTCGTCCACCTTCACGGCAATGAAGATCAACATTCAGAGTGTCGCCATCACTTTCGTTATCGGGAGGCGGAGGCGGACAGTCATCAACATCAAGTTCTTCAAGAGCCTCCCCGTCCTCCATCGACAAGTTTTTCTCGAGGGTGTCCAAGAGATTCTCGGTCTTAATGCTCATCACCTGTTGTTCGTGAGCGCGAAAACCAGGAGGGCAAGCTGCACCACGTGTTGTCGCAGGCAAAGGCATAGGCGATTCAGAGCTATTGTAGGCCTTGGGAGATGAAGAAGAAGAGGATAAGTACGGTTCATCATGATGTTCTGTTTGCAAAGGAACGGGCTCTGCCCGCCTTTGCACTTTACAAGAAGTTGTTGCTGACCAACATTCTTTACCAGAACCGTTTTCAGCTCCATGGGAAGCGAGTGGCAGACTCGACGGACGAAGGGGCGGTGGTGGTACTGTTCTGGAGGGAGGCACACGCGAGGAACTGGGAGTCGTGGGGCCTGGAGGAACTGCTGAGACAGGAACGTCAGGAACACTGACACGCAGTCCAGCACTAGGTGCTAAAGCAGCAACAGTCACAGCATTGTCATGAAAATCGTCCATAGCAGCAAAGAGCGAAGTTGCATCAAATAAGCGCCTCGCGGTTGGAGATGGAGATGCATGCAGAGCCATCTCCCCTTCTTTAGAGGATTTCGAACCAGAGGAATTTGTTTCCTCCGCGTTCTTCTTCTCCCCCTCTTTTTTTTCATGATCACCTGCTGATCCTGTTGAGCCGCCGAGTTGTAATGCTGATGAGATTTTCTCGGGTCCTTCGGTATCTTTACTCGGTGTCCTCGTCATGTTCTGCGATTTATCGAGCGAGGGCATCTTATCGGTCGCTTCATCAATCTGAATTGCTGCATCCACGCGGTCACTCGAGGTCGAGGTAGAGACTTCCTTTTTAGCCTCCACAAGGAGTTGTTGCGGCATCATGCTGCCCTGTCGCTCATCAGTGCCCGCCGTGGTACCCGGCGTCGCAGGGTCCGAAATATTCAGACGCGTTTTACTTTTATCACCTCCAGTGGTATCACTATCAGAAGTGAAAACTGTGCCGGTACTGGTGTCAGACTTGTCTCGCGGCGCTTCGATAACGTTACGCGTGGTCGATGCCTTTTCTGGTGACGATCCTTGCGAGTCTTCGGATGCTTGGGATGGAGTATTGATGTGGTCAACGCTGAAACAGTCAGGTGATAAACCAGTCACCGTCGAGCCTGACACTGTCGTGTTGTCGTGAGTCTCTTGATCACCATCGTCGAGTTGTTGCTGTGACTTCGAACCAGCAAGAACATTGGCAATTTCATTTTTGATATCAACGCGGCCACCGCCACGGTTAGCTCCAGAATGCAGCTCGGTTTCGTCCGCGTCTCTGCCAGCCTCAAGCGAAGTTGAAGGGCTGGAGGGTTCGTCAGCTTTCCTTTTTGTAGTTGCTCCTTCTCCGACAGGACTCGTCGTGTCCTCACAGTCTTTTTTTCCTCCGCTAGTATCTTCGGATCCCGGTTGTTTGTTTCCCTTTCCGTCCACACCAGCATTTTTAGCAGCGCCATGATCTTCTGGTCCAGTGCTGTCTTCGCTCTTCCTTTCCTCTCCTAGTACGGCTTCATCTTGCTTATCGTTATCCGCGAGAACAAGTGGGGAAATGAGGCCTGAGTCCGACTCCCCCTCAAAAGGAACTGCAACACCTACAGCACCTAGATCATCCACAACGACATCACCGCTTGTTCCAGCAGAATAATCATGATCATCTTCTTGCTTCGGGTCGTAATCGTCCTCCATCACAGGCGCTAGAACTTCCGGTGAGAACCAATCCCACGAGCTTTGGAGAAAACGATTGACCTCACGACAGTTTGACACTAGCTGCTCTTCGGCACAAGCGGAATCAATCCCCGCTCCTGCGTGGTACTGGTGGCCATTGTGGTTAAAGGTGTCGCAGTTGTATATCAGCGGTGAGTTTTTTTTCTTGTCCGTAGAAGAAGTGCTCCCGGTGGTGCTGTCATCCTTGGAGAAATAGGCGCCAGGCAAGTTGTAGGTCGTGAAACCAAATTCGGAGGACCTTTCATCCGTCTCCATCTCGGGTGCTAAGGGTGATGGAGAAGATAATTTCCTGTTTCGATTTTCTGCCCCCAAAGACGTGGCCCTACCTCTGGCAGCGCCGGATGATGACGCACCTTCTTGAAGTTCTTGAGACGGTTCTGGCGTCCTCCCTGCAGCCGAGGGCGAAGACGGAGAGGGTGAAGATGATGTTGAGCTGCGGCGAGCAGGAGTGCTGGCACACCCGGTCGTATGCCGACCAAGAACACGAAAGCCAGCTCTACTTGCAAAAGATACCATGTTCGAATTCGTCGAGGTTGCCGCAGTCGAGGTCGTTGTTGCACCCGATTCAGAGGAGGACGAGGTCGCAGATGAGGAGTTCGTTTCTCCATTTCGGTTCCCGCCTGACGACGTACCTCCGTGCTCTTCATTACCATTACCACCACTGGAGTTGTCTCGTTCTTCGTTCGAATTCGTTGAGGATCGTCGTGGCCTCTCTCCAGCATCATCTGACCTAGAAACGAAAGATAAGTTAAAGTTCCCCTCTTGCTGCTCGACGCTTTCCACCCTCGCCTTTCCCTTTTCTTCGTCCACAAAACCATTGTTTCCATCTGCCTGACCGCGGTCAGCTACAGGAGAGTCGCATGTCAAGCAGTCTTCACCTTTGAATGACCCTGTTTCCCCGCAAGCCGCACAATCCAGAGTCGTTGGATGCGTCATATGCCGTAAATTCGGTTCCACAGCGAAGCACAACGGGCAGTATAACAACGTAGCACACGATGAATGGTAATCCCTGCTCTGCATCTTTGATGTATTATCTTTAGAAGTAGGGCCAACGGCAAGTACTATTTTGTTTTTTTCATCTCCAGAGCGGTCACAAGAAGTTGCACTTTTGTTCGCTGCTCGATCCGGAAAAGCTTCTAGGAAAGCGTCACGTTTTCGCTGACAACCACCATTATCCCGACACATGTATCCGGACAGGCCCTGATGGGATGTGATGTGTAAACGTGGAGGGAAGAAGATTCAAGATCATCAGGAGTACAGGTTTCGAGAGACAAAAAAAAGAGCTCTCCCGAACACATCTTAGGCAGAACCAGAGTCAGAGTGGGGTAACTCTAATTTGATGTTGCTGTTGCAAATATCAATACAATCGTCCCGGAGTATGAGAGGTGTACCTTTCCGTCAGCCGAAATGCATGAATTCCCACACAGAGAACAGTCAGCAACGCTCGAACTTTCGAGTTTGAGATCGTCAGGCGAAACACTATCAAGGTACATCAAAGGTCCCGCACAGGCGATGCAATTGATTCCCCGACGCAGCGTCTGTGAGGATGGAGTTGGAGCTGTCGCAAGTAGAAGCTTGGTGGGGAATCAAACGTAGAAAGAGGTGGTGATCTGTATGTTCTTGTCATCAACAATATCGAGAATAAGGAAGACACGTGGAGGTAGAACATCCGTGATCAGTATAGCTCGCTGATCATCAATAACACGAGAAAATGAATAAAAGGCTAGGTCTCCCGAGCCCAAAAAGCTTATTTTCATTGCGGAATATACCTGGCAATATCCTCGACGCGAGAGGCGCCCGGGGTAAGCGAAGCTGCAATAGCGTTGCGAATAAACCGGGAAAGTTTCAGGAGGAAAAGTGAAGCACCATGGCAATGCTGCACTTACTCGCCCAGCTGGTGATGCAACCTGGTGCGTGTGAATTTGAGATGATGAATGAATGTAATTTGTGGCTTCGTCAGTTTCAGTGAACAACCTCGTCTTCGTTTACACATCATGATCAACCTCTTGTGCTTCTGGAACAAGAACAACTCAAACGAAATAAACAAGTAGATGTGTAATAGTGGTGCCTTGTTATCGGCACTTTGCACTGTTATCTCCCGGTTCGGAATAATCGCGGATGGAAATTCCGGATGATCGAGGAGCCACTGCGGGAGCTCTGCCCTACTCTCCAAGGCCAACAATGGTTTTTCGTAATGTTTCAGGTGAACGCTGTCCATGACAAGTTTTCCGACACCTGCGAAGAGGGTGACGGCGATAAACAAGAATAAGGCTAAGTAGTTGTAGTACCGCTACATTTGTAAATATTTTCATCTACAGACCCTGACCACCCGCCTTACTTTCTTAGTTGAAAGATGTTGTTGATTGTTGACGTTCATCAATAACCTCTTCCAAGGAGGTACATTGTTGTAGTTAATATAGTCAAGAATGCTATCTTTTATGCTTACGTAGATGCATGCTTTAGCGGATTCAGTCGTAGTTCACCGGTTGGAATGAAGTACCTGGCTGTAGTAAAGCTGAAAACTGCTCCAAAAGACCCCGCACACGCCTGCCCCCTCCATGAATGTGTGCGTGCATGAGAATCGAGCTGGTGACTATAATATGCGCTCGGCCTTGAGTATTTACGAATAGGGGTCCGAGAATAGGATATGCCCGCGACTCACAAACACTTGACCGTTCAAATAAAGCGTACGCGTCTTGTTGCTCTTTCGAATCCTTTAAAGTTTCGCTTTCAGCATCGGAAACCATCTCTTGCGCATGATCTGCAGTAGGATCGTCTTTCTTCTTCTCGCTGTTGAGGTTCAGCCTTTTCATCATTAGGTTCTTCACATGGACCTCCTTTGCCGACAACCCATGTTGAACCTCCTCTTGTACTTCTTCCTCCTTGCTGTTGTTGCTTGTGCTCTCGTCCACTTGTCCCTGTTTCTTGCAGAATGCCTTCCTCGACCACCTCGGTTGCAGGTATTTGGTCGTCACATCGTAACCATCCTCCATTGAGAATAGGTCTTTGATTTCCAGCAATGACATTTCGTCTCTCCACTTGATATGATCAGCATCGTCATCGTGATCGTCCTGTCCGTCGTCTTTTGCTGCATTTTCTACTTCAATAGATGTAGTTCCCTTTGTTCGGCCACCGGCTGTAGTCGTAGTCGTTGTAGTAGAAGTACCAAACTGGCGCTCCTTTGGGTCGTAGTAGGCAATGTCTTTTGTCACAAAGTTAAAAGCACATAAATCGTTATCGACAAAAGTGTCCCGAAATCGGGTATCCGCCCCAAGATGGCCACCAACCAAAGTGAAAGACAATCGATAGGAAAACACATTTACCATGAAAGTCGTTGATGCTTCCACGTCCTGCCAGCGGTACTTCCTGAAAATTAGATCATGAAAATGCGGTAGATGTTGATATTCTGCGATCTTATGTCAGAAGTGTTACATACTTTAATCCGGGTAAATAACGAAGCGGAGCCGGGAGCCGGAAAAAACATCAATGAAGATTACTAGAGCTTCGGATTAATGAATCACTCTTTGTCAACATCAACATGATGTGCCTGATAAAGCTGAAACTCTACTTCTGCAAAGACCTAGTGCTACATAAATGCAGCATCATGAAGAAGTCTCCCTTGCGTAGCCGTAGTCCTTGATTAAGTATAAAAATTGTACTGAATCTCCCTCGTTCGTGCTTGCAAGTCGCGGATAGGTTGAATTGCGCATGCTATGCGGTAAAGGCGTGTGAGTTCTGCAACTACAGAGGACACGGCGACAATCCTCGGCAACAGGTGTACGATTCGGATGACAACAGCTTCTTTCTCGTTGTTTCCCGCAATAGGAGTACAAGGGGAAGTTTGCTCATCTTCGCGAGTCTGTCGCGGTGCATGTGGCATCTTATCCTGGACGACTTCAGGTTCAGCCACTTTGGCCTGCTCTTGAACACGATCACGACCACCCGAAGGTACTATTTCTAGCTGTTGTTCATTTTTCTTCTGGTTCGAGAAACTAGACGATGTTCTTTGCCCTCGCTCCCGTCGTGTCCGAATCCGGATCATGTTCAGGCTCTGTGTCGCACAGAGTACTTCGTACACAATCGAATTCGCGATAATGTTTTCAGCGACACGCACATCCGCCTGTTTTTTCGCTTGCGCCGCGCTCTTATCACAGGATGATGGTACAGCGAGAGCGACATCAATCGGCTTGTCGCTATCACAAGCGATGGAAACTCTTGCTCCAGACGATGACGAGGTTGCGGACTGTCCTTGCAGCACACAGTATGCTGCGTTGACGTCTGTACCAATCGTCCTAGCCGGGCTTCTACGAAGAAGTGCACCAGCTGCGACAGGTAATGCGGGATTGGTGACAACGTGATGGGGCTCCCACCCTTCATCGCCGTTAAAGTCGTACCGTTTTTCCGGCGGCTCCTCGGACATAGCCTTACAGACCGATAGTTTTTCCAGTACATCTGGCGGGTAACACTCTTCACATTCATCTCCTTGAAGCTCCAGACCAGGTGGAGGCCGCGGAGGCAGTTTTATCGTATTAGATGGCACGTCAGGATCATCTGGACGAACGATAGGCCGGGGACTCGTAAGATACTGCCGCAGAGATCCCTTCACATCTACAGACGGCTGAGCGTCCTCGGATGCCCGGCTATTCCAATCGTAGTCACCCCATGACTCTGCCCCAAAGAGGCAACGACATGCGGTATCTCTGTCGACTATTTTTTCTCTACTTTTATCTCTAGCGGTCCTCGAAGAACTCTGATGGAGTGGCTCTGGCGCACTCCCAGGGCTTGTTCTCGTTAACCAAGAAGATGAATTCTTGCACTT